TGTTGAGCCTGTCGAGGTCGCTGGTGACTCTGGTGCTGCTGAGGGTGCTGAGCCTGGGGGTGCTGACTCTGGGGGTGCTGAGCGTGTGGGTGCTGACTCTGGGGGTGCTGAGCGTGTGGGTACTACGACTGGGGGTGCTGAGCCTGGGGGTGCTGCGTCTGGGGGTGCTGAGCCTGGGGGTGCTACGCCTGGAGGTGCTGAGCCTGGGGGTGCTGCGTCTGGGGGTGCTGAGCCTGGGGGTACTACGCCTGGAGGTGCTGAGCCTGGGGGTGCTACGCCTGGTGGTGCTGTGCCTGGCGGTTCTCCGGGTGCTCCTTCTCGCCGGGAGCCACTCTCTCCCCAGGATCTGCGTGAGTGGTTTGCCCGGCGCTGGAGGCGAGCTGCTGGAGCTGGAGGTGCTGCGGGTACTGGAGGTTCTGTTGCTGCTGAGAGAGCTGGTGCCACGGGTCCCGGAGGTGCTCGTACTGGGAGTACTGGAGCTGCTGGACCTGCGGGTACTTCTGGAGCTGGAGTTGCTGCGGGTGTTGGCGCGGAGGCTACTGCTGTCGGTCCTGGAGGCGGTCCTGCTGGGGGTACTACTGGTGCTGCTGGGGGTTCTGGAGCTGGAGCTGCTACTGGTGCTGGTGCTGCCACTGGGGGTGCTGGTGCTGTCCCTCCTGTGTCTGGAGTCGCCGCGCGGCCTCGGCCGTACTTCGTTCCGCTCCTTCAGCAGGTTCTTGGTCTCCCGCCTTCTACTGGTCCTCCTCCTCCCTTAGAGTGTCCACAGCCTGTCCCGTCGCAGTTACAGTTACAGCCGGCCTCCCCACTGCCTGCTCCGTCTCCCTACACTGGTCCTACTGGAGGTCTTGCTGAGCGTCGTGAGCCTGCGTCTCGCCCTGCGTCGCCTGTCCGTGCTGCTCGCACTAGTGGTCGCGGTTCGCGTCAGCGTCCTCCTCCTGTCCCTGGCACGCACCGGATGTCTCTGCGTCCGTCCACTGCTCCTCTGCGTGCCCCTTTGCCTTCTCCTCCTGAGTCTTCTCTTCCTGCTCTTGCCGACCCGGAGTCGGACTCTCTTCGTGCTGCCAGTCCTACTGTCACGCGTCTCCTTGCTACTGTTGTCACTGACCCTTCCTTTGAGTCCACTGCTGCGTCTGCCCTAGTTGCTGAGCTCGTCGACTTTGCTGCTCGCTGTCGCCTAGACTACGTCGCCAGTCTTGTTGCTGAGTCTGAGTCTGTCTGTCCTCCGTCCGTCGGGGGTGAGTGTGACCTTGGCACGGACGTCCTTGAGGACAGGCAGGAGGAGTTCCAGTGCTTGGCCGCTGCTTCACCTCATCTCGTGTCCGTACTGCTTACCCCTGAGGGAGACCCGGATGCACTTGACATCCCGACTCCGCGCTCTTACGCGGAGGCGATAGAGGGTCCCTACTCCTCTCAGTGGCAGGCAGCTATGGACGCAGAGATGGCTTCCTGGAAGTCCACAGGCACCTACGTTGACGCTGTTCCCCCTCCTGGGGCGAACATCGTCAGTGGCATGTGGATTTTCAGGGTGAAGCGACCGCCGGGTTCTCCGCCTGTCTTCAAGGCGCGTTACGTGGCTCGTGGCTTCAGTCAGCGGCAGGGAGTTGACTACTTTCAGACCTTCTCTCCCACCCCGAAGATGACCACTCTTCGGGTACTGCTGCACGTAGCTGCTCACCGTGACTACGAGCTACACTCTCTTGACTTCAGCACTGCTTTCTTGCAGGGCAGCCTGCACGAGGAGATCTGGCTGCGTCGCCCACCTGGCTTCACTGGGTCTTTTCCTCCTGGCACCCAGTGGAGCCTACGGCGGCCAGTCTACGGTCTCCGCCAGGCACCGCGTGAGTGGCACGACACACTGAGGACTACACTTGCGGCTCTTGGGTTTGCTCCCTCTACTGCCGACCCGTCGCTGTTTCTGCGCACCGACACTTCTTTGCCGCCGTTCTACATCCTCGTGTACGTCGACGACTTGGTCTTTGCCACAGCTGACACTGCTGGACTAGCCCACGTGAAGTCCGAGCTGCAGAAGAGACACACGTGCACTGACCTGGGTGAACTGCGCAGCTACCTTGGCTTGCAGATCACTCGGGACAGAGCACGCCGCACCATTACCCTGACTCAGTCACACATGGTGCAGCAGGTCCTTCAGCGCTTCGGCTTCACGTACTCCTCGCCTCAGGCCACTCCTCTGCCTACTCGCCACTCGCTCTCAGCTCTGCCTTCGGATGAGTCCGTAGATTCGAGTGGCCCGTACCCAGAGCTTGTTGGCTGCCTCATGTACCTGATGACCTGCACACGACCTGACCTTGCATACCCTCTTAGCATTCTTGCACGCTATGTTGCTCCTGGGAGACACAGACCGGAGCACATGGCTGCAGCGAAGAGGGTGTTGCGCTACTTGTGCAGTACGTCGGGCATGGGGCTTGTGCTTGGAGGGCAGAGTCCAGTGGTCCTTACTGGGCACGCAGACGCTTCTTGGGCTGACGACCAGGCTACGCAGCGGTCGTCACAGGGTTACACCTTCAGCCTTGGTTCCGGCTCTGTTTCGTGGCGGGCTACCCGCTCGTCTTCTGTTCTCGGCTCCAGTTGTGAGGCTGAGATCTACGCAGGAGCCATGGCTGCACAGGAGCTTCGCTGGCTCACCTACCTGCTGACTGACCTCGGAGAGCTGCCTCGTTCTCCTCCAGTGCTGTACGTAGACAACAAGGCCATGCTGGCCTTGTGTCGGGAGCAGCGACTGGAGCACAGAACGAAGCACATTGCTCTCCGCTACTTTCTTGCTCGTGAGCTGCAGCAGCGTGGTCAGCTGCGTCTTGCGTACGTGGCCTCTGAGGCCAACACTGCTGATATCTTCACCAAGGCGCTTGCGCCTTGTGACCATCAGCGCTTCTGTACTCAGCTGGGCCTTGTGCCTACCTTGCCTCACTTGCTCACCTCTTGACCTTGCTTGTGCTGTTACATATATATATACCTGCTCTTGTTTGTCTAGCCTTTATATATATATGTACTCCTGCATGTGAACTGGCCTTGTGGCCTTGAACTTGTGCTCGGAATGCGTGGTGACTTTGTGATCCACCCTGAGCTTGCTTTGCTTTGCTTGACTGGTCTTGTGACCCCTTGTTCTCCCCCACTTTGCCTATGGGGGTGTGTCAGATTTATATGACAGAGCTACTGTAGGCTATAGTGGGGTAGCACATATGGGGTACAGTTTTCTAGGGTTTGTATTTTGTACCCAACTTTCCCTTAGTCATTTCATTCCTTGTTTCTTCTCATAGGGTACATCTTAGCCAGTGTTATTAGATTGCACTAGCTTGTGTTCAACGTTGATGCAAATGTTGTAATAAGCCATTTGTAATGAGAACCAGGGCCCGTGCTAGGATTTGGGGCACCCTGAGGCCTCAGGGCACCTTTCCAGAATCGTAAAATATGCCCTGATTTGTCAGGGCAAATTTTCGAAGCCTTCCTGTATGTTCAGGGTTTTTTTCAGAAATCAATCCTGACCTATCAGGGCAAAAAAACAAGTGTTCGCGGTTCAGATTGGTTGGTTGACAGAGTTATATACGTGAGGAGGTCCGATCCCAAAACCTTATCTATCGGAAGTACCTTTCTACCAACTAGGCCACTTCTGGATTGTTGGGTGGTTGAATGAGCACTAAACGACGACTTGCCTACGGAGGGAGAAAATTTCCCCAGGAACGGGACCCCCCCCCCCCCCCAAAAAAAAAAAAAAACGCGTCAGGGCAGGCCTCGGCATTCATCCTGACGCTACAGGGAAGAACACTACAGCCATTCTGAATGTTCAGGGCATTTCATATAAAAACATCCTGAGACCTCACGGTTAAAATTTACACTGTTCTGAAATGACAGGGTAAATTTAAAACTGCATCCTGAATTCAGGGTAATCAGAATGTTTTGCCCTGATAACGTGGGGCCTGATGAGAACGTTGCCAATTGATAAGAAGCTTTCTCAATTCACTCTTGAATGAGATATCCCCAAATACGAAGCCAAATACGTACGTACGTACCATGAATTTGCTCGACTGTCCCAGCATCGTCGATAATTACGGCGGATGGTACGGCCGAACGTAAGATTCAGGCATCAACATGAACGAATGCAATTGTACAAATGAACAACAAGGTATGAGGTGGTATGAATGCTTCAAAATTAGCATTAAACTGCATCATATAGCAACAGAGGTTGATGGGGTCGTTGAAACAGTGAAAGCACGCTGCCCCAAAGACGACTAACAACCTCTAATTGCGTACATGAACATAATAATACCACACTTTGAAACACACATACCACAAACACGAATACACACGCACATAAAAAACAACACTACGTAACAATTATGAATGCATCGAAGTGGATGTCGATGTACACCAATGTTGCAACTGAGATTGATGGGGTCGTTGAAACAGCGAAAACACGCTGCCCCGACGACGATGACAACCCCAACTTACAAACACGATGCACACCAGCACCACACTTTCAAACAATCACAACCAGCTGACACGAATGACGTGTTCAACATGCACAAGCACACACTCTCACACACACATACACACGCGCACGGTCACGTATATATACACATACATACATAATGAGGATGGAGAGCAAGCACAACAAAGAAGAGCAAGGAGTTCATAGAACATTTAACAATCACTGCTAGCCTGCCCACCTTTCCTATCCCTTTCACCCTCCCCTCCTCCTCGCCTCCAATCATTATCAAGTCTCCCTCCTTTATCCCCCCACCCTTTTCCACAATCCTTCTGATCCGCACGATGCGGCTCCCACACCCTGCAAGGCACATAGGTCAAGCAAAAATATACTGCTGTGAGTGAATGCAGAGAAAATTGAGATGACGAGCACACACTTTAATCTGAAATTTGATAAATAGATGTGGATTGAAACAACATGGAAATTGACTCAGAAAAAGGAAAACAATGCTCGCAACAAAAGCAACCGAATTTGACAACTTACAAAAGTTTCTCTGGCGTCAAGCACACCACGCGTGCAACGCGTTGGGCATCAGCACGTTAGAAGTCGCCAGAGCGCAGCGGGATAGCCCCGGCAATGCGTGAGCGCACTGCAGCAAGCCGTGGGCGCATGGCAGCAAGCCGTGGGCGCATGGCAGCAAGGCATGAGCGCATGGCAGCAAGGAGTGAGCGCAGGGCAGCAAGGTGTGAGCGCATGGCAGCAAGGCATGGCAGCAAGGCACGGCAGCAAGGCGTGAGCGCACGGCAGCAAGGCGTGAGCGCACGGCAGCAAGGCGTGAGCGCACGGCAGCAAGGCGTGAGCGCACGGCAGCAAGGCGTGAGCGCACGGCAGCAAGGCGTGAGCGCACGGCAGCAAGGCGTGAGCGCACGGCAGCAAGGCGTGAGCGCATGGCAGCAAGGCATGAGCGCATGGCAGCAAGGCATGAGCGCATGGCAGCAAGGCGTGAGCGCAGGGCAGCAAGGCACGGTAGCAAGGCACGGCAGCAAGGCACAGCAGCAAGGCACGGCAGCAAGGAGTGAGTGCACGGCAGCGAGTGAGCGCACGGCACCAAGGCGTGAGCTGCGCTCGGCAGCAAGGCAGGCAGCGCGCCAAGCCGCCAGTGCGCTGGGGAAAGGCCTCAGCGCCGCCAGATAGCTATACAGACGAAGAATGAAAGAAATAAACAAAACAGCTCTCATTCCGCCATTGCCTCACCCTTAGCTCGAACTCTTGCACGTCCTCTCGTCATCCCCTATTTTCTGTCCCTAACTCCCTTCACTCACCGATTTGTGATGATGATGTTCGCACCCGCCGGTGTTGTGCCGCTGCCGAAAAGAGGCACTCCCAGGTGAAGGTGAGACACCTGGAGGATGAGAGTGGGGAACAGGAAGGAATCCGCCAGGTTGTGGTTATCACGCCTGGAATCACGGCGCGAACGTCCTCCGGGGCAGCGCAAACGGCGCGAACGCCCACGGGGGCAGCGCACACGGCACGACAGCCGCCGGGGGCAGCCCACATTGCGCGAACGCCCCGGGGGGCAGCGCACATTGCGCGAACGCCCCGGGGGGCAGCGCTGACGTCGCGACAGCCGCCGGCGCACATGGCGCGAACGCCCCCGGGGGCAGCGCACACGGCGCGACAGCCGCCGGGGGCAGCGCTCACGGCGCGAATGCCCCCGGAGGCAGCGCTTACGGCGCGACAGCCGCCGGGGGCAGCGCTCACGGCGCGAACGCCCCTGGGGCCAGTGCTCAGGGCGCGACAGCCGCCGGGAACAGCGCACACGGCGCGAACGCCCCCGGGGGCAGCGCACACGGCGCGAACGCCCCCGGGGGCAGCGCCCACGGCGCTAACGCCCCTGGGGGCAGCGCTCATGACGCTAACGTCCTATGCCCCATCGGTCTAGGGCGCAGCGCTTACGCACGAGCGCCTTATGCTAGCGGCCTATTCCCAACGTCCTAGGCGCGACCTCCATATGCTCTATTAAACTGATGTTGCTTAGTATCCATTAGTACCTGAGAAAAGAGCGTGAGTGGTTTCACTTGAGAAGCAAGAAAGTGGTCGGGTGATGAGCAAGTTTGAGCAAGAATGGTTGGCAATGGTGAACGAAACCCTAGGTGGAGGCCCTCCGCTGAAGGCAACGGTGGTTCAGCTGATTCCAGGTCAGCAAACTCACTAGAGATGTCCCTGTACTGAAAGTCCCTAAGAAGTTCAGAATCTCTCTTTCAAATGACAGCTTCCAAGAATTTCAAAAATTGTTTTCTAGTTTTATCTTTATAAGGGTCCGTTCTTGGCCCATGTCAAGCTTCGGGCCAAGTTTTCCTGGTGTCAGGCCCCTCCAGGGAGGTCTGACACAAATCGTAAAATTTGCCTCCTACCCGTCAATTCCACCTCGTGTCAACCAGCCTGGCCCGAAGTTTGACATGGGCCAATAACGTACCCTAATAGTATTTCCTAATTCTTTGATAATATCCTAAATCTGGGCCCCTTGCCAGAAAATATTTCATTCTTACTATCCAGGTACTGTATTCAATATTATAAATTGTGACGCATTTAGTAGGTTGATTGTTATATTTTTTGTCTGATTGTTGTAGAATCATTATGTTATTTTGTCACTATATGTATTTTGCCAATTTGCGCTATTGGTTGCCTGTAAGGGACTGTATTAGGAAGTAAAGAATACTAAAGGTAACATTTAAAAAACCTACACACTACGCAACCCGTCCGACGATTTCACGTCGAGCCTTGTTTAATGTATTAACACATTTTGTATGTGCCGATACAAGACAAGCGGATAATAGAAACACTTTGTATGTGCCGATGCATTTTGTATGTGCCGATGCATTTTGTATGTGCCGATACAAGATATGCATATTGATTTATGATGTAGAAAGCTTCTTTTATGCATAATCCAGAACATATTTGCACATATTGATTTAATCGAGAGCCAGCATAGTGGAACAGAATTGGTATGGAAACTAAATGCCATAAAATTCAGTTTTTTTAAAATATTATCAGAGTCATAATGTATTATCTTTTTAATCAAAGCATGTGAACTCTCATGCACAAAGGTGCAGATATTGAATCATAAAACGGATGCGTGTATAAGAGAAACAGTGGCGAGTCTCTCTCGACGGACCCTCAACAAATAGTTTTTACAACAGGTTTCCTCAGTGAACTGTAGCCGAGCTGCCAGAAGCTGGGCTGGGCAACTGTCTGTTCTCTACCGCATGTCATGGGCACTACAGTATCTAATCTGTTCACCGCAACGTGATGACGACCGATGTGTCAGCTCTGCCACGACAGGTGAAGGATGGCTTCCACGTGAACTGTAGAATATGCATTATGTTCTGGACTTTACAAGTACCCCTAATGACAAGTGTACTATTATGCCTGCATTTTGATTTGCTCAAGCCTCAAGAAGTTGTCGATATGTCCACACGTTCAAAATGGGACCTCAATTTCCACTGCAAAAGCTAGCGGGGCATGAAGGACGTGGTGTTTGTGTGTGAACATGAGGAATGAAGGCAATGGACGCTAGCTTTCCCCCAGTGAGCGGAGTTTGGAACTTCCCATTCTTGAACTCCAAATTTAAAAATTTGTCAAATACATTCATCGCAATCCAGCACAAGCTTGGGTTCCGATACACGAGTTCTATGCTTGCTTGGGTTCCCATACACAAGTCGCATACACATTCAAGTTCCCTACATGGAGCAGTGAGTGGAACTCCAAAATGAATATCTGCTCGAAAGGGTTCTTCATCATTGGAGGGCTCAAGCTCTCCGTTCTGAACAGTGGGGTCAAGTGTGCAAGTTCGACCCTTTCTCGAAGCACCTTGCCTCCGCTGAGTGGACGAAATGACCACATGCACAATGAAGCATTTTAGCCAATGGCGCTTTCTCGAAGTGCTAGGTCTGTTTAATGCTCCTCAGACGGTTGAGGGCCAGCTAGAATCCGTTGCTTGCTACACTACACACACCCCGAACCTGCATTTTTATAGACACCCAGAGACAATGGTCACCACAACCAGAAGGCATTTCCGTCTTTTGAAACAAACTGAGCGGAAGGCGGATTGGCAATGACAAAGTTGCTGCTTGCCGTCATCTCGCGAAGGTGGGTACCCTCAGGTGTATTTGTTTGACCCGTTGTGAAATTTCCGAGCTGAAACTGGGCGGATATCACAACGTACCTTTCAAAGACAGACTACACCCTAAATAGGTGTTGCTTTACTGCACAACAATCGTAACCGTGTACACCCTCTTTCTCAACATTCTCACCTTGCGCGACTCGCCGCTACAGTACTTGTCTCTTGCGATCTGGTGCCATTAAACGTTCCAAGCAACCTGGGGGGAAAAGCTGAACCACGTGACAAACTGGCTCAAAGGCGAAAAAAAACCAGTAATCGCTGTATACCCTTCGCTGTAAACCCTAAACCCTCTGAACGTGGTGACGTTCTACAACCCGTGTATGTTCTGCAACCAGATTCTCTACTAGCGCGAAATAGGGTGTACAGAACTTCCTCACAACACTGCGCATACAGTATTTTACAGACTTCAACAGAAGCCATCTCATTCCGACAGTTATCACCCCGGCATCCAAGTTTGATCCTGTGTGTTGTGTTGTTGTTGAGTTGACCCACCTTGTGCCCCGGAATAGCGGTCACCCTGGCTTCCCGTCCCCGACGAGACGGGACGTGACCGACCGTCGCGAATTTGCCTTGTTGAACGCTGACATCATCGTCACCGTTAGGTGACGAGAGCATCACATGTACATTGCTCGAGGACATGGCATTTATCATAACGATCGTTGCCATTGATTCGTCCGCATTTAATAGCACAAAGCTTGTCCAGCCTGCCAGCTGCGTCCAAAGATACGTCCAGCTGGAGGCTCTAAAGATCTCCACAAGGCATCCGAGATGTAGATTCGGGTACAAACCAGGGCAAAATTTTCGTTTTTGAAAGCACGGAAGGCTCCGGGCTCCCCTGAGAAAAGACCCTGAAGAATCAGCAATCCCTCGAAAGTTTCCCTTCCTCGTCCGTGTGTTTTTCCCAAAATCCGAAAACGCACAACAGCGGTTCATCACCTTAGGCGCAAGAGGCTCTGAAACGCCCAAGTCAGATGGGCAAGGACTAACAAACCTAACACTTACATCATATCTGATTGCACTTATAGGCATCTTTGCATTCGACAGCCCCACACAGAAACTAGTACCGAGCTAATAGCTCACGATGGTTTTCGAAACAATACTGAAAGACCCGAATGCTCGGCCAAATCATCCGGAAATGATCCGGATTTTTTAAAACAATCCTGACGAATCAGGATTCACTGGAAAAACATACGGAATGTACCTGAGAATCAGGATGTTTACCCTGATACCGAGAGCCCTGGTACCAACAGTCCCCACGGTCAACCGCCAGAGACACCATCCCCTGCCTCAGTCAACACGGCAAAAGACTGCCTTGTAGCCGCATTTTCCGTGACTGCCCTCTTGCACATTTGCCCCCGCGAAATCCACCGCCATTGAGCCAAATCCCATCCATCCAACCTTCATCGATTCCTCCCCCCTTGCTTCCATCCCGAAAAAGCCGACTTTATAACGCGGTTGTTTCTACGGGGTAGATTCATTTAACTCAAGTCACCCGCGTCCTTCCTTGCCGAACAAACCAGCTACGTGCCTTCCATCAATACTCACCCTTTTTACCCATTCGGCTCGAGATAAAAGCAGCTGTGATTCAGATGCACGTCATCAACTTGGTTTTTCCGCACTTTTTTCACCATCACCAGAACCGAAGCTGCATTCCAGAGCTTCTGGGATTCTGACTTGCGCGAAACGCAACTCGCACACTATGACGTCTCCCTTGTGTTTTCAGTCCGACGGAGCCAGCGGAGCATTTCCCGCTGGCTTTACCGGTACTAACTGGTTCGCCCAACATCTCCTCGAGGCTTGCGGCGGTAACGGCGGCGGCGGATCCGGCGTACACGGCGGCGTTTTCGGCAGCGCACAGAGCACATTACTTGCAGCATCGGGAGAAACTCAGCTCCCTTCAGCGCTTCCTGTTACAATGCCTTCAGACGCGGACACTCACTTCGCCGCCGCGTCTTCCGCCGTGCCGTCCGCGCCTATGACGCACGAGGACGAGATATTTCTGGCTCAGCTACAGGCGATGCTACAGGAGCCATGCGGTGGCAATGCAGCCGGCATCAGCCCCGTCGGGACGCTTGGCGGCGAGCAACACCCTACTTCCGCCGCCCCCGCGCCGACCGCTCCCGCAGGCCCTACATTTGGCGCTGCTCAGGCAGCGGCAGATAACTCGAGGCGGCGGGAACATTCCAACGGCCTCCCTCTACCTCTGCCGCTGCGCGCGGCGAAAAGTGTGAAGACGTCTCCGCAATCTTGGCCCGGATCGCCTGTGCGAGCTCCGCTCAACGCGCCACGTTCGGCATTGGACAGCTCGCCCCTCAGAAGAGCCCTAACGGCGGAAAGGACGAATTTCTCCGACCCGCGTCTCGGGGAGGCTAAGTTCGGAGGTAATCTGTCGCGCCTCGCTTCCATGCCATTAGACCGCGCGAACGCGGCGGCTTCCATGGATGCACCCGCGGCGGCGACCTCGCCCAAGCGGAGCGCGTCTGGCGACGGCATGGGCTGCCTTTCTGATGAGCCACAACGCTCAAGCGGATCTGGTTCCGCTTCCGCGTCTCCCGCCCCTTCCGCTGGGGTTTCTGCTAAAAATGCTGCCACTCCGGGCGTTTCCGGCGCGGACGGTTCCGCGGGAAGGGGCCCTTCACAGCTCTCGCGACAGCAGTCTGGGAAAGGCGGCGGAAGATTCGGACAGCAGATCAAGCCAAAAAGCATGACGGAGAAGCACCGGAGGGAGAAGATCAGCGAGGGAATGAATCGGCTGCGTATGGTGGTTGATGCGCATGGTGACGTGGCATCGATGCTCAACTATGCGGTGGATTATATCCAAAACATGCAGGCTGCCAATAAGAGCCTGAGGTTGGAGCTTTTGAGGCGCCAGCTGTCGTGCGGTTGTAACGCGTCAAGCGATATTGCTCCGGGGTCACTGATTCAGCACCTGAATGCACTTCAAAAATAGGCGCATTTATTTTGAAGATTTTTAGTTTTTTTGAATATATTTGTGCATTATTCTCTTAGCAAAAATAACAAGGGCCTTTATCTTCACATATCGGGGAAATATTGGTACCAGGCACAACGATCTACTGAAATTGACGATATAATATCAATTTCCTAACATCTCAGCATAGCACAGTATGGTACAGATAGTGGTACTAGTGATGGAAATATACGGTAATGTGACAAAATCATATCCAGACAGAGACCTCTAGCTTCGTATAAGTAGCTTTAACAATAGTTTATACAAGGTTGTCCGCCACCTGAGCTAACTTCCAATCACTGATGTTTGTGGGTGATGCAACTGTAACAAGATCACTCCCCCGTCAATCTTTCTCTTCATTTGAGGTCTCATTACTGGAGGGGAATGTGATTGAAATGAAGTTTCCGAATCGGGACGCGTAGAGAGCCGGGTTGACTGCGCTGATGGACGTGCCGTCGTACCGCAGGCTCTTGCACACGTGCTCCGCCTTCTTACGCGTGTTGTACTCCTGAAAGTAATAGTATGAATGTGTGTGAGAGAAAGAGAGAAATAGAATGGATGAGTGCAAGGAACACACGTGTGCGCTCGCTTCTTGTACTCCCGAAGGTGGTTATGTGTGTGGGAACGAGAGGGAGAGAGAAAAGGACTGTATGAAATGGAACGCAAGACAAGCACACGTGCTCCGCCTTCCTGCTAGTGTTGCGTGAGTGAGAAAGTGAGAGCAATTGAGTGGGATGGAATGCAAGGCGCACACTCGTTTGCATCCGCCTCAGGAAAGTGGTTGGTTGCGAGTGTTTGAGAGTGAGAGAGAGAGAATGCAGATGTACGGGATGGAAAGCAAGGCACACAAAGGTGCTCCTGCTCCACCTTATTGTGTGTGTTGTACTCCTGAACTTGGTTGGGTGTGTGGGAGCAAGAGAAGAAATATTGCAACCTCCCAGCTGTCCTTGACCCTCAACCTTAACTTCAAAACCCGAAACCCCTCAAGAACTGACCTGCAGGATATCAATGATCCCAAAGTGCAGCACCACTTGGTACGTCTCCCTCTTGGCCGGATCCATCACAGCCTTGCCGGCATGCCGTTCCCTAGCAACCCTCAACCCTAAGCCATAAACCAGAAACCCGAACCCCTATACTTAGAAAATCTGACCTGAAGGATATCGATGATCCCGAAGTGCAGTACCACTTGGTATGTCTCCCTCTTAGCCGGATCCATCACAGCCTTGCGAGTCCGCCGGTCCGCCCTCACTGCAGTCGCCGGCATGCCCTGACCCAGCAACCCTCAAACCCGTGCCCTAGAAAACCTCACCTGCAGAATATCAATGATCCCGAAGTGCAGCACCACTTGGTACGTCTCCCTCTTAGCCGGATCCATCACAGCCTTGCGTGTCCGCCTGTCCACCCTCACTGCTGTTGCCGGCATGCCCTGACCCAGCAGCACCCCACTCCCTCCCTCTCCCGTGCCTCCCACCGCTCCTCCCTCGCCCGCGCTCCCTCCTTCTCCCGAGCTCTTTCGCTCTCTCCCTTTCCCTCCCCCCTCCTGCTGCTGCCGCTGCTGTGAAGCTGTGGGCAGCAAGAAGCCATTGGCCACTTGCCCTGCTTTCCCTTCTTCCCCGCTCGCTGCTGCATCAGCTGTCGATCTCGTCCCTTCAGCTGCCCCCACCAAGGCATTTTCTGGATGGCTGGATTTGTCTGTTGTGGTGGAGGTGTCAACTGATGCATCGGCGGTAGAGGTGGAGGCAACCCTCTGCCATGGCCTCTGCATGTGATGCTTCATCTGTGGCTAAAGGCAGGGAGCGGGAGGGAGAGAGGGGGGTGGTTTGAAGGGAGACTGGGGGATTGGTAGGGCCGGGGGCTGAAGGGGCGGAGGTGGAGGGTACCCTCTGCATGGCCTCAGACTCTCCCTCACCGCCCCACACCCCAACCTCACACACTCTCACGCAAACGCGCGCTCCCGCACTCACACACTCTCACGCAAACGCGGACTCCCACACTCACACACTCCCACACTCGCAAACGCGGACTCCCGCACTCACACACTCCCACTCAAACTCTCCCAACGAACACTCACCTGGCGGAAGGAGTTGGGGAACGAAGTCGAGGTGGCACTCAGGGCGGCTTCTCCTGCTGACGTGTCATCTACTGCTGACGTGTCGCCGCCTGATTGGTCCTCCCCAGCCTCCACTTCTGTGGCTGCAGCAGCTGAAGAGTGAGAGGATGGATAAAAAGAGGGAATCGGGAAATGACGGGGAGAGAAGGAGTGGAAGATGGAAGGGAGAAGACATGAAAAGAGAAGGTGAGGGTGAAAAGGACAGTGGTAAGTGGGCGAGAGTGAGGGTAGGAGAGTAAGTGTGAGGGTAGGATGAGGATGAGGAGGAGGAGGAGGAGGAGGAGGAGGAGGAGGAGGAGGAGGAGGAGGAGGAGGATGAGGAGGAGGAGGAGGAGGAGGAGGAGGAGGCAAACGAACAAACGGAACGGATAAACCATAATTTTCAAATAAACTCATCACCCTCCTCCGCCATTTCAAGTGGCGTGCCTTTCATGCGTGCCTTTCACGCGTGCACTTCCCCTTCCTAATAAAAATGCGTACAATTTCAAAAGCACACTCTCTGCTGCACCCAACGACATCCACAACACAACCGCAGCACCTGATGAGATGGACGGCCGAGATTGGCCGTCCTGGGTCGCGCGGCCCTCGGCGATGGTGACAGGTGGAAGCGCGGCATTGGTGGGGCGGAAATGCACCCCCAGCAGCAGGCTGTAGTCCATAATGCGCTGCCTCTGCAGGAACGCCGTGTCCAGTGCGATTTGCCTGGCGGGAGGCGAAAAGCAATGGGGAATGAGGGAATTGGATGGGGGGGGTTCGAACGTGCATGGTGCACGCACCCCCAGCAGCAGGCTCTAGTCCATAATGCGCTGCGCGCAGGAACGCCGTGTCCAGGGCGATTTGCCTGGATAGGGACAGCAATTATGGGGGAAAGGTCGGAATGGATGGGGGAATTCAGGGGTACACACACTCCCAGCAGCAGGCTCTAGTCCATGATGCGCTGGCGCTGCAGGAACGCCGTGTCCAGCCCGATTTGCTGCGGGAGGAAGAGGGAGAACAGGGAGGAGGGGAATGATGCTCAGTGAGTGAGGTGTCTCCAGGGACTCCCAGCAGCAGGCTGTAATCCATTATGCGCTGCCACTGCAGGAAAGTTGTGTCCAGGCAGTGAGACCATGGAACTGCCACTCACTCTTTCCCCCGTGCCACAGGCAGGCACACTCCCACTCCCACACCACACCCTCCCACCTGTGCATGAGGGCGCACCCCAGGATGCGGGCATGTAAATGGAGAGATCCAGGTCCAAATCTTTCAGAGTAGTGGTTTCATGATTTCATCCACTGCCACCTTCTCATTGCTGCGCCCCTGCGACGACCCCTTGAGATCAAACCGTCTATGCATGCGCAAGTCGGTGTCAAACACATTGGCCATCACCACAAAGCGGGTGAGCGTGGAGGGCGAGGAGAGGCTGTGAGGCTGTGAGGCTGTGCATGGCCGCATTCTCACGCTCTTACACTCACCTGTACACGAGGGGGCGCCACGAGGCGGGCATGTGAAAACTCAGGTCGAGATCGAGGTCCTTGAGCGTGGTGGTCTCATCCACTACCACCAAACCCAACCCAAACCAGCCCACCTGTGCATGAGCGCTCGCCACGAGGCGGGCATGTGAAAACTCAGGTCGAGGTCTTTCAGCGTGGTGGTCTCGTCCACAGCCACTTTCTCCGTGCTCCTCCCCTGCGAAGACCCCTTGAGGCCGTGGGGCTGTACCTGGCAGACACTCTTTCCTTGGTGCCACACGCACACTAACCTGGCGGTGCATGGACGCACCTGTGCATTAAGGCTCTCCACGAGGCGGGCATGTGAAAGGAGGGGTCCAAATCGAGGTCTTTCAGTGTAGTGGTCTCATCCACTGCCACCTTCTCTGTGCTGCGCCCCTGCGACGACCCCTTGAGGTCGACGCGGCGGTGCATGGACGCACCTGTGCATTAAGGCTCTCCACGAGGCGGGCATGTGAAAGGAGAGGTCCAAATCGAGGTCTTTCAGTGTAGTGGTCTCATCCACTGCCACCTTCTCTGTGCTGCGCCCCTGCGACGACCCCTTGAGGTCGACGCGGCGGTGCATGGACGCACCTGTGCATTAAGGCTCTCCACGAGGCGGGCATGTGAAAGGAGAGGTCCAAATCGAGGTCTTTCAGTGTAGTGGTCTCATCCATTGCCACCTTCTCTGTGCTGCGCCCCTGCGACGACCCCTTGAGGTCGACGCGGCGGTGCATGGACGCACCTGTGCATTAAGGCTCTCCACGAGGCGGGCATGTGAAAGGAGAGGTCCAAATCGAGGTCTTTCAGTGTAGTGGTCTCATCCACTGCCACCTTCTCTGTGCTGCGCCCCTGCGACGACCCCTTGAGGTCGACGCGGCGGTGCATGGACGCACCTGTGCATTAAGGCTCTCCACGAGGCGGGCATGTGAAAGGAGAGGTCCAAATCGAGGTCTTTCAGTGTAGTGGTCTCATCCACTGCCACCTTCTCTGTGCTGCGCCCCTGCGACGACCCCTTGAGGTCGACGCGGCGGTGCATGGACGCACCTGTGCATTAAGGCTCTCCACGAGGCGGGCATGTGAAAGGAGAGGTCCAAATCGAGGTCTTTCAGTGTAGTGGTCTCATCCACTGCCACCTTCTCTGTGCTGCGCCCCTGCGACGACCCCTTGAGGTCGACGCGGCGGTGCATGGACGCACCTGTGCATTAAGGCTCTCCACGAGGCGGGCATGTGAAAGGAGAGGTCCAAATCGAGGTCTTTCAGTGTAGTGGTCTCATCCACTGCCACCTTCTCTGTGCTGCGCCCCTGCGACGACCCCTTGAGGTCGACGCGGCGGTGCATGGACGCACCTGTGCATTAAGGCTCTCCACGAGGCGGGCATGTGAAAGGAGAGGTCCAAATCGAGGTCTTTCAGTGTAGTGGTCTCATCCACTGCCACCTTCTCTGTGCTGCGCCCCTGCGACGACCCCTTGAGGTCGACGCGGCGGTGCATGGACGCACCTGTGCATTAAGGCTCTCCACGAGGCGGGCATGTGAAAGGAGAGGTCCAAATCGAGGTCTTTCAGTGTAGTGGTCTCATCCACTGCCACCTTCTCTGTGCTGCGCCCCTGCGACGACCCCTTGAGGTCGACGCGGCGGTGCATGGACGCACCTGTGCATTAAGGCTCTCCACGAGGCGGGCATGTGAAAGGAGAGGTCCAAATCGAGGTCTTTCAGTGTAGTGGTCTCATCCACTGCCACCTTCTCTGTGCTGCGCCCCTGCGACGACCCCTTGAGGTCGACGCGGCGGTGCATGGACGCACCTGTGCATTAAGGCTCTCCACGAGGCGGGCATGTGAAAGGAGAGGTCCAAATCGAGGTCTTTCAGTGTAGTGGTCTCATCCACTGCCACCTTCTCTGTGCTGCGCCCCTGCGACGACCCCTTGAGGTCGACGCGGCGGTGCATGGACGCACCTGTGCATTAAGGCTCTCCACGAGGCGGGCATGTGAAAGGAGAGGTCCAAATCGAGGTCTTTCAGTGTAGTGGTCTCATCCACTGCCACCTTCTCTGTGCTGCGCCCCTGCGACGACCCCTTGAGGTCGACGCGGCGGTGCATGGACGCACCTGTGCATTAAGGCTCTCCACGAGGCGGGCATGTGAAAGGAGAGGTCCAAATCGAGGTCTTTCAGTGTAGTGGTCTCATCCACTGCCACCTTCTCTGTGCTGCGCCCCTGCGACGACCCCTTGAGGTCGACGCGGCGGTGCATGGACGCACCTGTGCATTAAGGCTCTCCACGAGGCGGGCATGTGAAAGGAGAGGTCCAAATCGAGGTCTTTCAGTGTAGTGGTCTCATCCACTGCCACCTTCTCTGTGCTGCGCCCCTGCGACGACCCCTTGAGGTCGACGCGGCGGTGCATGGACGCACCTGTGCATTAAGGCTCTCCACGAGGCGGGCATGTGAAAGGAGAGGTCCAAATCGAGGTCTTTCAGTGTAGTGGTCTCATCCACTGCCACCTTCTCTGTGCTGCGCCCCTGCGACGACCCCTTGAGGTCGACGCGGCGGTGCATGGACGCACCTGTGCATTAAGGCTCTCCACGAGGCGGGCATGTGAAAGGAGAGGTCCAAATCGAGGTCTTTCAGTGTAGTGGTCTCATCCACTGCCACCTTCTCTGTGCTGCGCCCCTGCGACGACCCCTTGAGGTCGACGCGGCGGTGCATGGACGCACCTGTGCATTAAGGCTCTCCACGAGGCGGGCATGTGAAAGGAGAGGTCCAAATCGAGGTCTTTCAGTGTAGTGGTCTCATCCACTGCCACCTTCTCTGTGCTGCGCCCCTGCGACGACCCCTTGAGGTCGACGCGGCGGTGCATGGACGCACCTGTGCATTAAGGCTCTCCACGAGGCGGGCATGTGAAAGGAGAGGTCCAAATCGAGGTCTTTCAGTGTAGTGGTCTCATCCACTGCCACCTTCTCTGTGCTGCGCCCCTGCGACGACCCCTTGAGGTCGACGCGGCGGTGCATGGACGCACCTGTGCATTAAGGCTCTCCACGAGGCGGGCATGTGAAAGGAGAGGTCCAAATCGAGGTCTTTCAGTGTAGTGGTCTCATCCACTGCCACCTTCTCTGTGCTGCGCCCCTGCGACGACCCCTTGAGGTCGACGCGGCGGTGCATGGACGCACCTGTGCATTAAGGCTCTCCACGAGGCGGGCATGTGAAAGGAGAGGTCCAAATCGAGGTCTTTCAGTGTAGTGGTCTCATCCACTGCCACCTTCTCTGTGCTGCGCCCCTGCGACGACCCCTTGAGGTCGACGCGGCGGTGCATGGACGCACCTGTGCATTAAGGCTCTCCACGAGGCGGGCATGTGAAAGGAGAGGTCCAAATCGAGGTCTTTCAGTGTAGTGGTCTCATCCACTGCCACCTTCTCTGTGCTGCGCCCCTGCGACGACCCCTTGAGGTCGACGCGGCGGTGCATGGACGCACCTGTGCATTAAGGCTCTCCACGAGGCGGGCATGTGAAAGGAGAGGTCCAAATCGAGGTCTTTCAGTGTAGTGGTCTCATCCACTGCCACCTTCTCTGTGCTGCGCCCCTGCGACGACCCCTTGAGGTCGACGCGGCGGTGCATGGACGCACCTGTGCATTAAGGCTCTCCACGAGGCGGGCATGTGAAAGGAGAGGTCCAAATCGAGGTCTTTCAGTGTAGTGGTCTCATCCACTGCCACCTTCTCTGTGCTGCGCCCCTGCGACGACCCCTTGAGGTCGACGCGGCGGTGCATGGACGCACCTGTGCATTAAGGCTCTCCACGAGGCGGGCATGTGAAAGGAGAGGTCCAAATCGAGGTCTTTCAGTGTAGTGGTCTCATCCACTGCCACCTTCTCTGTGCTGCGCCCCTGCGACGACCCCTTGAGGTCGACGCGGCGGTGCATGGACGCACCTGTGCATTAAGGCTCTCCACGAGGCGGGCATGTGAAAGGAGAGGTCCAAATCGAGGTCTTTCAGTGTAGTGGTCTCATCCACTGCCACCTTCTCTGTGCTGCGCCCCTGCGACGACCCCTTGAGGTCGACGCGGCGGTGCATGGACGCACCTGTGCATTAAGGCTCTCCACGAGGCGGGCATGTGAAAGGAGAGGTCCAAATCAAGGTCTTTCAGTGTAGTGGTCTCATCCACTGCCACCTTCTCTGTGCTGCGCCCCTGCGACGACCCCTTGAGGTCGACGCGGCGGTGCATGGACGCACCTGTGCATTAAGGCTCTCCACGAGGCGGGCATGTGAAAGGAGAGGTCCAAATCGAGGTCTTTCAGTGTAGTGGTCTCATCCACTGCCACCTTCTCTGTGCTGCGCCCCTGCGACGACCCCTTGAGGTCGACGCGGCGGTGCATGGACGCACCTGTGCATTAAGGCTCTCCACGAGGCGGGCATGTGAAAGGAGAGGTCCAAATCGAGGTCTTTCAGTGTAGTGGTCTCATCCACTGCCACCTTCTCTGTGCTGCGCCCCTGCGACGACCCCTTGAGGTCGACGCGGCGGTGCATGGACGCACCTGTGCATTAAGGCTCTCCACGAGGCGGGCATGTGAAAGGAGAGGTCCAAATCGAGGTCTTTCAGTGTAGTGGTCTCATCCACTGCCACGTTCTCTGTGCTGCGCCCCTGCGACGACCCCTTGAGGTCGACGCGGCGGTGCATGGACGCACCTGTGCATTAAGGCTCTCCACGAGGCGGGCATGTGAAAGGAGAGGTCCAAATCGAGGTCTTTCAGTGTAGTGGTCTCATCCACTGCCACCTTCTCTGTGCTGCGCCCCTGCGACGACCCCTTGAGGTCGACGCGGCGGTGCATGGACGCACCTGTGCATTAAGGCTCTCCACGAGGCGGGCATGTGAAAGGAGAGGTCCAAATCGAGGTCTTTCAGTGTAGTGGTCTCATCCACTGCCACCTTCTCTGTGCTGCGCCCCTGCGACGACCCCTTGAGGTCGACGCGGCGGTGCATGGACGCACCTGTGCATTAAGGCTCTCCACGAGGCGGGCATGTGAAAGGAGAGGTCCAAATCGAGGTCTTTCAGTGTAGTGGTCTCATCCACTGCCACCTTCTCTGTGCTGCGCCCCTGCGACGACCCCTTGAGGTCGACGCGGCGGTGCATGGACGCACCTGTGCATTAAGGCTCTCCACGAGGCGGGCATGTGAAAGGAGAGGTCCAAATCGAGGTCTTTCAGTGTAGTGGTCTCATCCACTGCCACCTTCTCTGTGCTGCGCCCCTGCGACGACCCCTTGAGGTCGACGCGGCGGTGCATGGACGCACCTGTGCATTAAGGCTCTCCACGAGGCGGGCATGTGAAAGGAGAGGTCCAAATCGAGGTCTTTCAGTGTAGTGGTCTCATCCACTGCCACCTTCTCTGTGCTGCGCCCCTGCGACGACCCCTTGAGGTCGACGCGGCGGTGCATGGACGCACCTGTGCATTAAGGCTCTCCACGAGGCGGGCATGTGAAAGGAGAGGTCCAAATCGATGTCTTTCAGTGTAGTGGTCTCATCCACTGCCACCTTCTCTGTGCTGCGCCCCTGCGACGACCCCTTGAGGTCGACGCGGCGGTGCATGGACGCACCTGTGCATTAAGGCTCTCCACGAGGCGGGCATGTGAAAGGAGAGGTCCAAATCGAGGTCTTTCAGTGTAGTGGTCTCATCCACTGCCACCTTCTCTGTGCTGCGCCCCTGCGACGACCCCTTGAGGTCGACGCGGCGGTGCATGGACGCACCTGTGCATTAAGGCTCTCCACGAGGCGGGCATGTGAAAGGAGAGGTCCAAATCGAGGTCTTTCAGTGTAGTGGTCTCATCCACTGCCACCTTCTCTGTGCTGCGCCCCTGCGACGACCCCTTGAGGTCGACGCGGCGGTGCATGGACGCACCTGTGCATTAAGGCTCTCCACGAGGCGGGCATGTGAAAGGAGAGGTCCAAATCGAGGTCTTTTAGTGTAGTGGTCTCATCCACTGCCACCTTCTCTGTGCTGCGCCCCTGCGACGACCCCTTGAGGTCGACGCGGCGGTGCATGGACGCACCTGTGCATTAAGGCTCTCCACGAGGCGGGCATGTGAAAGGAGAGGTCCAAATCGAGGTCTTTCAGTGTAGTGGTCTCATCCACTGCCACCTTCTCTGTGCTGCGCCCCTGCGACGACCCCTTGAGGTCGACGCGGCGGTGCATGGACGCACCTGTGCATTAAGGCTCTCCACGAGGCGGGCATGTGAAAGGAGAGGTCCAAATCGAGGTCTTTCAGTGTAGTGGTCTCATCCACTGCCACCTTCTCTGTGCTGCGCCCCTGCGACGACCCCTTGAGGTCGACGCGGCGGTGCATGGACGCACCTGTGCATTAAGGCTCTCCACGAGGCGGGCATGTGAAAGGAGAGGTCCAAATCGAGGTCTTTCAGTGTAGTGGTCTCATCCACTGCCACCTTCTCTGTGCTGCGCCCCTGCAACGACCCCTTGAGGTCGACGCGGCGGTGCATGGACGCACCTGTGCATTAAGGCTCTCCACGAGGCGGGCATGTGAAAGGAGAGGTCCAAATCGAGGTCTTTCAGTGTAGTGGTCTCATCCACTGCCACCTTCTCTGTGCTGCGCCCCTGCGACAACCCCTTGAGGTCGACGCGGCGGTGCATGGACGCACCTGTGCATTAAGGCTCTCCACGAGGCGGGCATGTGAAAGGAGAGGTCCAAATCGAGGTCTTTCAGTGTAGTGGTCTCATCCACTGCCACCTTCTCTGTGCTGCGCCCCTGCGACGACCCCTTGAGGTCGACGCGGCGGTGCATGGACGCACCTGTGCATTAAGGCTCTCCACGAGGCGGGCATGTGAAAGGAGAGGTCCAAATCGAGGTCTTTCAGTGTAGTGGTCTCATCCACTGCCACCTTCTCTGTGCTGCGCCCCTGCGACGACCCCTTGAGGTCGACGCGGCGGTGCATGGACGCACCTGTGCATTAAGGCTCTCCACGAGGCGGGCATGTGAAAGGAGAGGTCCAAATCGAGGTCTTTCAGTGTAGTGGTCTCATCCACTGCCACCTTCTCTGTGCTGCGCCCCTGCGACGACCCCTTGAGGTCGACGCGGCGGTGCATGGACGCACCTGTGCATTAAGGCTCTCCACGAGGCGGGCATGTGAAAGGAGAGGTCCAAATCGAGGTCTTTCAGTGTAGTGGTCTCATCCACTGCCACCTTCTCTGTGCTGCGCCCCTGCGACGACCCCTTGAGGTCGACGCGGCGGTGCATGGACGCACCTGTGCATTAAGGCTCTCCACGAGGCGGGCATGTGAAAGGAGGGGTCCAAATCGAGGTCTTTCAGTGTAGTGGTCTCATCCACTGCCACCTTCTCTGTGCTGCGCCCCTGCGACGACCCCTTGAGGTCGACGCGGCGGTGCATGGACGCACCTGTGCATTAAGGCTCTCCACGAGGCGGGCATGTGAAAGGAGAGGTCCAAATCGAGGTCTTTCAGTGTAGTGGTCTCATCCACTGCCACCTTCTCTGTGCTGCGCCCCTGCGACGACCCCTTGAGGTCGACGCGGCGGTGCATGGACGCACCTGTGCATTAAGGCTCTCCACGAGGCGGGCATGTGAAAGGAGAGGTCCAAATCGAGGTCTTTCAGTGTAGTGGTCTCATCCACTGCCACCTTCTCTGTGCTGCGCCCCTGCGACGACCCCTTGAGGTCGACGCGGCGGTGCATGGACGCACCTGTGCATTAAGGCTCTCCACGAGGCGGGCATGTGAAAGGAGAGGTCCAAATCGAGGTCTTTCAGTGTAGTGGTCTCATCCATTGCCACCTTCTCTGTGCTGCGCCCCTGCGACGACCCCTTGAGGTCGACGCGGCGGTGCATGGACGCACCTGTGCATTAAGGCTCTCCACGAGGCGGGCATGTGAAAGGAGAGGTCCAAATCGAGGTCTTTCAGTGTAGTGGTCTCATCCACTGCCACCTTCTCTGTGCTGCGCCCCTGCGACGACCCCTTGAGGTCGACGCGGCGGTGCATGGACGCACCTGTGCATTAAGGCTCTCCACGAGGCGGGCATGTGAAAGGAGAGGTCCAAATCGAGGTCTTTCAGTGTAGTGGTCTCATCCACTGCCACCTTCTCTGTGCTGCGCCCCTGCGACGACCCCTTGAGGTCGACGCGGCGGTGCATGGACGCACCTGTGCATTAAGGCTCTCCACGAGGCGGGCATGTGAAAGGAGAGGTCCAAATCGAGGTCTTTCAGTGTAGTGGTCTCATCCACTGCCACCTTCTCTGTGCTGCGCCCCTGCGACGACCCCTTGAGGTCGACGCGGCGGTGCATGGACGCACCTGTGCATTAAGGCTCTCCACGAGGCGGGCATGTGAAAGGAGAGGTCCAAATCGAGGTCTTTCAGTGTAGTGGTCTCATCCACTGCCACCTTCTCTGTGCTGCGCCCCTGCGACGACCCCTTGAGGTCGACGCGGCGGTGCATGGACGCACCTGTGCATTAAGGCTCTCCACGAGGCGGGCATGTGAAAGGAGAGGTCCAAATCGAGGTCTTTCAGTGTAGTGGTCTCATCCACTGCCACCTTCTCTGTGCTGCGCCCCTGCGACGACCCCTTGAGGTCGACGCGGCGGTGCATGGACGCACCTGTGCATTAAGGCTCTCCACGAGGCGGGCATGTGAAAGGAGAGGTCCAAATCGAGGTCTTTCAGTGTAGTGGTCTCATCCACTGCCACCTTCTCTGTGCTGCGCCCCTGCGACGACCCCTTGAGGTCGACGCGGCGGTGCATGGACGCACCTGTGCATTAAGGCTCTCCACGAGGCGGGCATGTGAAAGGAGAGGTCCAAATCGAGGTCTTTCAGTGTAGTGGTCTCATCCACTGCCACCTTCTCTGTGCTGCGCCCCTGCGACGACCCCTTGAGGTCGACGCGGCGGTGCATGGACGCACCTGTGCATTAAGGCTCTCCACGAGGCGGGCATGTGAAAGGAGAGGTCCAAATCGAGGTCTTTCAGTGTAGTGGTCTCATCCACTGCCACCTTCTCTGTGCTGCGCCCCTGCGACGACCCCTTGAGGTCGACGCGGCGGTGCATGGACGCACCTGTGCATTAAGGCTCTCCACGAGGCGGGCATGTGAAAGGAGGGGTCCAAATCGAGGTCTTTCAGTGTAGTGGTCTCATCCACTGCCACCTTCTCTGTGCTGCGCCCCTGCGACGACCCCTTGAGGTCGACGCGGCGGTGCATGGACGCACCTGTGCATTAAGGCTCTCCACGAGGCGGGCATGTGAAAGGAGAGGTCCAAATCGAGGTCTTTCAGTGTAGTGGTCTCATCCACTGCCACCTTCTCTGTGCTGCGCCCCTGCGACGACCCCTTGAGGTCGACGCGGCGGTGCATGGACGCACCTGTGCATTAAGGCTCTCCACGAGGCGGGCATGTGAAAGGAGAGGTCCAAATCGAGGTCTTTCAGTGTAGTGGTCTCATCCACTGCCACCTTCTCTGTGCTGCGCCCCTGCGACGACCCCTTGAGGTCGACGCGGCGGTGCATGGACGCACCTGTGCATTAAGGCTCTCCACGAGGCAGGCATGTGAAAGGAGAGGTCCAAATCGAGGTCTTTCAGTGTAGTGGTCTCATCCACTGCCACCTTCTCTGTGCTGCGCCCCTGCGACGACCCCTTGAGGTCGACGCGGCGGTGCATGGACGCACCTGTGCATTAAGGCTCTCCACGAGGCGGGCATGTGAAAGGAGAGGTCCAAATCGAGGTCTTTCAGTGTAGTGGTCTCATCCACTGCCACCTTCTCTGTGCTGCGCCCCTGCGACGACCCCTTGAGGTCGACGCGGCGGTGCATGGACGCACCTGTGCATTAAGGCTCTCCACGAGGCGGGCATGTGAAAGGAGAGGTCCAAATCGAGGTCTTTCAGTGTAGTGGTCTCATCCACTGCCACCTTCTCTGTGCTGCGCCCCTGCGACGACCCCTTGAGGTCGACGCGGCGGTGCATGGACGCACCTGTGCATTAAGGCTCTCCACGAGGCGGGCATGTGAAAGGAGAGGTCCAAATCGAGGTCTTTCAGTGTAGTGGTCTCATCCACTGCCACCTTCTCTGTGCTGCGCCCCTGCGACGACCCCTTGAGGTCGACGCGGCGGTGCATGGACGCACCTGTGCATTAAGGCTCTCCACGAGGCGGGCATGTGAAAGGAGAGGTCCAAATCGAGGTCTTTCAGTGTAGTGGTCTCATCCACTGCCACCTTCTCTGTGCTGCGCCCCTGCGACGACCCCTTGAGGTCGACGCGGCGGTGCATGGACGCACCTGTGCATTAAGGCTCTCCACGAGGCGGGCATGTGAAAGGAGAGGTCCAAATCGAGGTCTTTCAGTGTAGTGGTCTCATCCACTGCCACCTTCTCTGTGCTGCGCCCCTGCGACGACCCCTTGAGGTCGACGCGGCGGTGCATGGACGCACCTGTGCATTAAGGCTCTCCACGAGGCGGGCATGTGAAAGGAGAGGTCCAAATCGAGGTCTTTCAGTGTAGTGGTCTCATCCACTGCCACCTTCTCTGTGCTGCGCCCCTGCGACGACCCCTTGAGGTCGACGCGGCGGTGCATGGACGCACCTGTGCATTAAGGCTCTCCACGAGGCGGGCATGTGAAAGGAGAGGTCCAAATCGAGGTCTTTCAGTGTAGTGGTCTCATCCACTGCCACCTTCTCTGTGCTGCGCCCCTGCGACGACCCCTTGAGGTCGACGCGGCGGTGCATGGACGCACCTGTGCATTAAGGCTCTCCACGAGGCGGGCATGTGAAAGGAGAGGTCCAAATCGAGGTCTTTCAGTGTAGTGGTCTCATCCACTGCCACCTTCTCTGTGCTGCGCCCCTGCGACGACCCCTTGAGGTCGACGCGGCGGTGCATGGACGCACCTGTGCATTAAGGCTCTCCACGAGGCGGGCATGTGAAAGGAGAGGTCCAAATCGAGGTCTTTCAGTGTAGTGGTCTCATCCACTGCCACCTTCTCTGTGCTGCGCCCCTGCGACGACCCCTTGAGGTCGACGCGGCGGTGCATGGACGCACCTGTGCATTAAGGCTCTCCACGAGGCGGGCATGTGAAAGGAGAGGTCCAAATCGAGGTCTTTCAGTGTAGTGGTCTCATCCACTGCCACCTTCTCTGTGCTGCGCCCCTGCGACGACCCCTTGAGGTCGACGCGGCGGTGCATGGACGCACCTGTGCATTAAGGCTCTCCACGAGGCGGGCATGTGAAAGGAGAGGTCCAAATCGAGGTCTTTCAGTGTAGTGGTCTCATCCACTGCCACCTTCTCTGTGCTGCGCCCCTGCGACGACCCCTTGAGGTCGACGCGGCGGTGCATGGACGCACCTGTGCATTAAGGCTCTCCACGAGGCGGGCATGTGAAAGGAGAGGTCCAAATCGAGGTCTTTCAGTGTAGTGGTCTCATCCACTGCCACCTTCTCTGTGCTGCGCCCCTGCGACGACCCCTTGAGGTCGACGCGGCGGTGCATGGACGCACCTGTGCATTAAGGCTCTCCACGAGGCGGGCATGTGAAAGGAGAGGTCCAAATCGAGGTCTTTCAGTGTAGTGGTCTCATCCACTGCCACCTTCTCTGTGCTGCGCCCCTGCGACGACCCCTTGAGGTCGACGCGGCGGTGCATGGACGCACCTGTGCATTAAGGCTCTCCACGAGGCGGGCATGTGAAAGGAGGGGTCCAAATCGAGGTCTTTCAGTGTAGTGGTCTCATCCACTGCCACCTTCTCTGTGCTGCGCCCCTGCGACGACCCCTTGAGGTCGACGCGGCGGTGCATGGACGCACCTGTGCATTAAGGCTCTCCACGAGGCGGGCATGTGAAAGGAGAGGTCCAAATCGAGGTCTTTCAGTGTAGTGGTCTCATCCACTGCCACCTTCTCTGTGCTGCGCCCCTGCGACGACCCCTTGAGGTCGACGCGGCGGTGCATGGACGCACCTGTGCATTAAGGCTCTCCACGAGGCGGGCATGTGAAAGGAGAGGTCCAAATCGAGGTCTTTCAGTGTAGTGGTCTCATCCATTGCCACCTTCTCTGTGCTGCGCCCCTGCGACGACCCCTTGAGGTCGACGCGGCGGTGCATGGACGCACCTGTGCATTAAGGCTCTCCACGAGGCGGGCATGTGAAAGGAGAGGTCCAAATCGAGGTCTTTCAGTGTCACCTTCTCTGTGCTGCGCCCCTGCGACGACCCCTTGAGGTCGACGCGGCGGTGCATGGACGCACCTGTGCATTAAGGCTCTCCACGAGGCGGGCATGTGAAAGGAGAGGTCCAAATCGAGGTCTTTCAGTGTAGTGGTCTCATCCACTGCCACCTTCTCTGTGCTGCGCCCCTGCGACGACCCCTTGAGGTCGACGCGGCGGTGCATGGACGCACCTGTGCATTAAGGCTCTCCACGAGGCGGGCATGTGAAAGGAGAGGTCCAAATCGAGGTCTTTCAGTGTAGTGGTCTCATCCACTGCCACCTTCTCTGTGCTGCGCCCCTGCGACGACCCCTTGAGGTCGACGCGGCGGTGCATGGACGCACCTGTGCATTAAGGCTCTCCACGAGGCGGGCATGTGAAAGGAGAGGTCCAAATCGAGGTCTTTCAGTGTAGTGGTCTCATCCACTGCCACCTTCTCTGTGCTGCGCCCCTGCGACGACCCCTTGAGGTCGACGCGGCGGTGCATGGACGCACCTGTGCATTAAGGCTCTCCACGAGGCGGGCATGTGAAAGGAGAGGTCCAAATCGAGGTCTTTCAGTGTAGTGGTCTCATCCACTGCCACCTTCTCTGTGCTGCGCCCCTGCGACGACCCCTTGAGGTCGACGCGGCGGTGCATGGACGCACCTGTGCATTAAGGCTCTCCACGAGGCGGGCATGTGAAAGGAGAGGTCCAAATCGAGGTCTTTCAGTGTAGTGGTCTCATCCACTGCCACCTTCTCTGTGCTGCGCCCCTGCGACGACCCCTTGAGGTCGACGCGGCGGTGCATGGACGCACCTGTGCATTAAGGCTCTCCACGAGGCGGGCATGTGAAAGGAGAGGTCCAAATCGAGGTCTTTCAGTGTAGTGGTCTCATCCACTGCCACCTTCTCTGTGCTGCGCCCCTGCGACGACCCCTTGAGGTCGACGCGGCGGTGCATGGACGCACCTGTGCATTAAGGCTCTCCACGAGGCGGGCATGTGAAAGGAGAGGTCCAAATCGAGGTCTTTCAGTGTAGTGGTCTCATCCACTGCCACCTTCTCTGTGCTGCGCCCCTGCGACGACCCCTTGAGGTCGACGCGGCGGTGCATGGACGCACCTGTGCATTAAGGCTCTCCACGAGGCGGGCATGTGAAAGGAGAGGTCCAAATCGAGGTCTTTCAGTGTAGTGGTCTCATCCACTGCCACCTTCTCTGTGCTGCGCCCCTGCGACGACCCCTTGAGGTCGACGCGGCGGTGCATGGACGCACCTGTGCATTAAGGCTCTCCACGAGGCGGGCATGTGAAAGGAGAGGTCCAAATCGAGGTCTTTCAGTGTAGTGGTCTCATCCACTGCCACCTTCTCTGTGCTGCGCCCCTGCGACGACCCCTTGAGGTCGACGCGGCGGTGCATGGACGCACCTGTGCATTAAGGCTCTCCACGAGGCGGGCATGTGAAAGGAGAGGTCCAAATCGAGGTCTTTCAGTGTAGTGGTCTCATCCACTGCCACCTTCTCTGTGCTGCGCCCCTGCGACGACCCCTTGAGGTCGACGCGGCGGTGCATGGACGCACCTGTGCATTAAGGCTCTCCACGAGGCGGGCATGTGAAAGGAGAGGTCCAAATCGAGGTCTTTCAGTGTAGTGGTCTCATCCACTGCCACCTTCTCTGTGCTGCGCCCCTGCGACGACCCCTTGAGGTCGACGCGGCGGTGCATGGACGCACCTGTGCATTAAGGCTCTCCACGAGGCGGGCATGTGAAAGGAGGGGTCCAAATCGAGGTCTTTCAGTGTAGTGGTCTCATCCACTGCCACCTTCTCTGTGCTGCGCCCCTGCGACGACCCCTTGAGGTCGACGCGGCGGTGCATGGACGCACCTGTGCATTAAGGCTCTCCACGAGGCGGGCATGTGAAAGGAGAGGTCCAAATCGAGGTCTTTCAGTGTAGTGGTCTCATCCACTGCCACCTTCTCTGTGCTGCGCCCCTGCGACGACCCCTTGAGGTCGACGCGGCGGTGCATGGACGCACCTGTGCATTAAGGCTCTCCACGAGGCGGGCATGTGAAAGGAGAGGTCCAAATCGAGGTCTTTCAGTGTAGTGGTCTCATCCATTGCCACCTTCTCTGTGCTGCGCCCCTGCGACGACCCCTTGAGGTCGACGCGGCGGTGCATGGACGCACCTGTGCATTAAGGCTCTCCACGAGGCGGGCATGTGAAAGGAGAGGTCCAAATCGAGGTCTTTCAGTGTCACCTTCTCTGTGCTGCGCCCCTGCGACGACCCCTTGAGGTCGACGCGGCGGTGCATGGACGCACCTGTGCATTAAGGCTCTCCACGAGGCGGGCATGTGAAAGGAGAGGTCCAAATCGAGGTCTTTCAGTGTAGTGGTCTCATCCACTGCCACCTTCTCTGTGCTGCGCCCCTGCGACGACCCCTTGAGGTCGACGCGGCGGTGCATGGACGCACCTGTGCATTAAGGCTCTCCACGAGGCGGGCATGTGAAAGGAGAGGTCCAAATCGAGGTCTTTCAGTGTAGTGGTCTCATCCACTGCCACCTTCTCTGTGCTGCGCCCCTGCGACGACCCCTTGAGGTCGACGCGGCGGTGCATGGACGCACCTGTGCATTAAGGCTCTCCACGAGGCGGGCATGTGAAAGGAGAGGTCCAAATCGAGGTCTTTCAGTGTAGTGGTCTCATCCACTGCCACCTTCTCTGTGCTGCGCCCCTGCGACGACCCCTTGAGGTCGACGCGGCGGTGCATGGACGCACCTGTGCATTAAGGCTCTCCACGAGGCGGGCATGTGAAAGGAGAGGTCCAAATCGAGGTCTTTCAGTGTAGTGGTCTCATCCACTGCCACCTTCTCTGTGCTGCGCCCCTGCGACGACCCCTTGAGGTCGACGCGGCGGTGCATGGACGCACCTGTGCATTAAGGCTCTCCACGAGGCGGGCATGTGAAAGGAGAGGTCCAAATCGAGGTCTTTCAGTGTAGTGGTCTCATCCACTGCCACCTTCTCTGTGCTGCGCCCCTGCGACGACCCCTTGAGGTCGACGCGGCGGTGCATGGACGCACCTGTGCATTAAGGCTCTCCACGAGGCGGGCATGTGAAAGGAGAGGTCCAAATCGAGGTCTTTCAGTGTAGTGGTCTCATCCACTGCCACCTTCTCTGTGCTGCGCCCCTGCGACGACCCCTTGAGGTCGACGCGGCGGTGCATGGACGCACCTGTGCATTAAGGCTCTCCACGAGGCGGGCATGTGAAAGGAGAGGTCCAATTCGAGGTCTTTCAGTGTAGTGGTCTCATCCACTGCCACCTTCTCTGTGCTGCGCCCCTGCGACGACCCCTTGAGGTCGACGCGGCGGTGCATGGACGCACCTGTGCATTAAGGCTCTCCACGAGGCGGGCATGTGAAAGGAGAGGTCCAAATCGAGGTCTTTCAGTGTAGTGGTCTCATCCACTGCCACCTTCTCTGTGCTGCGCCCCTGCGACGACCCCTTGAGGTCGACGCGGCGGTGCATGGACGCACCTGTGCATTAAGGCTCTCCACGAGGCGGGCATGTGAAAGGAGAGGTCCAAATCGAGGTCTTTCAGTGTAGTGGTCTCATCCACTGCCACCTTCTCTGTGCTGCGCCCCTGCGACGACCCCTTGAGGTCGACGCGGCGGTGCATGGACGCACCTGTGCATTAAGGCTCTCCACGAGGCGGGCATGTGAAAGGAGAGGTCCAAATCGAGGTCTTTCAGTGTAGTGGTCTCATCCACTGCCACCTTCTCTGTGCTCCGCCCCTGCGACGACCCCTTGAGGTCGACGCGGCGGTGCATGGACGCACCTGTGCATTAAGGCTCTCCACGAGGCGGGCATGTGAAAGGAGAGGTCCAAATCGAGGTCTTTCAGTGTAGTGGTCTCATCCACTGCCACCTTCTCTGTGCTGCGCCCCTGCGACGACCCCTTGAGGTCGACGCGGCGGTGCATGGACGCACCTGTGCATTAAGGCTCTCCACGAGGCGGGCATGTGAAAGGAGAGGTCCAAATCGAGGTCTTTCAGTGTAGTGGTCTCATCCACTGCCACCTTCTCTGTGCTGCGCCCCTGCGACGACCCCTTGAGGTCGACGCGGCGGTGCATGGACGCACCTGTGCATTAAGGCTCTCCACGAGGCGGGCATGTGAAAGGAGAGGTCCAAATCGAGGTCTTTCAGTGTAGTGGTCTCATCCACTGCCACCTTCTCTGTGCTGCGCCCCTGCGACGACCCCTTGAGGTCGACGCGGCGGTGCATGGACGCACCTGTGCATTAAGGCTCTCCACGAGGCGGGCATGTGAAAGGAGAGGTCCAAATCGAGGTCTTTCAGTGTAGTGGTCTCATCCACTGCCACCTTCTCTGTGCTGCGCCCCTGCGACGACCCCTTGAGGTCGACGCGGCGGTGCATGGACGCACCTGTGCATTAAGGCTCTCCACGAGGCGGGCATGTGAAAGGAGAGGTCCAAATCGAGGTCTTTCAGTGTAGTGGTCTCATCCACTGCCACCTTCTCTGTGCTGCGCCCCTACGACGACCCCTTGAGGTCGACGCGGCGGTGCATGGACGCACCTGTGCATTAAGGCTCTCCACGAGGCGGGCATGTGAAAGGAGAGGTCCAAATCGAGGTCTTTCAGTGTAGTGGTCTCATCCACTGCCACCTTCTCTGTGCTGCGCCCCTGCGACGACCCCTTGAGGTCGACGCGGCGGTGCATGGACGCACCTGTGCATTAAGGCTCTCCACGAGGCGGGCATGTGAAAGGAGAGGTCCAAATCGAGGTCTTTCAGTGTAGTGGTCTCATCCACTGCCACCTTCTCTGTGCTGCGCCCCTGCGACGACCCCTTGAGGTCGACGCGGCGGTGCATGGACGCACCTGTGCATTAAGGCTCTCCACGAGGCGGGCATGTGAAAGGAGAGGTCCAAATCGAGGTCTTTCAGTGTAGTGGTCTCATCCACTGCCACCTTCTCTGTGCTGCGCCCCTGCGACGACCCCTTGAGGTCGACGCGGCGGTGCATGGACGCACCTGTGCATTAAGGCTCTCCACGAGGCGGGCATGTGAAAGGAGAGGTCCAAATCGAGGTCTTTCAGTGTAGTGGTCTCATCCACTGCCACCTTCTCTGTGCTGCGCCCCTGCGACGACCCCTTGAGGTCGACGCGGCGGTGCATGGACGCACCTGTGCATTAAGGCTCTCCACGAGGCGGGCATGTGAAAGGAGAGGTCCAATTCGAGGTCTTTCAGTGTAGTGGTCTCATCCACTGCCACCTTCTCTGTGCTGCGCCCCTGCGACGACCCCTTGAGGTCGACGCGGCGGTGCATGGACGCACCTGTGCATTAAGGCTCTCCACGAGGCGGGCATGTGAAAGGAGAGGTCCAAATCGAGGTCTTTCAGTGTAGTGGTCTCATCCACTGCCACCTTCTCTGTGCTGCGCCCCTGCGACGACCCCTTGAGGTCGACGCGGCGGTGCATGGACGCACCTGTGCATTAAGGCTCTCCACGAGGCGGGCATGTGAAAGGAGAGGTCCAAATCGAGGTCTTTCAGTGTAGTGGTCTCATCCACTGCCACCTTCTCTGTGCTGCGCCCCTGCGACGACCCCTTGAGGTCGACGCGGCGGTGCATGGACGCACCTGTGCATTAAGGCTCTCCACGAGGCGGGCATGTGAAAGGAGAGGTCCAAATCGAGGTCTTTCAGTGTAGTGGTCTCATCCACTGCCACCTTCTCTGTGCTGCGCCCCTGCGACGACCCCTTGAGGTCGACGCGGCGGTGCATGGACGCACCTGTGCATTAAGGCTCTCCACGAGGCGGGCATGTGAAAGGAGAGGTCCAAATCGAGGTCTTTCAGTGTAGTGGTCTCATCCACTGCCACCTTCTCTGTGCTGCGCCCCTGCGACGACCCCTTGAGGTCGACGCGGCGGTGCATGGACGCACCTGTGCATTAAGGCTCTCCACGAGGCGGGCATGTGAAAGGAGAGGTCCAAATCGAGGTCTTTCAGTGTAGTGGTCTCATCCACTGCCACCTTCTCTGTGCTGCGCCCCTGCGACGACCCCTTGAGGTCGACGCGGCGGTGCATGGACGCACCTGTGCATTAAGGCTCTCCACGAGGCGGGCATGTGAAAGGAGAGGTCCAAATCGAGGTCTTTCAGTGTAGTGGTCTCATCCACTGCCACCTTCTCTGTGCTGCGCCCCTGCGACGACCCCTTGAGGTCGACGCGGCGGTGCATGGACGCACCTGTGCATTAAGGCTCTCCACGAGGCGGGCATGTGAAAGGAGAGGTCCAAATCGAGGTCTTTCAGTGTAGTGGTCTCATCCACTGCCACCTTCTCTGTGCTGCGCCCCTGCGACGACCCCTTGAGGTCGACGCGGCGGTGCATGGACGCACCTGTGCATTAAGGCTCTCCACGAGGCGGGCATGTGAAAGGAGAGGTCCAAATCGAGGTCTTTCAGTGTAGTGGTCTCATCCACTGCCACCTTCTCTGTGCTGCGCCCCTGCGACGACCCCTTGAGGTCGACGCGGCGGTGCATGGACGCACCTGTGCATTAAGGCTCTCCACGAGGCGGGCATGTGAAAGGAGAGGTCCAAATCGAGGTCTTTCAGTGTAGTGGTCTCATCCACTGCCACCTTCTCTGTGCTGCGCCCCTGCGACGACCCCTTGAGGTCGACGCGGCGGTGCATGGACGCACCTGTGCATTAAGGCTCTCCACGAGGCGGGCATGTGAAAGGAGAGGTCCAAATCGAGGTCTTTCAGTGTAGTGGTCTCATCCACTGCCACCTTCTCTGTGCTGCGCCCCTGCGACGACCCCTTGAGGTCGACGCGGCGGTGCATGGACGCACCTGTGCATTAAGGCTCTCCACGAGGCGGGCATGTGAAAGGAGAGGTCCAAATCGAGGTCTTTCAGTGTAGTGGTCTCATCCACTGCCACCTTCTCTGTGCTGCGCCCCTGCGACGACCCCTTGAGGTCGACGCGGCGGTGCATGGACGCACCTGTGCATTAAGGCTCTCCACGAGGCGGGCATGTGAAAGGAGAGGTCCAAATCGAGGTCTTTCAGTGTAGTGGTCTCATCCACTGCCACCTTCTCTGTGCTGCGCCCCTGCGACGACCCCTTGAGGTCGACGCGGCGGTGCATGGACGCACCTGTGCATTAAGGCTCTCCACGAGGCGGGCATGTGAAAGGAGAGGTCCAAATCGAGGTCTTTCAGTGTAGTGGTCTCATCCACTGCCACCTTCTCTGTGCTGCGCCCCTGCGACGACCCCTTGAGGTCGACGCGGCGGTGCATGGACGCACCTGTGCATTAAGGCTCTCCACGAGGCGGGCATGTGAAAGGAGAGGTCCAAATCGAGGTCTTTCAGTGTAGTGGTCTCATCCACTGCCACCTTCTCTGTGCTGCGCCCCTGCGACGACCCCTTGAGGTCGACGCGGCGGTGCATGGACGCACCTGTGCATTAAGGCTCTCCACGAGGCGGGCATGTGAAAGGAGAGGTCCAAATCGAGGTCTTTCAGTGTAGTGGTCTCATCCACTGCCACCTTCTCTGTGCTGCGCCCCTGCGACGACCCCTTGAGGTCGACGCGGCGGTGCATGGACGCACCTGTGCATTAAGGCTCTCCACGAGGCGGGCATGTGAAAGGAGAGGTCCAAATCGAGGTCTTTCAGTGTAGTGGTCTCATCCACTGCCACCTTCTCTGTGCTGCGCCCCTGCGACGACCCCTTGAGGTCGACGCGGCGGTGCATGGACGCACCTGTGCATTAAGGCTCTCCACGAGGCGGGCATGTGAAAGGAGAGGTCCAAATCGAGGTCTTTCAGTGTAGTGGTCTCATCCACTGCCACCTTCTCTGTGCTGCGCCCCTGCGACGACCCCTTGAGGTCGACGCGGCGGTGCATGGACGCACCTGTGCATTAAGGCTCTCCACGAGGCGGGCATGTGAAAGGAGAGGTCCAAATCGAGGTCTTTCAGTGTAGTGGTCTCATCCACTGCCACCTTCTCTGTGCTGCGCCCCTGCGACGACCCCTTGAGGTCGACGCGGCGGTGCATGGACGCACCTGTGCATTAAGGCTCTCCACGAGGCGGGCATGTGAAAGGAGAGGTCCAAATCGAGGTCTTTCAGTGTAGTGGTCTCATCCACTGCCACCTTCTCTGTGCTGCGCCCCTGCGACGACCCCTTGAGGTCGACGCGGCGGTGCATGGACGCACCTGTGCATTAAGGCTCTCCACGAGGCGGGCATGTGAAAGGAGAGGTCCAAATCGAGGTCTTTCAGTGTAGTGGTCTCATCCACTGCCACCTTCTCTGTGCTGCGCCCCTGCGACGACCCCTTGAGGTCGACGCGGCGGTGCATGGACGCACCTGTGCATTAAGGCTCTCCACGAGGCGGGCATGTGAAAGGAGAGGTCCAAATCGAGGTCTTTCAGTGTAGTGGTCTCATCCACTGCCACCTTCTCTGTGCTGCGCCCCTGCGACGACCCCTTGAGGTCGACGCGGCGGTGCATGGACGCACCTGTGCATTAAGGCTCTCCACGAGGCGGGCATGTGAAAGGAGAGGTTCAAATCGAGGTCTTTCAGTGTAGTGGTCTCATCCACTGCCACCTTCTCTGTGCTGCGCCCCTGCGACGACCCCTTGAGGTCGACGCGGCGGTGCATGGACGCACCTGTGCATTAAGGCTCTCCACGAGGCGGGCATGTGAAAGGAGAGGTCCAAATCGAGGTCTTTCAGTGTAGTGGTCTCATCCACTGCCACCTTCTCTGTGCTGCGCCCCTGCGACGACCCCTTGAGGTCGACGCGGCGGTGCATGGACGCACCTGTGCATTAAGGCTCTCCACGAGGCGGGCATGTGAAAGGAGAGGTCCAAATCGAGGTCTTTCAGTGTAGTGGTCTCATCCACTGCCACCTTCTCTGTGCTGCGCCCCTGCGACGACCCCTTGAGGTCGACGCGGCGGTGCATGGACGCACCTGTGCATTAAGGCTCTCCACGAGGCGGGCATGTGAAAGGAGAGGTTCAAATCGAGGTCTTTCAGTGTAGTGGTCTCATCCACTGCCACCTTCTCTGTGCTGCGCCCCTGCGACGACCCCTTGAGGTCGACGCGGCGGTGCATGGACGCACCTGTGCATTAAGGCTCTCCACGAGGCGGGCATGTGAAAGGAGAGGTCCAAATCGAGGTCTTTCAGTGTAGTGGTCTCATCCACTGCCACCTTCTCTGTGCTGCGCCCCTGCGACGACCCCTTGAGGTCGACGCGGCGGTGCATGGACGCACCTGTGCATTAAGGCTCTCCACGAGGCGGGCATGTGAAAGGAGAGGTCCAAATCGAGGTCTTTCAGTGTAGTGGTCTCATCCACTGCCACCTTCTCTGTGCTGCGCCCCTGCGACGACCCCTTGAGGTCGACGCGGCGGTGCATGGACGCACCTGTGCATTAAGGCTCTCCACAAGGCGGGCATGTGAAAGGAGAGGTCCAAATCGAGGTCTTTCAGTGTAGTGGTCTCATCCACTGCCACCTTCTCTGTGCTGCGCCCCTGCGACGACCCCTTGAGGTCGACGCGGCGGTGCATGGACGCACCTGTGCATTAAGGCTCTCCACGAGGCGGGCATGTGAAAGGAGAGGTCCAAATCGAGGTCTTTCAGTGTAGTGGTCTCATCCACTGCCACCTTCTCTGTGCTGCGCCCCTGCGACGACCCCTTGAGGTCGACGCGGCGGTGCATGGACGCACCTGTGCATTAAGGCTCTCCACGAGGCGGGCATGTGAAAGGAGAGGTCCAAATCGAGGTCTTTCAGTGTAGTGGTCTCATCCACTGCCACCTTCTCTGTGCTGCGCCCCTGCGACGACCCCTTGAGGTCGACGCGGCGGTGCATGGACGCACCTGTGCATTAAGGCTCTCCACGAGGCGGGCATGTGAAAGGAGAGGTCCAAATCGAGGTCTTTCAGTGTAGTGGTCTCATCCACTGCCACCTTCTCTGTGCTGCGCCCCTGCGACGACCCCTTGAGGTCGACGCGGCGGTGCATGGACGCACCTGTGCATTAAGGCTCTCCACGAGGCGGGCATGTGAAAGGAGAGGTCCAAATCGAGGTCTTTCAGTGTAGTGGTCTCATCCACTGCCACCTTCTCTGTGCTGCGCCCCTGCGACGACCCCTTGAGGTCGACGCGGCGGTGCATGGACGCACCTGTGCATTAAGGCTCTCCACGAGGCGGGCATGTGAAAGGAGAGGTCCAAATCGAGGTCTTTCAGTGTAGTGGTCTCATCCACTGCCACCTTCTCTGTGCTGCGCCCCTGCGACGACCCCTTGAGGTCGACGCGGCGGTGCATGGACGCACCTGTGCATTAAGGCTCTCCACGAGGCGGGCATGTGAAAGGAGAGGTCCAAATCGAGGTCTTTCAGTGTAGTGGTCTCATCCACTGCCACCTTCTCTGTGCTGCGCCCCTGCGACGACCCCTTGAGGTCGACGCGGCAGTGCATGGACGCACCTGTGCATTAAGGCTCTCCACGAGGCGGGCATGTGAAAGGAGAGGTCCAAATCGAGGTCTTTCAGTGTAGTGGTCTCATCCACTGCCACCTTCTCTGTGCTGCGCCCCTGCGACGACCCCTTGAGGTCGACGCGGCGGTGCATGGACGCACCTGTGCATTAAGGCTCTCCACGAGGCGGGCATGTGAAAGGAGAGGTCCAAATCGAGGTCTTTCAGTGTAGTGGTCTCATCCACTGCCACCTTCTCTGTGCTGCGCCCCTGCGACGACCCCTTGAGGTCGACGCGGCGGTGCATGGACGCACCTGTGCATTAAGGCTCTCCACGAGGCGGGCATGTGAAAGGAGAGGTCCAAATCGAGGTCTTTCAGTGTAGTGGTCTCATCCACTGCCACCTTCTCTGTGCTGCGCCCCTGCGACGACCCCTTGAGGTCGACGCGGCGGTGCATGGACGCACCTGTGCATTAAGGCTCTCCACGAGGCGGGCATGTGAAAGGAGAGGTCCAAATCGAGGTCTTTCAGTGTAGTGGTCTCATCCACTGCCACCTTCTCTGTGCTGCGCCCCTGCGACGACCCCTTGAGGTCGACGCGGCGGTGCATGGACGCACCTGTGCATTAAGGCTCTCCACGAGGCGGGCATGTGAAAGGAGAGGTCCAAATCGAGGTCTTTCAGTGTAGTGGTCTCATCCACTGCCACCTTCTCTGTGCTGCGCCCCTGCGACGACCCCTTGAGGTCGACGCGGCGGTGCATGGACGCACCTGTGCATTAAGGCTCTCCACGAGGCGGGCATGTGAAAGGAGAGGTCCAAATCGAGGTCTTTCAGTGTAGTGGTCTCATCCACTGCCACCTTCTCTGTGCTGCGCCCCTGCGACGACCCCTTGAGGTCGACGCGGCGGTGCATGGACGCACCTGTGCATTAAGGCTCTCCACGAGGCGGGCATGTGAAAGGAGAGGTCCAAATCGAGGTCTTTCAGTGTAGTGGTCTCATCCACTGCCACCTTCTCTGTGCTGCGCCCCTGCGACGACCCCTTGAGGTCGACGCGGCGGTGCATGGACGCACCTGTGCATTAAGGCTCTCCACGAGGCGGGCATGTGAAAGGAGAGGTCCAAATCGAGGTCTTTCAGTGTAGTGGTCTCATCCACTGCCACCTTCTCTGTGCTGCGCCCCTGCGACGACCCCTTGAGGTCGACGCGGCGGTGCATGGACGCACCTGTGCATTAAGGCTCTCCACGAGGCGGGCATGTGAAAGGAGAGGTCCAAATCGAGGTCTTTCAGTGTAGTGGTCTCATCCACTGCCACCTTCTCTGTGCTGCGCCCCTGCGACGACCCCTTGAGGTCGACGCGGCGGTGCATGGACGCACCTGTGCATTAAGGCTCTCCACAAGGCGGGCATGTGAAAGGAGAGGTCCAAATCGAGGTCTTTCAGTGTAGTGGTCTCATCCACTGCCACCTTCTCTGTGCTGCGCCCCTGCGACGACCCCTTGAGGTCGACGCGGCGGTGCATGGACGCACCTGTGCATTAAGGCTCTCCACAAGGCGGGCATGTGAAAGGAGAGGTCCAAATCGAGGTCTTTCAGTGTAGTGGTCTCATCCACTGCCACCTTCTCTGTGCTGCGCCCCTGCGACGACCCCTTGAGGTCGACGCGGCGGTGCATGGACGCACCTGTGCATTAAGGCTCTCCACGAGGCGGGCATGTGAAAGGAGAGGTCCAAATCGAGGTCTTTCAGTGTAGTGGTCTCATCCACTGCCACCTTCTCTGTGCTGCGCCCCTGCGACGACCCCTTGAGGTCGACGCGGCGGTGCATGGACGCACCTGTGCATTAAGGCTCTCCACGAGGCGGGCATGTGAAAGGAGAGGTCCAAATCGAGGTCTTTCAGTGTAGTGGTCTCATCCACTGCCACCTTCTCTGTGCTGCGCCCCTGCGACGACCCCTTGAGGTCGACGCGGCGGTGCATGGACGCACCTGTGCATTAAGGCTCTCCACGAGGCGGGCATGTGAAAGGAGAGGTCCAAATCGAGGTCTTTCAGTGTAGTGGTCTCATCCACTGCCACCTTCTCTGTGCTGCGCCCCTGCGACGACCCCTTGAGGTCGACGCGGCGGTGCATGGACGCACCTGTGCATTAAGGCTCTCCACGAGGCGGGCATGTGAAAGGAGAGGTCCAAATCGAGGTCTTTCAGTGTAGTGGTCTCATCCACTGCCACCTTCTCTGTGCTGCGCCCCTGCGACGACCCCTTGAGGTCGACGCGGCGGTGCATGGACGCACCTGTGCATTAAGGCTCTCCACGAGGCGGGCATGTGAAAGGAGAGGTCCAAATCGAGGTCTTTCAGTGTAGTGGTCTCATCCACTGCCACCTTCTCTGTGCTGCGCCCCTGCGACGACCCCTTGAGGTCGACGCGGCGGTGCATGGACGCACCTGTGCATTAAGGCTCTCCACGAGGCGGGCATGTGAAAGGAGAGGTCCAAATCGAGGTCTTTCAGTGTAGTGGTCTCATCCACTGCCACCTTCTCTGTGCTGCGCCCCTGCGACGACCCCTTGAGGTCGACGCGGCGGTGCATGGACGCACCTGTGCATTAAGGCTCTCCACGAGGCGGGCATGTGAAAGGAGAGGTCCAAATCGAGGTCTTTCAGTGTAGTGGTCTCATCCACTGCCACCTTCTCTGTGCTGCGCCCCTGCGACGACCCCTTGAGGTCGACGCGGCGGTGCATGGACGCACCTGTGCATTAAGGCTCTCCACGAGGCGGGCATGTGAAAGGAGAGGTCCAAATCCAAATCTTTGAGAGTAGTTGTCTCGTCAACAGCCACCTTCTCCGTGCTCCTCCCCTGCGACGACCCCTTGAGGTCGAAGCGGCGGTGCATGCGCAGGTCGGTGACAAACACGTTGGCCATGACCACAAAGCGGATGAGCGTGGAGGGCGAGGAGAGCACCGTGTGTGCATGACAACCCTCTCACACCAATGAACGCACCTGTGCATGAGGGCTCGCCAGGAGGCGGGCATGTGGAAGCTCAAATCGAGATCCAGATCCTTGAGTGTCGTTGTCTCATCCACTGCCACCTTCTCCGTGCTCCTCCCCTGCGACGACCCCTTGAGGTCGAAGCGGCGGTGCATGCGCAGGTCGGTGACAAACACGTTGGCCATGACCACAAAGCGGATCAGCGTGGAGGGGGACGAGAGCACCGTGTGTAACCGCCGCCGCCGTCGATACCTCTGCGGATTGTGCTGCTGGTGGGGGTCCGGGTGTTGGTCTTGGTGCTGCTGTTGGTGCTGCTGGTGTTGATTTGTGGGTACGGAGGGGTGGGTGGCACTTGCAGTGCTGCTGCTGGTGGTAGTGGCGGTTGGGGGATTGACGGTGGTGCTGGCACCGGGGGAGTTGGTGGTCGTGTTTTGGGTGGCAGTGAGGAAGGGCGATGCGGGGAAGAGGCTGCGCGAGCATCTCAGAGTTACCTCAGGAGACGAGGGGATATCACTTGGGGACAAGTTTGCAGCAGCAGCAGCAGCAGAGGTGGTGGCAGTGGTGGCTGTGCTGGTGGTGGTGGTGGTGTTGGCGGTGGTGTTGGTGGCGTTGGTGGTGTTGGTGGTGGTGGTGGAAGCAACAGAGGAGGAGGGGGATAGTTTGGTGCTGGTGGAAGAGGAGCGGGACAGGTTGGAGGGTTGCTTTGTGTTGTAAACGCGGATGGAGTGTAGCCCGAAGAACTTGGTGATGAGTGTGTGCTCGCAGTCCCTCACGTGCCGAAAATAGTCTGGTAACATCCGTTGTAACACCTGCTCCAGAGGAAGGAAAAGGAGAGAGGATTTGAACATAAGTGACGGAATGGCAAGGGATGGGCGTGTGTTTGAGTGTGTGCTCGCAGTCGCGCAAGTGCCGGAAATAGACCGGTAACATCCGCTGTAACACCTGCATCAGAGGAAGGAGAAGGAGAAGGAGAAGGAGAAGGAGAGAGAATACGAACGTAAGGAAGAGAAGGAATGAATTGGGATGGGCGCGTGCTTGAGCGTGTGCTCGCAGTCGCGCACGTGCCGGAAATAGTCGGGTAACATCCGTTGTAACACCTGCTCAAAAGAAGGAGAAGAGGAAAAGGAGGAGAAGAAAGGAAGAGAAAGTAAGGCAAGGAAGGAATGGCGGCTTGAAAGGAGCGCTTGTGTGAGTGTGTCCTCCCAGTCGGAGACGCTTCAGAAATATTGACTTGGCGGATGGATGGAGTGTAGCCCAAAGAACTTGGGTGACTGAGCGTGTGCTCGCAGTCGCGCACGTGCCGGAAATAGTCTGGTAACATCCGTTGTAACACCTGCTCCAGAAGGAGAAGAAGAAAAAAAAGGAAAAAAAAAAATGAAAAAAAGGAAAACAAATAAAACAAAAACAAAAACAAAACAAAAACAAGGAAAGGAAGGAATGGCGATGAATGTGTGCATGTAATGTCGCTCGCCATCCGGCACGTGCCGGGTTAACATCTGTTGTAACACCTGCTCTAGAAAGGAACATCAAATTTTCAAGTATCAAACTTTACACAAGGGAAGGGAGGGGATGGTTTGGTGACATGACATGTGTGTGCTCGCAGCCACAGCCGTTCCCCTTCTTACTCCCCACCCCCACTCACCCGCACTTCAGATGCGCGCATGGTTTTGATAATAAACTGGTCATCGTCCGACAGGTAGAACACACTCCCGGACGGTAGGGATGAGCAAGGGGCGAACACGAACGTGTTCGCGTTCGCCCATGCTCGAACACCCCTGTTCGGCGAACCGAACACTGTTCGGTTCGGCGAACACCTTAAGCAAAAACAGGTGTTCGCCGTTCGCCTATGAAGGAGTGTTCGGGCGAACCTCGAACACGTTCGTGTTCGTCTAGGGGCAAATTGCAGCAGCGGCCCGAACACGAACGTGTTCGGGCGAACCTCGAACACTGTTCGGCGAACACTTTTAGCCAAAAAAAGTAACCTGTTCGGTTCGCCTCGAATGTGTTCGAGGCGAACCGAACAGGTGTTCGTATTTTTGCTCATCCCAACCCGGACCTACCCTCGCGCTCTTCCCTCCGCTCCTGCTCCCTCCTATGCCCCTCCCCCCCTCCCAACTCACCCGCACTTCAGACGCGCGCATGGTTTTGATGATGAATCGGTCATCGTCCGACAGGTAGAACACACTCCCGGACTTGCCCTCATGCTCTCCCTATCTTCTCCCCCCCCTCCCCACACACACTGTCCCCATGCTCCCGGTCGCTCCCTATACCCCTCTGCTGTGCTTCTACCCAACTCACCCGCACTTCAGATGCGCGCATGGTTTTGATAATGAATCTATCATCGTCCGACAGGTAGAATACACTCCCAGACTTGCCCTCATGCTCTTCCCCTTTTCCTGCTCTGCTCCCCCGTCTGCCCCTCCCCCTACTCCTCCACTCACCCGCACTTCAGACGCGCGCATGGTTTTGATAATGAATCTATCATCGTCCGACAGGTAGAACACACTCCCGGATTTGCCCGGGGACGACAGCTCCCTCAGAGCGTTGTCGCCACACAGAGACAGCGTGTAGTCTGCTGGATCGATGCCAAACATGGCGCGCAGCTCACTGGAGGGGGGAAATGAAGGGGAGCAAAAGAAGGATGGGTTGGGTGAAGGGGTTAATTGCACAGAGTAGGAGAGAGACAGTGTGTAGTCTGCTGGATCGATGCCAAACATTGCGCGCAGCTCACTGGAAGGGGGAAATGAAGGGAGCAAAAGAAGGATGGGTTGGGTGAAGGGGGTAAGTGCACAGAGTAGGAGAGAGAGAGAGTGTGTGTGTAGTCTGCTGGATCGATGCCAAACATGGCGCGCAGCTCACTCACTGGAGAGGGAAGGAGGAGGGGACAGGTGGGGCGGGCGGGTGAGGGGAGTTGGTGGTGCGTATACAAGGAGAGGGAGTGCGTGTAGCCCGCCGAATCGATGCCACACATGCCATGCGCACCTGAAGGCCTTGGGTGCATAGTCGCGCCAGGTGAAGGGGAGAGTGTTGTGGGGCGGTGTGCAGGAGGAGTTTTGGGGGGAACCACATCCTGTCTGCCGCCTCAAAGTGGTGACCTCTCAGGCGACACTGATGTAATTGGGCCCACACACACTCAAGCCTCACCTGAAGGCCTTGGGTGCGTAGTCGCGCCAGGTGAAGGGCAGCGTGTTGTGGGGCGGCGTGCAGGAGGAGCCTTCCGGGGGGAACCACATCCTGTCTGCCGCCTCAAAGTCCTCCGGCCGTAGATCAGCTGAGGCAGGTGCAGCTGGGGAAGGTGCGGCTGGTGCAACTGGTGCGGCTGGTGCAGCTGGGACAGCTGGGGAGGGTGCAGCTGAGGCAGGTGCGGCTGTGGGAGGTGTGGTGGGGGTGGGTGCTGCTGGGATGGGCGGTGGGGGGGAAGGAGCTGCAGAAGGGGCAACTGGGGGAGGTGTTGCCCGCCCTGTGGAATGCCTGGTGGGAGGGGGAGGTGGGACGGGGAAGTGGGATGGGGAGGTGGGATGGGTGGGGAGGAGGGATGCGGAAGGGTTCATTAGAGGAATTTAGGGGTCGCTTCGAGCAATGTGGGCGAATGTGAGGGAGGGGATGCGTCACATCACATCACATGTACATTAAGGGGGATAATTAGTGCATTACAGGGGTGAGAACACAATGAGCAGTGAGGGATGACACACAACACAAGGAGCCCCACCTGGGCCCCACCTGAGCCCCACCTGAGCCCCACCTGAGCCCCACCAGAGTCTGGGCACACAAGGAGGCCTAAATCACCTGAGCCCCAGCTGTATGGCTGTCATGAGGTCGTAGCTGCGGTGGCCCTTGCAGATCAGCTCTCAGTTGCTCACAGTGAGGACAGCGAGCAGCAGAGGCCGTGAGGGCAGTTGAAAAGTGAGGGGGTGAGGACACACGGCACAAGGAGGCCCCACCCACCCACCCACCTGAGCCCCAGCTGTATGGCCGTCATGAGGTCGTAGCTGCGGTGGCCCTTGTATATCAGCTCGCCCGCCTTCCTCCCCGCCCTGCGTGTGGGTCCACGCCGCCTCTGCGTGGAAGGGGAAGGGGGAGAGGGGGGAGATTTTGACATCTCAAAGGTCGTAGCTGCGGTGGCCCTTGTATATCAGCTCGCCCGCCTTCCTCCCCGCCCTGCGTGTCGGTCCACGCCGCCTCTGCCAGTGGTAAGAATGAACGGACAGTGTGGGGTGGGGGAGACGGGAAGAGGTTGGGGCGGACTGAGTAAGAAAGGGTGTGTTTCCACGCCTCTGCCAGTGATTGTGCTTGTTCGTGTTCGTGTGCTTATGCATATGCTCAGCTGCATACCCTTTATAAGCAGCACACACAGAATCAAGCACTACTCACCACGAGGTCGTGCTGCAGCTTGGACCTTGGGATCTCCGCCACCATCACCCCCTGCACATACTCCCGCACTGTCACCACCTTGCTACAGGCTACCAGCGTTGGTTCATAAGCACTGCATACCCTGTATAGGCACTGCATACTCTTACAAGCACTGCATATCGTTCACAAGCACTGTGTACCCCTTATAAGCACCACTCACCACGAGGTCGTGCTGCAGCTTGGACCTCGGGATCTCCGCCACCATCACCCCCTGCACATACTCCCGCACTGTCACCACCTTGCTGTGCTGCCTGTGCTGTTGCGTGCTGCTCGAGCGCAGCCAGTCAAAAATCACTACTCACCACGAGGTCATGCTGCAGCTTGGAACGTGGTATTTCTGCCACCATCACCCCCTGCACGTACTCCCGCACTGTGACCACCTTGCTGTGCCGCCTGCGCTGTCTCTGCGTGCGGCCGGATGAGAACATGGCACTTGATCGCAGCGAGTCCAGTGCAGAGTCGGCACCCGCTTCACTTTCCTGGGCTGGAGGGGGTGGGGAGCGGGTGGGAGGCAGGAACGGGAAGGGGTTGCTTGTGCTGGTGGTGCTAGAAGGAAGTGCCGTTTGTGCTGCCTCTGGTTACTGCTTCTGCTTGCAGCCTGATGAGAACATGGCGCTCGAACTGGAAAGGGTTAGCGCTGGTGGTGCTGGAAGGAAGAGCCGATTGTACTGCTTCTGCGTGCAGCCTGAAGAGAACATGGCGCTTGATCGCAGCGAGTCCAGGGCAGAGTCAGCACCCGCTTCGCTCTCTTGGGGCTTCAAGGGGTGGGGAGAAGGAATGAGATGAAAGGAGAGGTTTCTTGTGATGGTAGTGCTGGTAGTGCTGTGCTTGGGGGGTGCTCGTGCTGCCTCTGCCTGCGGCCTGAAGAGAACATGGCACACCTGAATGCAGCGAGTCCAGAGCAGAGTCGGCACCTGCTTCGCTCTCTGGAAGATCAGGAAGAGAAGGGTGGGGAGAGAAGAATGGGAAGAGAATTGGAGAGCGGTGCTTGTGCTGGTAGTGCTGATAGTGCCGCCCGCGCTGCCTCTGTGTGCTGCAGGCCAATGCGAGACGCAAAGGCACAGTCAGCAGCAGCCGTTTTGCTCTTGTGTTGGGGCTGCGAGGTTAGAGGCATGGGCCCAGAGGCAAGGAGAGCTTGTAAAGCGAAGGAGATGGGGGGTTGGGGAGGGAAGAACTTGACTCACCATGAGACGAGCTTGTGTGCCTGTCTGCAGCAGTGCTCCCACCACGATCCCCGTCCGCACCCGCCCGCCCCTCATCCCCCTCCTCCCCATTCGCCGAACCCACAGACGACCCACGCACCAATCCCACTAACCCGCCCCCAGCACCGCTCTGCACCGAACTGTCAACCCGGCCGCTGTTCTCCCTAGCAGGAACAGGGCCCATAGTGAACACGCGAGTCAGCTTCGCCGCGGCTGCTTTTGAAGAGGGCTTGTTCTGACGACCACCACCAGCAGCAGTGGTGGTGGACGGAGTACCACCAGCGCCAGCACTGTCAACGCTGCTTCTACGGGTGGTGCCGCTATTGCTGGCGCCGGCGCCGAGGCTTCCCTCGGAGGCCGCGTGGGGGAGGTTGAGGGATGGGGTTGAGGGCTTTGCTGCTGCAGATGATTTCGTGGAGCGAAGAGACCAGTGGCGCCCCTTCTTTCCTTGCTCTCCCTGCTGCTGTGGCGACGGCTGCTGCTGAGGGGTATCCCTGTCTTTCTCCTTCTCCTTGCTCCACATTCTCCATAGCTTGGGTGCAGCAGCAGTCGCCTCGTCCCCTCCCTGCTTCACTCCCTTCTCTTTGCCTGCTACCTGTCCCTCCGTCTTCTGCTCTGCTCCTATTACTGCCTCTGCTGTTCCGCCCGCACCCGCAGCACCAGCTGCAGCAGCAGCAGCAGCAGCAGCAGCAGCAGTAGCTCCACTTCCATCAGTCACAGCATCGCCACTCTCACTGCCAACAACCACATTCTCTACCGCCATCCCTCCTTCAGTCACACCCGCTACACTCACACCCGCGGACCCAGCCTCCCCTTCCGCCCCTCCCTTCCCCACCTCCTCCTCCCCCCTCTCCCCCGTCCCCATTCCCGCCACTTCAGCAGCCTCCTCCGCAATCCTCCCCACCGTCTCCTCCCAGCGTGACCCTACGCTCCCCCCCCGCTCCTTACAGCTTTCCCACGGCCTCCCACCCCTAGCGCCCCGATGCAGTGGCGCAGGTCCGGGAACAGACTCCGACTTACCTAATTTTAACTCACACTCAGCCCACTGCCGTTCCAGCGCCTCCTTTCTTTTCCAGTCCCGCAGCGCCCCAGCCCGCCCTCCACCAATCACAGACACGCTCCGGCTGAAGTTTTTCGGCCCAGTACCAGAAGGGGTAATACTGAGTACGCCCGCACTGCTGCTGGGGCGAATTGCCTTGTTACCCCCTCTGGGAGTGTGGATAGCGCTACTGGTGCTGGGGCGCTTATCAGAATTACCTGCGGCTGTTGCACCTGCTGCGGTAGTGTCAATACTGAGCCCTTCCCCTGCTGCCTTGTCACTCGGCCCGGCTGAATACACAGGCCCTCCCCCTCCTCCTACTCCTCCTTCCCCTCCCCCTGATCCTGTTACGCTTGTCGCCCCTCCATCACCTGTCGTCGCTGCTCCCCCGTCCGCCTCTTGCTGCTGCTGCGGCTGCGGATGCGACTGCTGCTGCGGCTGCGTATGTGGCTGCGTCGGTTTCTTCTGATCCGCCGGCTTCCACCCAATCGACAGCCCCCGGGCCATCGTCAGTCCGCGGCCCAGCGGGCGACCCCCTCTCTTTCCGCCTCCTGCGCCAGTGCCACTACCGCCAGCAGCAGCGGTGGAAACCCCTACAGCCCCTACAGCACCCGCAGCACCCGCATCACCACTGCCAGCAGCAGCAGCAGCCGCCTCTTTCTCCGAAGCAGTACCCTCCGCTTCCCCCCCAACCCCCGTCCCGTTCCCTGCTTCTCCCTTCTCCTCACCCCCTCCCTCACCTCCCTCCTCCTCCACCCACTCCTCCTCTTCCTCTCCCTCCTCATATCCTTTCGGAAAGTACAACCCTTTGCCGTCCTTCAATCCCCTGCTCCACGTGCCTTCGAAGCAGCTTCCGTCGGCCCACTTGAACGTCCCCGCGCCGTGTTCGAGCCCCGCCTCCCACTCCCCCTCGTAGCTATCCCCATTCGCCCACGTCAGCGTCCCATACCCGCTCATCTTCCCGCCTTCCCACTCCCCGAAATACTCATTCCCGTTGCTCCATTTGTACCGACCAGGACCGTCCGGCACCCCCCTGCTCCAGAACCCCTCATAAACATCTCCGTTAGTGTAATGCTTCCTACCGAGTCCGTGCTTCACCCCAGCGGCCCAGTTCCCGGTATAGAATGCTCCGTCAGGAGCCCAATGGCTACCCACGCCCTGTAGAGCGCCGTCCTTCCATTCCCCTTCGTAACGCGTGCCGTCTGGGAGTTCGAACCACCCTTGGCCGTGCTTCCGTCCCCTGTCCCATTCCCCTTCGTACACGCTCCCATCCACCCAGGAGTATCGCCCGGTGCCGTGCGGTGCTCCTCCCGCCCATTCGCCCACGTATTTATCGCCGTTCGGGAAGTTTTTCCGGGTTACCGCTGCCCCTTCGCGAAGTTTCGCTGGGAGATCTGAATCGAAGGTTCGCGCGGGGGACGGCGCGGTTGCGACGGCGAGAGTGCGAGGGTTGTTATGCGCAGATGTGGTAACCACCGCGGGGATTTCTTCTGCGTTCGAGAATGACTTTCGAGCTACGGCTGGTTCCGCAGGTGGCGGTGCTGCTGATAACGAGGATAGTGATGCTTCTGTTGAAGCGGAAGCCATTACTACAGATTCTCAGCGGGCTTAAGAAAATGCGTAGTTGACCATACAGTAGGAGAACGTTACGAGATGAATGAAACGGTGCTCACGCAGGATAATATACCATTGGGCAGGATAATGTGCGAAACCGTCTATAAATAAAATGAATTTAGCGGCATTGTACCTGATGCGAATGTCTAAAGAATGAGAACCACGGTTTTACCTGAAGAAAGGATGGCTACAAAAAAAGCAGGATAGAGATGGAGTATCCCTGAATTCAAGGTCTCCAGGAATAATGCAAGTACATGAAAGGAGCAAAAGGATCTAAGCCCACAGCAGAAAACGTGACGAAGACCATTTTAAATTGGTAACGACAGCATTGATGAAGCTGAAGAGCATGGCCGGAGGTGCTGAACTAGTAGCCACGGTCCTTGTTTTTTTTCCAAACGGCTTCAAATCCAGGCTAGACTTGCAGAATGGCCAACGCTACAATGGCTACTGGGAAGGTAGACTGGAATGGTTCTAGAAAGTCGTCGGTCTTGTTCCTTAGGTGTTGGCTGCATTTGTCTGTTCCCTCGATATTGTCATTCGCGAAAAGTGGTCCAGAGAAGTGGATGGCTCGTTCGTGCGACAATCTCGTCATCGCCATTTCGCGAATGTACCACGTGAAGATGCGAGCTTCGTTACATGTTTCGCCAGATTGGTTTGGTTCTGTTCACGGCGGCGGGGTAGTCGGGCTGAAGCCACCGAAGCCTTTATTTTCCGCGAATCGCAAGACCGCCACTTCACCACAAACGAACAAATGGCACGACTGTTTCTAGTATCACATCGATCCACAATATGTGACAGCATCGATTCTACATGTAGCATTTTTGTATCCAAAACGCCTACACTTCTGTGTTCTCGAGATTCTCGAGGAGAGGTTTCCGCAAATACAGAACGGCTATTTCCCGCCAACAGAGGTGCACCCTGGTTCTGACGCCTAACCCGTAAGTATCCGCGAGAGGCGGCATCTCTCTTCGGCACAGCCAGCTTTCTTGCTTCGTGCTCGACCGAAGTTACGGTTCAGACAAAAAAATCCATGCTGACTTTTGGTAGCTGTGTGTACGGGCTTTTCAATACAGTTAATAATCTTCCAGCGACATTCGCAATCTTTACTAAGTTTCGCTACGAGACCCTTTGTTCTTTCAGTTTCCAGGTGGACTCAGGAGAGCACTCAACCGCTTGCAAACCAACGACATTGGACGGAAATGTGTTCCAACTTTTCTGATTCCCCGCTTATTTGAAGACCAGGAAAAGACTCCTCCGTCCTCCCCTGATAACCCCCTACTGATAGCTGTTGCGCGACTCCAAGTGAAATACGTTAGGTTATGAGCGAAGTAAAAGGCTGCTGAAATACGTTAGGTTTTGAGCAAAGTAAAGGGTTTTTAGTTACGGCAGAAGAGGTACTTCCGAACCTGCGCTTTCTAGGGACCTTCGTCTCTACCTGCACACAGTTTCCCAGGTTTCGCTGCCGAGACAGAAGACTTATCGCGCTAACACAGAACTCGTCTCCACATTAACCCACGTGTCATCATCTCGGAATCCATTTCTGTTGCTACTCAGGCAAACGGTGCACAGCACTATTTTGTTTTTTTTTCGTACTAGACTAAATCCCTCTCCGCTGGCATGGTAATGAAGAGCATCAACCCTAAACACCTTGCGACTAAGTGTTTAGGGTTGATGCCAAAACTAAATCCCTCTTGGCTTGCATGTTAAATTTGGGGCATCAACCCTAAACACCTTGCGACTAGGTGTTTAGGGTTGATGCCCCAAAATTATATCCCACTTGGCGGGCATCAACCCTAAACGCGTTGTCGCGTGGTGTTTAGGGTTGATGCCCTTGAAAACTTGCCATCCGAGAGGGGTTTAGTTTTGTGCTTGCTGGCAGAATACTGTCGACGAAAACAGTGCTTGCGTGACGTGCGGAGAAGCCGAGTTCTGTGTTAGCACGATAACTCTTCCGTCTCAGAAGCGGATCTGCGGAAAGTGTGCGCAAGTTGAGATGAAAGTCCCTCAAAAGAAAGACAGCTACAGTAAGCCTTCCGTGAAAACAAAAAACCCCAAAGTAAAAGGCTGCTGAAATACATTAGGTTACGAGTGAGGGCTTCCACGAACGGACAGTTTAGGAATGCTTGTCTTTTCCATGTAAATAGCTTACTTCTTTCACAACCGTCGAATTTGAGTGCATTCAATGTTGTAATGCCGGTCTCTCTACGTTAATTGTGCATAATAATATCACAAGAACGCGGAATCGCGTGAATCTTCGCGCCGTATTCCCAAATCGCACATAGTATAAATCATGATGGGATTTGCTTCCTTCAGTTGCCGGAACATCCCGCTCTTATCGCTTCTGTTGGTGCTGGCTCCGCTGATTTCGCCTCAGCAACGACAGCTCGCGCAGGCTGTAAAGCTCGACATTCCTCTCGAGTTCTACCGCGGCGATAGTAAGACACCCGACTTTCCGCTCCCTAGTCAGTTCTTATCAATCTCGCTACTGCACTGAGCTCGATATCCTGCTTCCAGTCACTTCGAAGATTTTTGAGAGACTTACCACGCTCGGCACTCCACTCGAGTTCTCAAGCTTCCGTGCTGCTTGTCAAACTTGCATTTTCCGAAGCGTCAACTTGTCGTAGCGACACTTATGAGTTAGCCCGTATCTCTCCCTGTAGGACAGTGCTGCTTCCCTTTCAGCGTGCTTCATCTCCATCCTTCCTTCCTTGCCTCTTTCCCTCCCTCCCTACCTCCCTCCTTTCCTCCCTTCCGTTCCTTTCCTTCTTCTTCTCACCCTTCCGCCTTCGTCCCACCTCTTATTCCCTTCCTTAACAGCGGTAACCCCCCTTCCCTCTCCAACCTTCCCACTTCCTTTCCCCCTCCCTTCACCCCTCCCTCTCCCCACCCCCCCCCACCCCAAACCCCCTTCCTCCCTCAACTCAGTAACCTACTTGAACAATTTCGCAGCAGCCATACCGAACTTCCCGCCGTACGCGTGGGCTGCTGACGTGGCACCGCCATGCCCCACTGGCAACTGGATAGGCGTGACGTGCAATTCAGATAACTACGTGACTGACGTGTACGTCCGAGGAGTAGACTGTGCGGGTGGGGTGATGCGAGCAGTGCCAATAAGGTGCAGTGCGAAACGTGTAATTTGATTAACTGCGTGACTGACGTGTACGTCTGAGGAGTAGGTTATACGGTGGGGTGTGGCAAGCAGCGGGGATAAGGTGCGGTGACGTGCACTGCGGATAAGTACGTGGCTGACGTATACGTCAGAAGAATGAAGTGTACGGACGTGGGTTTGTGTGGGCAGTGCCGATTAAGTTGTGGTGACGTGAAGGTTCTAGTAGTAGTGTATGGGTATATGGATAAGTACGTGGCTGACGTGTACATTTAAGGTGCATGGATAAGGTGCGGCATAGGCAGCCAGGCTCGCTGACTTTAACTCACTGATTCGTGAAGCGATTGGGAGCAGTTGTGTTGTTCCTGCCTGGTTGGGTCTGCTATAAGCGGGATAGATTCGCATGTGCCATGTTCTTGTATATACCATCTTTTCAAAGCGTTGTGTTGTGACTCATGCCATTGGCTTGCGACTGTGAGGGTGGTGGTGTGGTTGAGGGTGTGGGTGTGGGTGTGGGTGTGGGTTTGGTTGTGTGGCCGTGTGTGCCTGTGCAGTGACCTAAGCGCAAGCAACGTGACTGGCAATTTCCCAAAGCTCAAGGGTCCCTTCTCGTTTGACATTGCTGCTGTCATCTTCCTCAAGACGCTGTGAGTCCGACCGTCCTCTAGAACCCGTGATTCGACTCTGTTTTCCCGCGTACTCGTTGGCAGTGGCACGACCTCCCCCCTCCCCCCCTTCCCCCCGCCAAAAGGCGTTTCCCCCCCGTTTCGAGCATTTCTCCTGCTTCTCTTCCCACATCTCACTTTCCTTCCTTCCCCCACTTCCTCGTCGACCCGTCTCTTCCACCCACCCACACACTCCCTTAATCTCTCTCTATCCCCACTCCCCTCCCCACTGTCCCACTCCCTCACTCTCCACCCTCCTCTCCGCTCCCCGCTCTGCGTGTTTCCCCATGTCACCTGCCACGGCCTTACCTGGACTGGAGCAGGAATCTTGCGGGCAACAAACTCCATGGCGCATTTGTGAGTCTCTGAGGCACCGTTTGGCACCTTGGCACCGTTTGGCACCGTTTGTTACCGTTTTTGCGAGCTTGACACGTTGCTTCTCTTGTATCGCAATGCTGCATGCACGCATAGCGAGTTGGTTGGAAACAAGCGTCATGGCCCATGTCACAAACGTCACTGGGATAGGTAGGGCACCGTTTGGCTTAAAAGCACATGAGATCTTGATCTTGATGCTGCCCCTTTAGCTTAGGGTTGCTGCGCCTGTACCATGGCTGCACCCAGTCTCCCCCTGCGTCGCCTCGCTCAATGTGGACAAACAACAGCCTCACAGCAACTCTGAACTAGGTGACTTTTGAGTCGACTCAAAAGTCACCTTGTAGCATGGCTGCACCCAGTCTCCCCCTGCGTCGCCTCGCTCAATGTGGACAAACAACAGCCTCACAGCAACTCTGAACTCCATATGTACCCACTCCTGCCTGCACCCGATCCCCCCACACCAGCCCAGCGAGTTGGCGCTCTCGCCCAGTCTGCCCTCTCTCAACGTGGCCAACAACAGCCAGCCTCACAGCAAATTCGCTCTTTTCCTTCTCCTTCTCTCCCCTTTTCCTCCTTCCTTATCCCCCCAACCACCCTCCTTCTCTCCCCTTTTCCTCCTTCCTTATCCCCCCAACCACCCTCCTTCTCTCCCCCAATCAGCCCAGCGAGCTGGCACTCTCGCCCAGCCTGGCCTCTCTCAACGTGGCAAACAACAGCCTCACAGCAAATCCCCTCACAGCAAATCCTCTCTTCCCCTTCTCTCCCCACCTCCTCCTTCCCTATCCCCCCAACCCAACCACCCCCCTTTCCCCCTCCAGCCCAGCGAGCTGGCGCTCTCGCCCAGCCTGGCCTCTCTCAATGTGGCAAACAACAGCCTCACAGGGCGCCTGTCCGAAGACCTCTGCAACCTCAACCTCACCTGCATGTGAGTGCCTTGCCTTATCCTGGCTGCCGCTGTTGCTTGCATGGAGCGCGTTAGACAAATGAGGTGGCTTGTGAGTGAGTCAGATCCAGCAACAGCCTCACAGGGCGCCTGTCCGAAGACCTCTGCAACCTCAACCTCACCTGCGTGTGAGTGGTGATACCGTGATATGCTGCTCTCCTCCTCTTTCACCTGCTGATTTACGTAGTGCCTCAAGCAATCCACACCTCTTCCAGCTTCCAAGTAGTGATATGCGACCAACTTCCTACACATGCACCCCTCTGTAGTGGAGCTTCTCGCTTTTGAGACGACTTAAAAGCAAATTCACACCTCTTCCAGCTTCCAAGTAGTGATATGCGACCAACTTCCTACACATGCACCCCTCTGTAGTGGAGATTCTCGCTTTTGAGACGACTTAAAAGCAAATTCACACCTCTTCCAGCTTCCAAGTAGTGATATGCGACCAACTTCCTATACATGCTCTGTAGTAGAACTTCTCGACTCACCAGTTCTGCTTCACCCCTGCCTTCCCTCACCCCTCTTCTGCTCTCCGTCTCACAACACCCACCCGCCCCCCAATGTCTCCCTCAGCAACGTGATGGCCAACCCTCTCTGCGTGGATCCATCCCCTCGTGCGGGACAGGTGTAGTTTTACTATTTTAGTCGACTCATACTACCCCCTTATTCAATCTCTTCCCGCAATCCCCACCCCCCCCCCCCCCCCCCTTCTCTTTCTCCTTCTCTTCACCCCTCAGCAACGTGATGGGCAACCCTCTGCGTGGACCCATCCCCTCGTGCTGGAGGAACTTCACATGCCAAGAGTACGCCCTACCGTGCCGTGCCGTGCCATGCCATGCCATTCCATGCCTTCCCATTTCGTGCCAGCGCCATACTACCATGCCATGCCATGCCATGCCTTCCCATTTCGTGCCATACTGCGCCATATTACGTGCCGTGCCATACCATGCCATGAGTGCAATGAGTGCAATGAGCCCGAAACCTTCAGTCAAGGTTTCGAGCTGCACCTGCTCACTGCAATCCACACGCAAAGCATGCATGTTACTCTGCATTCACACCCAGTGCATTCACACCCAGTGCATTCACACCCAGTGCATTCACACCCAGTGCATTCACATCCAGTGCATTCACATCCAGTGCATTCACACCTGCTCTCTGTACATTCACACCCTATGCGCACCATACCAATTCCAACCCTAAATTCTAAACTCTCTCTCTGTTTGTCCCTGCAATCTCTTTCCCCACCCCGTTCAACACCCCCCCCCCCCCCCCCCCCCCCCCGCATCTCTCTTCCACCTCCCTCCCATTGTCTCTCTGGCTGCAGCTTTGCCAACACCAGCCTCCTAGTCGTTCCCAACGAAACATGCCGTGATGGTGAGCTTATATCGACTTGAGGTGATTATGAGCTTATGGCGAAACAAGCCGGGATGGTGAGCTTATAACAAGTCGTGTCGTGAAGGTTAATCCGCAATACGCGTATTGCATGCTGAGACGGTACACGTACGAACTATACGCTACCGTACATACGCAATACGCTGATATCCCACGCATGCTGCTGCTGATGAAGCACCTTTCTCCGCAGGTAGCAGTACATCTCAAACACATATATTTTCCTCCCCCCTCCCCCTTTGTCCCCTCTCTCAACTGTCCCCCCTGTTTCCCCAGTCCCCTACCACAGCTGCAACCCGCCTCTTGCAGTGGCTGTGGCACCCCCATCCGCCTCTTCTTCTTCTGTCAACGTCGTTGCCATCATCTGTGGCGTCGTGGGGGGTGCTGCCTTCATTGCGCTGCTGGTTGCGGCTGCAATGGTGGGGATGAAGCACCTTTCCCCACGCTTAAACACCTCCCCTCTCCTCTCCCCTCTCCCCTCTCTCCCTGCCAATCTTCCCCCACTACCTACCTCCCTTCCCCCGCCCCTTCTTTTCCCCAGTCCCCTACCACAGCTGCAACCCGCCTCTTGCAGTGGCTGTGGCACCCCCATCCGCCTCTTCTTCTTCTGTCAACGTCGTTGCCATCATCTGTGGCGTCGTGGGGGGTGCTGCCTTCATTGCGCTGCTGGTTGCGGCGGCAATGGTGGGGATGGAGCACCTTTCCCCACGCTTAAACACCTCCCTTCTTCTCTCCCCTCTCCCCTCCCTCCCTGCCAATCTTCCCCCACTACCTCCCTTCCCCCGCCCCTTCTTTTCCCTAGTCCCCTACCACAGCTGCAACCCGCCTCTCGCAGTGGCTGTGGCACCCCCATCCGCCTCTTCTTCTTCTGTCAACGTCGTTGCCATCATCTGTGGCGTCGTGGGGGGTGCAGCGTTCATTGCGCTGCTCGTTGCGGCGGCAATGGTGGTGATGAAGCAGATCGAGAGGAAGCGCAGGGAGGAGGAGGAGAGGCGGCTGGAGCAGGATTTGGAGAGTGAGTGGTGATGTGTGAGGGGGTGTTTTCTGTAAGGGTGTTTCTAGTGCTTCTGATTGTTGGATGCTCATGGCGTGGCAATGGTGGTGATGAAGCACATCGAGAGGAAGCGCAGGGAGGAGGAGGAGAGGCGGCTGGAGCAGGATTTGGAGAGTGAGTGGTGATGTGTGAGGGGGTGTTTGCTGTAAGGGTGTTTCTAGTGCTTCTGATTGTTGGATGCTCATGGCGTGGCAATGGTGGTGATGAAGCACATCGAGAGGAAGCGCAGGGAGGAGGAGGAGAGGCGGCTGGAGCAGGATTTGGAGAGTGAGTGGTGATGTGTGAGGGGGTGTTTGCTGTAAGGGTGTTTCTAGTGCTTCTGATTGTTGGATGCTCATGGCGTGGCAATGGTGGTGATGAAGCACATCGAGAGGAAGCGCAGGGAGGAGGAGGAGAGGCGGCTGGAGCAGGATTTGGAGAGTGAGTGGTGATGTGTGAGGGGGTGTTTGCTGTAAGGGTGTTTCTAGTGCTTCTGATTGTTGGATGCTCATGGCGTGGCAATGGTGGTGATGAAGCACATCGAGAGGAAGCGCAGGGAGGAGGAGGAGAGGCGGCTGGAGCAGGATTTGGAGAGTGAGTGGTGCTGTGTGAGGGGGTGTTTGCTGTGAGGGTGTTTCTAGTGCTTCTGATTGTTGGATGCTCATGGCGTGGCAATGGTGGTGATGAAGCACATCGAGAGGAAGCGAAGGGAGGAGGAGGAGAGGCGGCTGGAGCAGGATTTGGAGAGTGAGTGGTGATGTGTGAGGGGGTGTTTGCTGTAAGGGTGTTCCTAGTGCTTCTGATTGTTGGATGCTCATGGCGTGGCAATGGTGGTGATGAAGCACATCGAGAGGAAGCGCAGGGAGGAGGAGGAGAGGCGGCTGGAGCAGGATTTGGAGAGTGAGTGGTGCTTTGTGAGGGGGTGTTTGCTGTGAGGGTGTTTCTAGTGCTTCTGATTGTTGGATGCTCATGGCGTGGCAATGGTGGTGATGAAGCACATCGAGAGGAAGCGAAGGGAGGAGGAGGAGAGGCGGCTGGAGCAGGATTTGGAGAGTGAGTGGTGATGTGTGAGGGGGTGTTTGCTGTAAGGGTGTTTCTAGTGCTTCTGATTGTTGGATGCTCATGGCGTGGCAATGGTGGTGATGAAGCACATCGAGAGGAAGCGAAGGGAGGAGGAGGAGGCGGCTGGAGCAGGATTTGGAGAGTGAGTGGTGCTGTGTGAGGGGGTGTTTGCTGTGAGGGTGTTTCTAGTGCTTCTGATTGTTGGATGCTCATGGCGTGGCAATGGTGGTGATGAAGCACATCGAGAGGAAGCACAGGGAGGAGGAGGAGAGGCGGCTGGAGCAGGATCTGGAGAGTGAGTCATAGAGGGAGGGGTGCTGAAATGGGGCGTTCTTGAAGGGTGTAAGCAGGATTATGATGCTGGTAGCGACTTGGAATGCTCAGGAGCCCGTATAGGAGGCTTGGCCGTGTTCCTTCCATTAGTAGCAATGCTTGAAGCCGACTTCTTCACTTCCTTCGTGCCTCGTTTCTCCTGTTTGAAACAGCCCAAATCTCATCAGGCCGGTTTGGCGCACTCAGGTGGTTCCCACAAAAAAAAAAAAAGGCAGGCTACCGACGGGTCTGATCCCTCCTCTCCCCAAATCCTTCATCTCTTTCCACTTCCCCGCTTTCTCGCTCCTTTTCCAAACAGCCCAAGTCTCATCGCGCCACTTCGGAACTCTAAGGAGGTTCACCTCAGAGGAGCTCAAGAAGGCCACCAACGAGTTTGATGATCCCTCTCCCCCCTCCCTCCCTCGTTTTTGCCCCTCGTTTCTCTCTCTCTCCTCTCTCTCAATTGCAGCCCAAATCTCATCGCGCCACTTTGGCACTCTGAGGCGCTTCACCTCAGAGGAGCTGAAGACGGCGACTAACGAGTTTGATGAGGACTATGTGCTGGGGGAGGGGGGGTCTGATGCACCATCTCCCCTCTTCCCCCCTTGATCTCTCTCCCGTCTTGCCCCCCTCCCTCCCGTTCCTAACAGCCCAAATCTCATCGCGCCACTTTGGCACTCTGAGGCGCTTCACCTCAGAGGAGCTGAAGACGGCGACTAACGAGTTTGATGAGGACTATGTGCTGGGGGAGGGGGGGTCTGATGCACCATCTCCCCTCTTCCCCCCTTGATCTCTCTCCCGTCTTGCCCCCCTCCCTCCCGTTCCTAACAGCCCAAATCTCATCGCGCCACTTCGGCACTCTGAGGCGCTTCACCTCAGAGGAGCTGAAGACGGCGACTAACGAGTTTGATGAGGACTATGTGCTGGGGGAGGGGGGGTCTGATGCACCATCTCCCCTCTTCCCCCCTTGATCTCTCTCCCGTCTTGCCCCCCTCCCTCCCGTTCCTAACAGCCCAAATCTCATCGCGCCACTTTGGCACTCTGAGGCGCTTCACCTCAGAGGAGCTGAAGACGGCGACTAACGAGTTTGACGAGGGGGTTTTGCTGCACCAGGCCAGCTCCCCTCATCGCATCTCCTCTCTTCCCCGTTTCTCTCTCTCCCCTCCTGTTCCCAACAGCTCAAATCTCATCGCGTCACTTCGGAACTCTGAGGAGGTTCACCTCAGAGGAGCTCAAGAAGGCCACCAACGAGTTTGATGAGGACTATGTGCTGGGGGAGGGCGGGTTCAGCAAGGTGTATAAGGGCAAGCTGGAGGACGGCAAGTTCGTGGCTATCAAGAGGATCAAGGTGAGTAAGGAGAGGTGGGGAGTGGTGATGTGGGGTGGTATGCGGTGACACGGGGTGATGAAGTGGTGGAGCTGAAGATAGCCACCAACGGGTTTGATGAGGACTATGTCACTACTGGGCGAGGGCGGGTTCAGCAAGGTGTATGAGGGCAAGCTGGAGGATGGCAAGTTCGTGGCCATGAAGAGAATCAAGGTGCGAAAGAGTTGGGGAAGGTGTGGAGCGGTGATGTGGAGTGAAGTGGCGGATTGTGGGGTTGACGTGTTGCGCGAGGGCGGGTTCAGCAAGGTGTATAAGGGCAAGCTGGAGGGCGACAAGTTTGTTGCTGTGAAGAGGATCAAGGTGAAGCACGGCTTGGCCTGTCAAGTGTGGGGAAAGGTAGAGAGCACTTAGGAGATGCACGGCTTGGCCTACCAGTTCCTGTCAGAGGTGGAGATGATAGGCCTAGCCGTGCTTCAGCTTTGTTCCCCCAGCTTCGTTTCACACTCTGAATCGCTCTCCTCCTGCACTGCAACCTCAGTTGTGACGAGGGCTTTCAACTGACAACTCATTGCTCTCCTTCACCTTCTTCACCGTCTTCACTCTGTCACCACCCGCATTCACCTGCAGGATGAGAAGAGGGCTGGTGGCGAGCTGCAGTTTCTGTCAGAAGTCGAGATGATCAGCCGGGCCGTGCATCGCAACCTCATTCGAGCTGTGGGCTTCTGTGTGGAGCAGGGAGAGTGGGATTCCCTTATCGACCCTTGCCCTCCTCTTTTTGCTGCTTTCCGTTCTCCTCAGGATGAGAAGAGGGCAGGTGGTGAGCTGCAGTTTCTGTCAGAAGTGGAGATGATCAGCCGGGCTGTGCACCGCAACCTCATTCGTGCCGAGGGCTTTCAACTGACCAGCGCCCTCCTCTCTTTGCCATTTACTGTTTTCCATTTCCCCACAGGATGAGAAGAGGGCAGGTGGTGAGCTGCAGTTTCTGTCAGAAGTGGAGATGATCAGCCGGGCCGTGCACCGCAACCTCATTCGTGCCGAGGGCTTTCAACTGACCAGCGCCCTCCTCTCTTTGCCATTTACTGTTTTCCATTTCCCCACAGGATGAGAAGAGGGCAGGTGGTGAGCTGCAGTTTCTGTCAGAAGTGGAGATGATCAGCCGGGCCGTGCACCGCAACCTCATTCGTGCCGAGGGCTTTCAACTGACCAGCGCCCTCCTCTCTTTGCCATTTACTGTTTTCCATTTCCCCACAGGATGAGAAGAGGGCAGGTGGTGAGCTGCAGTTTCTGTCAGAAGTGGAGATGATCAGCCGGGCCGTGCACCGCAATCTCATTCGTGCCGAGGGTTTCTGTGTGGAACGCGGCGAGTGCATGCTGGTTCTGCCCTTCTGCTCCAATGGCTCGGTTGCCTCGCGCACCCAGGGTGAGATGCAATTGAGTTAGGTTGAGTGCGGTGCAGCTGGGTGGGGTGGTGTGTCGTTGCATGGAAAGAGGGTCTCGGTGTGGAGTGGGGCGAGTGCATGCTGGTTCTGCCCTTCTGCTCCAATGGCTCGGTTGCCTCGCGCACCCAGGGTGAGATGCAATTGAGTTAGGTTGAGTGCGGTGCAGCTGGGTGGGGTGGTGTGTCGTTGCATGGAAAGAGGGTCTCGGTGTGGAGTGGGGCGAGTGCATGCTGGTTCTGCCCTTCTGCTCCAATGGCTCGGTTGCCTCGCGCACCCAGGGTGAGATGCAATTGAGTTAGGTTGAGTGCGGTGCAGCTGGGTGGGGTGGTGTGTCGTTGCATGGAAAGAGGGTCTCTGTGTGGAGTGGGGTGAGTGCATGCTCGTGCTGCCCTTCTGCTCCAATGGATCTGTTGCCTCACGCTCTCAAGGTCGGTTGGGTTGGGTACAGAGCGGTGCAGCAGGGTGGGAGGTGCATTCGTGCAGAGCGGGGCTTCTGTGTAGAGCGGGGCGAGTGCATGCTCGTTCTGCCCTTCTGCTCCAACGAATCCATGGCATCCCCGTACTCAAGGTGAGTGAGATGCGGTTGGGTTGGGTTGAGTGCGGTATAGCTTGGCGGTTCAATTGGTGGGGAGGTGCATCCGAGCAGAGGGCTTCTGTGTGGAGCCGGGCGAGTGCATGCTCGTTCTGCCTTTCTGCTCTAACAGATCCGTGGCCTCACGTACTCAGGGTGAGTGAGATGAGGTTTGGTTGGATACAGTGCGGTGCAGCTGGGTGAGAGGGGGTTATTGCGTGGTAAAGGGGCTTGTGTGTGGAGCGGGGCGAGTGCATGCTCTTGCTGCCCTTCTGCTCCACTGGCAATGTTGCCTTGCCTGTATCTAAGGGCGTGTTGCAAGTAGAGGATCAATCGCCTCTTCGAACCGATCCTCACTGTGGTCTACCACTGTAGCAAAAGGTTACCATACTACAGTGTTATTACTGTTCACGACCGAGGAGATTGGCGAAAACCAGCTCGATCGCCTCGCCACGAAGATCGATCGTGAGATTGACGATGCAGAAAACATACAGTCACGAAACCATTTCGCGGTGCGCAGAAAAACTCGCATGTCAGTGTTATACGGGCGGCAAAATCTGACGAGACAGTGGCGAATAGGGTGTTTATTGTTTCTGCGTTTGAAAAGCGAAACCACACTGTCGCAATACTCTAGGTGGGAGTACGCTTGGGCGGTCGTGGTACAGTGATCGATAACGCAGTGAGCCCAGGATCTCCAACAAGGGATCGGTGTGCAGCCACGATCCTTCGATTTTCGAACTTGCAACACGCCCTAAGCTCCACCTATCTTCCAGGAGCATGAGAAACGTTCTCTAAAGTGGGATGTGGACTTGTGGGAGTGAGCTTGACTGCAAAATCTGACGACATTCTGCAAAAGGAGATGACCAGGAGAGGAGGGGTGTTCCGAGAATTGAACTCGGGACCTCTCGCACCCTAAGCGAGAATCATGCCACTAGACCAAACACCCGTGCTAGCTGTGAGATGCAGTTATGTTGGATGCGAATGCGATGCGCAGCAGAGTGGGTAGCAGCATCACCCATCCCAACCTCATCTCAACCCGTCCCATCCCTCCCCCCTGGTTTCGCACATGTGCTCACTCTCCTCTTCTTGCTCGCCAGGCAAGGAAGAAAACCTCTTGGACTGGCCCACACGCATGAAGGTGGCCCAATGAGCAGCGGATGGAGTAGCAGCATCACCCATCCCAACCCCACCCCACCCCGTACCAACCCTCCTTCCTGGTTTCTCCGATGTGCTTTCCACTTCTTGCTCTTCACTCGTTGCTCTACAGGCAAGGAGGGTAACCCCATGGACTGGCCCACACGCATGAAGGTGGCACGGGGAGCAGCGGAGGGGATAGGGTATTTGCACACGGACTGCAAGCCGAAGCTCGTGCACCGCGATATCAAGGTGGGTAAAGATGCATGCGTCACGGGTTATGTCCTTGTGACATGTGGCCTGTGGCATGGGAAAACGGAGGGGATAGGGTGTTTGCACACGGACTGCAAGCCGAAGCTTGTGCACCGCGATATCAAGGTGGGTAAAGATGCATGCGTCACGGGTTATGTCCTTGTGACATGTGGCCTGTGGCATGGGAAAACGGAGGGGATAGGGTGTTTGCACACGGACTGCAAGCCGAAGCTCGTCCACTGCGCCGCAATATCAAGGTGGGTGTGGAATCAAGGTGCATGGTTATGGAAGTTCATGGGCTATGGGGTATGGCCTTGCAGCATAGGCATAGGCATAGGGCGGAGCGGAGGGGAGCGGGTGGCATATCTGCACACAGACTGCAAGCCGAAGCTGGTGCATCGCGATGTTAAGGCATGCGTCTGTTGTTCATCCCCTGTCCTGTTCATCCCCTGTACTGTTCATCCCATGTCCTGTCATCCCCTGTACTGTCATCCCCTGTCCTGTTCGTTTCATCCCCTGTACTGTTCATCCCCTGTCCTGTTCGTTTCATCCCCTGTACTGTTCATCCCCTGTCCTGTTCGTTTCATCCCCTGTACTGTTCATCTCGTGCACCCTACCTATCCATGCATGCAATTCCTACCATCTGCCAGGCGGCCAATCGAACCCCATTTAGAGGCCATGGTTCAATACGTGGCAGCAAGTGATTAGAGTATGACACCAGAGTAGGTGAAATGTTGGTGTTTGTGTGGGAACACGCAAACATGCATCTCGTGCACCCTACCTATCCATGCATGCGCTTCCTGCCATCTGCCAGGCATGCGCTTCCTGCCATCTGCCAGGCGGCCAATGTGCTGCTGGATGAGAACGACGAGGCGGTGATTGCAGACTGTGGGCTCGCCAAGGAGATGGACGTGAATGAGAGCCATGCGTCCCTTGTTCATCCCCTCTTTATCTCCTGCCCACTACGCATCCATCCCCTACCCACCCACCCTCTGCCAGGCGGCCAATGTGCTGCTGGATGAGAACGACGAGGCGGTGATTGCAGACTGTGGGCTCGCCAAGGAGATGGACGTGAATGAGAGCCATGCGTCCCTTGTTCATCCCCTCTTTATCTCCTGCCCACTACGCATCCATCCCCTACCCACCCACCCTCTGCCAGGCGGCCAATGTGCTGCTGGATGAGAACGACGAGGGAGTGATTGCAGACTTTGGGCTCGCCAAGGAGATGGATGTCCAACGGGACGCATTCCACAAGTGCTCTTTCCCTGTTCAGGCATCTCCTGCTCATCTCCTGGTTTGAATATTGAGAATTCTCAAAAGTCAAACCAACATTGATTGCAGACTTTGGTATCGCCAAGGAGATGGATGTCGGTGAGACGCATGCCACCAGTGCTCTTTCCCTGTTCATTCATCTCCTGCTCATCTCCTGCCCCTTACCCACTCATCCATCCCTCACCCACTCGCCCATCCCTCACCCATCAGGCTGCGAACGTGCTGCTGGATGAGAACGACGAGGCTGTGATTGCAGACTTTGGGCTCGCCAAGGAGATGGACGTGAATGAAACACATGCCACCACTGCCGTCAAGGGCACGATTGGACACATCGCCCCTGGTGCGTGCTTGCTGAGTGGGTATAGGCGTGTTTTGGATGAGTCCAGGTGTGTGTTGAAGGGGTATAGGTGTTCTTTGAGTTGTAACTCTAGATGAGTACCGAGTCCCTGTAACGCCTGCCAAGGAGATGGACGAGGGAGACGGAGGTGCATCCGTGAATGAGACGCATGCCACAATCGGACACATCGCCCCTGGTGCGTGCAGGATGGGTGTAGATAAATGCGGTTTAGTAGCCACCCCTTCCCTCCCCACTCCTTGTACCAGTTTTTCAGCTTGACGTGCTCAGAGACCCATCCTCTCTTTTCTAGACGCCTCACAAAATAATTAAGAAGAAGAAGAAGAAGAAAAAATACCCCTTCCCCCACTTCCTCTCCCCCCAACTCGCCCCAGAGTACTTTGTGAGCGGGCAGTGCTCGGAGAAGACGGACGTGTATGCCTTCGGGGTCTTCCTGCTGGAGCTCGTGTCGGGCAAGGACGTGTACGGCCTGACTGTCGTGCCCGAGGCAGAGGAGATTCTGCTCAGGGACTGGGTGAGTGGTTCTGAGCCTCTCTGTTGCAGTTGCGAGTGTGCTCAGCTCTCCCTCCCCCTTCCTGCTGGAGCTAGTGTCGGGCAAGGACGTGTACGGCCTGACTGTCGTGCCCGAGGCAGAGGAGATTCTGCTCAGGGACAGGGTGAGTGGTTCTAAGCCTCTCTGTTGCAGTTGCGAGTGTGCTCAGCTCTCCCTCCCCCTTCCTGCTGGAGCTCGTGTATGGGCTCACCGTCGTGCCCGAGGCAGAGGAGATTCTGCTCAGGGACTGGGTGAGTGGTTCTAAGCCTCTCTGTTGCAGTTGCGAGTGTGCTCAGCTCTCCCTCCCCCTTCCTGCTGGAGCTAGTGTCGGGCAAGGACGTGTACGGCCTGACTGTCGTGCCCGAGGCAGAGGAGATTCTGCTCAGGGACTGGGTGAGTGGTTCTAAGCCTCTCTGTTGCAGTTGTGAGTGTGCTCAGCTCTCCCTCCCCCTTCCTGCTGGAGCTAGTGTCGGGCAAGGACGTGTACGGCCTGACTGTCGTGCCCGAGGCAGAGGAGATTCTTCTCAGGGACTGGGTGAGTGATTCTTGTTAAAATATATATTGTGTAGCATGCCAACACATGTGACTGTACACCAATTGTGGTGTACAGTTGGGTTGGGACTACACCCAACTTTGGGTGTAGTCTTGCACTTTGGGGTGCCAATCCACCCAATTGTGGTGGAGCCCCCAAATGCAACCCTCTTGACTTGTGGGTACCTCACTTCCCACAATTGAGGTTACCCCAAGCCAAGTGGGCCTAGGGTTGCCTCACTTCTACAAAGTGTGGGCAACCCAACCCACTTGACCTATGGTTCCCTCACTTCCCCAAGTGAGGTCAACCCAACCTATGGTCACTTTCATCCTTCCCTTCCAACCTTCCCTTCCAACTATGTATGCTAGGTTGTTCCTCTAATCTGATCACTTGTTCAATTTGCTACTTTCACATGGTATAGAGCTACTTGTTCCTAGGCCTTACCTCTCCCTCCCTTCAGTTTTTTTTTTCCATGGGCCCACCCCACAGCTACAAACCCTTTCCTACGCGTGGCTCAACTAGCCATCACTAGCATACTCTCGCCGCGACCTACGCCGTCGCCGCCGTTCCCCCCCCCTCCCGCCGCGATTACGCCTTCCTCGCCTGCGGATTCCACCGCCGCGAGCGCAACGCCGCTGTCCCCTCCTCCCCCCCGCTGCGACCCCCTGTCGCCGCCTCCCCTTCTCGCCGCCACGCCTGATTCGGCGCCGCCTGCGCATCCTGCCGCCGCGACGCCTCGTCGCCGCCTGCCCGCTGCCCGTCCCTCCGCCGCGACGTCACGTCGCCGCGTTCCCGCCGCCGCGCCTGCTACGGCGCCGCCTGCGCATCCTGCCGCCGCGACGCCTCGTCGCCGCCTGCCCGTCCCTCCGCCGCGACGTCTCGTCGCCGCGTTCCCGCCGCCGCGCCTGCTTCGGCGCCGCCTGCGCATCCTGCCGCCGCGACGCCTCGTCGCCGCCTGCCCGTCCCTCCGCCGCAACGTCTCGTCGCCGCGTTCCCGCCGCCGCGCCTGCTACGGCGCCGCCTGCGCATCCTGCCGCCGCGACACCTCGTCGCCGCCTGCCCGTCCCTCCGCCGCGACGTCTCGTCGCCGCGTTCCCGCCGCCGCGCCTGCTTCGGCGCCGCCTGCGCATCCCGCCGCCGCGACGCCTCGTCGCCGCCTGCCCGTCCCTCCGCTGCGACGTCACGTCGCCGCCTCCCCTTCCCGCCGCCGCGCCTGCTTCGGCGCCGTCTGCCCGTCACGCCGCCGCGACAGCTCGTCGCCCCCTGCCCATCCTCCACCGCGACCGCGCCATCCCCGCCCACACTTCCTGCCGCCGTGACTTCCCCGTCGCCGCCTGCAGATTCAGCCGCAACTGCACCCTCCCTTCCTCCTCTCCCTACTCCTCTCCCCCCCCCTCCCCCTCCCCCTGCGCCCCTCGTTGCCGCGGCCTGCCTGCCGCCGCCGTCCCTCGTTTCGCCGCCGCGGCCTGCTCGCCGCCGCCGCCCCCGACTTTGCCACCGCCTCCCCTTCCCGCCGCCGCACGTTCGCACAGCCGCCTGCGCCCTTGTCACCGTCGCTCCCTGCACCTTGAACGCCTCTGCCCTCCACCGCTGTCTCCCTCCTTTACCCCCCCCCCCCCCCCCCCCCCCCTCCCTCCTCCTGCCAGCGGCAGCAGCAGCGGCAGCAGGGGAAGTGCAGCAGCCTCCGCAGCAGCAACTTCACCCTTGGCCGCCGCGGGTCCACCCGCCGTCGCCCATCATGACTGCTACCCCCCCTGCCCCTCTCCCCCCTCCTCACTGGAGCAGTGTTACTCCTCGCCCCTCCCTTCTCAACACTCCGACCCTCCACTCCTCCCCCCCCCCTTATCTCCGCCTGCTCACCCCCTCCCCCCCTCCCCATCTGCGGCGTTTCCAGCAGCTCCAGCATCAGCAGCAGCAGGACTTCCAGCAGCGGCAGCAACCACAATTTCTCCAGCCGCACCCCCCACATCTCCTCCAGCCGCGGCAATCGCAGCAGCAGCAGTTCTTCCAACACCAACAGCAGCCGCAATCTCTCCAGCCTCACCCGCCACAGTTTCTCCATCCCCAGCAGCAGCAGTCCTTCCAGCCGCAGCAGCGGCAGTCCTTCCAGCAGCAGCAGCTGCCACAGTTCCTTCCACCGCAGCAGCAGCAGTCCTTCCTGCAGCAGCAGCAGCCACAGTCTCTTCAGCCGCAGCAGCAGCAGTGCTTCCAGCAGCAGCAGCTGCCACAGTTCCTTCCGCCGCAGCAGCAGCAGTCCTTCCAGCAGCAGCGGCAGCCACAGTTTCTTCAGCCGCAGCAGCAGCAGTGCTTCCAGCAGCAGCACCAGCCACAGTTCTCTCCATCCGCAGCAGCAGCAGTGCTTCCAGCAGCAGCAGCCACCACAATCTCTCCAGCCGCAGCAACCGCGGCAGCATCGGCGGTGCTTCCAGCAGCAGCAGCAGCCCAATCTCTCCAGCCGCAACCGTCACAGTCTCTCCCACCGCAGCAGCCGCAGCAGCAACAATACTTACAGCAGCAGCACCCGCCGCTCTCTCCCTCTTCTATCCATGAAACAACTCTCCAGTACTCTGTGTTCCCTCCCTCTCCTTCCCCCCCCACCCTGGACTTTGTCCTTGACAGTGGGGCCACCGAAACCGCACTAAAAGACGCTGGCACCCTCACCCCCCTTCCACTTCCCACCCAGGTTCATGGTGCCGAATCCAGCTTTTCCATCCCCTGCACTCACCTCTCCACCCTTCCTTGCACCGCCTTCCCATCCGGTACAGTCACCGGTCTCCACATCCCTACCCTTCGCAATAACCTCCTCTCCCACCGTGAACTCCAAGGCGTTGGCATTACCGCCATATACCCTGGCTTTGCTTCCTACTGCGATCTCTACCACACCGCCTCTGGTCGTTTCCTCCTGCGCATTCCCCTTTGCCCTCGCACTCGCCTTTACACGCTCCGCACACCCCGTCCCTCCTTTTGTCACGTCACCACTCGTGCTGGTACTTCCACCGGTCCCCTTCTCCCTCCCCCTCACCCTCCCCCTCCCCCTCCTCCGATATCCTCCTCCTCTACTCCATCCGCCTCCTCCTCCCCCCCCAACTTTTCCCCCACCCCATCCCCCTCCTCCTCTACTGCCCTCTCCCATCCTGCAGTGCTCCTACATCACAGACTCGGCCATCCCAACTTCGCCGCACTTCGCTCCACCGTCACCTCTCGCCTCCTTAACAGCCTTCCTCCCACCTTACCTCCCCTCCCCTCCTCCCCTGCTCCCCCATGCCCATCATGCATTCATGGCAAGCTCAAACAGTCCCCCCATCACAGTCATCCCACCTTCGCTCCCGCCCCCATTGACCTTGTTCACATGGATCTCTGGGGCCCTTATCCCATCCGCTCCCGTCAGGGGCACAGGTACATGCTCGTGCTCGTCGACGACCACAGTCGGTACTCCACCGTCTTCTTTCTTCACACGAAAGACCAGGTGCCGGCTGTGGTCATCAACTGGGCTGAGCAGTGCCGCAACCACTTCAAACGTCCCATAGGCCGCCTTCACTCTGACGGTGAGGGTGAGTTCATCAATCATACTCTCTCCACTTACTGCAAAACATACGGCATTCAGCAGACCACCACCCTTCCCCACTCCCCTCAGCAAAACGGCATCGCTGAGAGTCGCATCCGTGAGATCACCAAGATTGCGCGCTGCCTCATTGCTCACGCCTCCACCCCTCCCTCCCTCTGGAGCTATGCCCTCATTCATGCCGCCCTCCTCCTCAATCTCCGCTCCCACCCTCAGCATCCCTCCTCCTCCCCCACAGAACTCTGGTCCAAGGCCAAGCCTGACGCCGCAGGCCTTCGTGTTTGGGGCTGCAAGGCGTTCGTCCTCATTCCACCGGCTGACCGCTCCCGCGCTGCTGGCAAGCTCGCTCCTCGCGCTCTGGAGTGCGTCTACCTTGGGCACAATCGTGATTCCCCAGGCTACCTATTCCTCCACCCTCCCACCAATCGCCTCATCCGCAGCATTGACGTCGTCTTCGACGAGTCCACTCCCTACTACTCCACCCCTCCTCCTGACCCCCTCCCTCCTCCCACTCGCCCCCTCGCTTGGACCGACACCATCCTCCCGCCTCTTATCCCTCCAGCGCCTCTCCTCCCACCTGTCGCCGCCCCACTCCCGCCTTCCTCCTCTGCCGACGTCTACGACCCTGCCGCACCCGCCTCCCCCGCTCACTCAGCTGCACCCCTCCCTCCTCCTCTCATTCTCCTCCTTTCCAGCAGCCGAATCAGCAACAGCAGGGGCAGCAGCAGCAGCAGCAGCCGGATCAGCAACAGCAGGGGCAGCAGCAGCACCAGCAGCAGCAGCAGCAGCAGCAGCGGGAGCAACACCAGCAACGGCAGCAGGGGCAGCAGCAGCAGCAGCCGGGGCAGCAGCAGCAGCAGCAGCAGCAGCAGCAGCAGCAGCAGCAGCAGCAGCCGGAGCAGCAGCAGCAGCAGCAGCAGCCGGGGCAGCCGCATCAGCAGCAGCCGGGACAGCAGCAGCAGCAGCATCAGCAGCAGCAGCACCAGCAGCAGCAGCGGCGCCGTGCCACTTCCCGCTCCTCCCCCTTCCTCCTCCCTTACATCCATACCCGCTCGGTGGACAAAATCCTTGGGGCTCCTCCTCCTGCCTCCATTCAGCTCCTTGAGGACTCCCATGAGGAGTTCCTCAACATTCGGGAGCACACTCCATTCCTTGCCGCCCTCTACCTTGACTTCCTGGGCTTTCCTGTCCTTGGCGCCACTACTACCCCCACCATCTTCACTCCCTCCACCTTCCAGGAAGCCATCACCTGCCCTGATGCGGATAAATGGATAGCAGCGATCTTCCTGGAGTGTGAGGCTTTCATTCGCAACGACTCCTTTGTCGATGTCCCCCTCCCTGCTGGCGCTAATCTCGTTGACGGCAAATGGGTCTTTCGGGTGAAGCAGCTGCCGGGCGAGGAACCAGTGTACAAGGCCCGCTACTGCGCCAAGGGGTTCACGCAGACTTGGGCTGAGGACTACTGGTTCACCTACGCCCCCACCGCCAAACCACCCACCCTTCGCGCCGCCATGGACATTGGTGCACGTGACGACATGGAAATCGACTCCATGGACGTCTCCAATGCGTTCCTGCAGGGCGACCTGACAGCCTCTTCATCCGCTCCTCCCCCCGCCGCTTCTTCATTCTGGTATATGTCGACGACATGATCCTGCTCTCTGACACCAAGGCCGACATGGAGCAGGTGAAGCTGTCCCTGCAGCAGCGGCTCAAGTGCAAGGACCTTGGCGCCCTCACTCACTACCTCGGCATGACCATCACACGCAACCGCCCTGCTCGCACAATCACCCTCTCCCAGTCCCATTACATCGGCCAGATCTTGGAGAAGTTCGACATGGCGCAAGCCAAGCCTGTTTCCACCCCGCTCCCCTTCGGTCACCAACTCGCTCCACCCACCTCCCCCACCTCCTCCCCCCACCCCTATGCCGAGCTCGTTGGGTCCTTGATGTGCACAATGATGTGCACCCGCCCCGACCTCGCCTACCCCATCAGCGTGCTCGCTCGCTTTGTCGGCACCGGTCGTCACTCTGAGGAGCACTGGAAAGCTGCCAAGCGGGTCCTCCGCTACCTTCGCGGGACCAGGGACCTTGCCCTCACCCTCGGCGGCCCTTCCCGTCCCCTTCTCTCGGGCTTCAGTGACTCCTCATGGGCTGACACGCAGCCGGACCGCCGCTCCTCCCAGGGCTACGGCTTCACCCTTGGCAGCGGCCTCATCAGCTGGCGCTCCACCCGCTCCTCCGCCATCTCTCTCTCCACCTGCGAAGCCGAGCTCTACGCTGGCACCATGGCCGCCCAGGAGTCGCGCTGACTCTGCTTCCTTCTTGCGGAGCTTGGCGCCCCCCAGACGTGCCCCACTCTCTGGTGCGACAACGCCAGCACCATCCATCTCACTCAGGACCCCGTCTATCACGCCCGCTCCAAGCACATCGAACTCCGCTACTTCTTCGTTCGCGAGCTCGTCCAGAAGGGCCTCATTGCCGTTCGCAAGATTGCAACCGAGGCCAACTTGGCCGACATCTTCACTAAGGCCCTCCTTCGCCCCGCGCACTCTGCCTTCCTCCGCCTCATTGGCCTTGCTCGCCCGGGCGCCCCTTGATTCAGGGGTTGTTCTCTTCTTGTGTTAGCATGCTAAGGGGTTGTGTTAAAATATATATTGTGTAGCATGCCAACACATGTGACTGTACACCAATTGTGGTGTACAGTTGGGTTGGGACTACACCCAACTTTGGGTGTAGTCTTGCACTTTGGGGTGCCAATCCACCCAATTGTGGTGGAGCCCCCAAATGCAACCCTCTTGACTTGTGGGTACCTCACTTCCCACAATTGAGGTTACCCCAAGCCAAGTGGGCCTAGGGTTGCCTCACTTCTACAAAGTGTGGGCAACCCAACCCACTTGACCTATGGTTCCCTCACTTCCCCAAGTGAGGTCAACCCAACCTATGGTCACTTTCATCCTTCCCTTCCAACTATGTATGCTAGGTTGTTCCTCTAATCTGATCACTTGTTCAATTTGCTACTTTCACAGTTCTAAGCCTCTCTGTTGCAGTTGCGAGTGTGCTCAGCTCTCCCTCCCCCTTCCTGCTGGAGCTCGTGTCGGGCAAGGACGTGTACGGCCTGACTGTCGTGCCCGAGGCAGAGGAGATTCTGCTCAGGGACTGGGTGAGTGGTTCTAAGCCTCTCTGTTGCAGTTGCGAGTGTGCTCAGCTCTCCCTCCCCCTTCCTGCTGGAGCTCGTGTCGGGCAAGGACGTGTACGGCCTGACTGTCGTGCCCGAGGCAGAGGAGATTCTGCTCAGGGACTGGGTGAGTGGTTCTAAGCCTCTCTGTTGCAGTTGCGAGTGTGCTCAGCTCTCCCTCCCCCTTCCTGCTGGAGCTCGTGTATGGGCTCACCGTCGTGCCCGAGGCAGAGGAGATTCTGCTCAGGGACTGGGTGAGTGGTTCTAAGCCTCTCTGTTGCAGTTGCGAGTGTGCTCAGCTCTCCCTCCCCCTTCCTGCTGGAGCTCGTGTCGGGCAAGGACATGTACGGGCTCACCGTCGTGCCCGAGGCAGAGGAGATTCTGCTCAGGGACTGGGTGAGTGGGTTGCTTAGCACGGTGTAAGCCCCTCTTCCTGGGAAAGAGGTGCCCGGCTCCCCGTCCCCATCCCGCTTCGTGCTCGAGCTCGTGTCAGGCAAGGGCGTGCGTGGCCTCACTGCTGTATTGGAGCGACTTTTGAGAATTCTCAAAAGTCGCTCCAAGGACGAGCGTGGCCTCACTGCTGTTCCTGAAGCTGAGGAGAGTCTCGATCAGGGACTGGTGAGTTTTTCTGAGCTGCTGGGTGGGTTTTTTTTCTGGGGGACCGGGTGAGTTGCTCTAATTCCCTGGGAGCTACTCCAGGAGGCTGGGAGAGGAGACTGTGCCTCAAAACATGCCTCATGACAAACCTCTCCCTTGGTGCCTCCTCCCCGCTTCTTCCCTGCCTCCTCCCTGCCTCCTCCCTGCCTCCTCCCTGCCTCCTCCCTGCCTCCTCCCTGCCTCCTCCCTGCCTCCTCCCTGCCTCCACCTCCTCCCTGCCTCCATCCTGCCTCCTCCCTGCCTCCACCTCCTCCCTGCCTCCACCTCCTCCCTGCCTCCACCTCCTCCCTGCCTCCATCCTGCCTCCTCCCTGCCTCCACCTCCTCCCTGCCTCCACCTCCTCCCTGCCTCCTCCCTGCCTCCTCCCTGCCTCCTCCCTCTCCCTTTACATCTCCCTCTCCCACTTCCTCTCCCTCTCCCACCCCTCTCTCTTACCTTTTCCCTCTTTTTCTCTCCCTCTCTCTCCCTGTGCATGCCTCCATCCTGCCCCCTCCCTGCCTCCGTCCTACAGGTGTCACGGCTGCTAGTAAAAGGGAAGGCAGATGTGCTTGTAGACCCAGAGGTCGAGGGGGCAGTGGACATGGGGCCATATACTCGTGCTTCCACCCATTTACTCTCTCCCTCTCTGTGCCATGTACCCCCTCGCCCTTGATGCGTCCTGCCTGCAGGTGTCGCGGCTGCTAGTAGAAGGGAAGGCAGATGTGCTTGTAGACCCAGAGGTCAAGAAGGCCGAGGGGGCGGTGGACATGGGGCAGGTGGAGAAGATGCTGCAGGTGGCGCTGCTGTGCCTCAAGAACGACCCGGCTGAGCGGCCCACGATGGAGGACGTGGCTAAGATGGTGGCGGGGAGTGAGCTCACGGAGAAGTGGCAGCAGTGGCAGGTGAGGGCTCTGTGTGTGTGTGTATGTAGCTTGTTTTGGGCACAGCTTGCTCTGTGGCAAGGTTGGGAGGAATGAACCGGCTGAGCGGCCCACGATGGAGGATGTGGCTAAGATGGTGGCGGGGAGTGAGCTCACAGAGAAGTGGCAGCAGTGGCACGTGAGGGGTGTGGGGTGAGGGCTGTTTTAGGTGTGTTGTGGAAAGAGCTTGCTGTGTGCGAGGGATTGGGAGGAACGATTTGGCTGAACGGCCCACGATGGAGGATGTGGCTAAGATGGTGGCTGGTAGTGAGCTTGCAAAGAAGTGGCAGCAGTGGCAAACTTGCATTCAGCCGCATGCATGCACTCAATGCCTCAATCGTTGAATGTAACGTGTTTCTTTGATGCTTGGCTCACGCGTCTCCATATTTTGAAGTGCATTTCTTTCTGCTGCTCCTGAACTCCCGTTTATCTGCATCGCATTGTTTTACAGGCTGAAGCTGGGGCCATGCGAGCAGAGGACCTCATGGCTGTTGTCAAGAACCCTTCGCTCTGGGAGAACACAACAACTGGAATCTCGCTCGAAGCCTTCAATGTTACTGGGCCCCGTTGAGAGTTCCACCTTTTCTAGTGGGTGTCAGAGGGAGCTAATTATTTTAGTTTTAGTATGACAGGTCATTTTGTTGTGTATGTAATACCTTGTCTGCAAAGCAGTAGGCTTTCAAGAGTATTTAATGCAAGAGTGAGATGATAAGCTAATCATATCAATTATTGTTTTTCTTTTCTGATGAAGTTAAGGGGGTTCTGTACGTTTTTTAAACGGTTGAATCCAAACATCTCTTCAGGGATATTTTTGGCAGCTGACGTGGACTGCGCCCCAGTCCACGGCCTTTATCGGCTCCTCGAACTCGGACATCCGACTCAGCAGTGCATTCCGCTCCCGAGCCGGGTCGCGCTAGCCACTGGCGTAGAAACGAAGGTGTCGCACGCGCAGTGAGTGGCTGCATATGAACTGTGTGACCAGCTGACGACTGCGATCTTTTTCACGAGTTTGGTGGGATTGCTTGCTCGCCCATACCTGTGTGCCCCTTTTGTGTCTTCCAAACCACACCCGAACCAAACCGTTGTCAAATGCAGTTTCCGCCCCGTCAGCACAATTATGCGCCTTCGGTCAGCCGGGACAACAGCAATGTCCGCGTCTATTGGTGCAATTGACCTTCACCCTCAGAATTTTGTTTCCACTCGTGACTTGTCCCCCTTCATCAGTTGCCGTCGCCGACACAACATCCTGCCAGGGAGGCGCAGGCCCCCAGCGCAGACTGGCTCTCCGCTCAACCCTCGCGCTGCCGCTGTGCTGTGAGTGTGTGTGTCATCCATGCAAGCAGCGCGGAGGCCCTTCCGCCAGTTCACTCCCATTTCCTCCCTACCTGCCCGCAATCTACCCCAAACCAAGGTTCCAGTCCAGGGTAAAAAGCTGCGGTCACCAAGGCTCCAACGAAGCTGCGGTTTGGTGAGCTCGGCTTTTTCCTCTTTGACCTCGATCTCCTTCCTGACGCAAGATAGCGCCATGGCAGAAGTGCTGCGCTGTTACTTCGTTCTTATAAACCCGATGGCTGCTTGTGCTGATTGATTTCATCCACAGGGTCTCGCGAGGCTGGAATCGTTGCCTGCAACGAACGCGTTCGGGTTGTTTAGCGCAGATCACGCGTTGGTCGTAGTCAACAGCCCGCTGGCTGAGCCAACCTAGAAATATCAACGAGAGCCTCTGAGACCTCGTTCAGGTTTATCAGAGTCAGGTTTTGCTTACGTTTAGTAACAGCTATGGAAGAAGCTACTGAATCTTGTGTCCCGCACCATCACGAGGGTTGCTGCTCACACAGCAACATGTGGGATCGTGTCAAGAAGCGGTATAAGCTGTGTGATTTTAGTGCCCTTCCTGACTACCTTCGAGACAACGAGTACATTCATGGATACTACCGAGCTAACTGGCCTCTTAAACACACGCTATGGAGCATCTTTCATATTCATAACGAGACTGGAAATATCTGGACGTAAGTCATAGCCGACCGTCGCTATGTTTCTCGTGTCTCATGTGCTACAATAGTGTAGAGAGTCTCGCGCGTGATAGTGTCCTTCTTTTCATCCTCGACTTCGGAGTGCTGAGTTTCAGGGAGATCTTGTGCTAACTAGCTCTGGCTGATTGCTTGCAGGCATCTTATAGGATTCATTCTATTCCTCAACCTGACCATCTACACGGCCCAGAAGTTCCCGAAGGTTGTTGAAATCCCACTCTCCCACCTCCATTTTCCTGAATCCTGCTAGCTTTTGTGCGTTTCCGTCCTTACCAGCTGGTTCTGGGAAGACATTGTCTTACGGCCCAAGTTCATGCCTGCCCCCTTCAGTTTGCTATCCTTTTCCTCCGTTCTGCTTCATGCCTCTTGGTCACTCCGTCTGCTTCAAACCCCCTCATTTACATTTTCCACTGATTCCCTGCCTCCCCCAACCCCCGTCCCGGCACCCCCTTCCCTCCTCTTCCCCGATTCCCCCCCCCCCCCCCCCCCCGCACACACACACTCTTCCACTCTCCCCTCCTCTAATCCCGTAACCACTTCTGCAGTCACTTTCGGACAGCCCTTCGTTTTTGCTTAGATCAATTAAAACTGAGCGCAAGATTGCCATGTGGCCGTTCTTCGTCTTCCTAACCGGCGCCATGATCTGCCTGCTCTCCAGCAGCACCTGCCACCTCCTGGGCTGCCATTCCAAGAAGGTCTCCCAGATCATTTGGCGGTTTGACTATGCGGGAATTGCCATCCTCATCTGCGCATCCTTCTACCCGCCAGTTTACTACGGCTTCCTCTGCCACCCATACGCCCGGCTCACCTACCTCGTCCTGATCACCCTCGGTGGTTTGGGAACTGTAGCTGCCTCTCTTCTCCCTGCCTTTCAACAACCTAAGTACCGAGCCTTTCGTGCAGGGCTGTTCTTTGGACTGGGAGTCTCTGGTGTGGTTCCATTTTTCCATGGCATGCTGCTCTACCACCATGAGCCGTTTTTGGTGACAACTCTTCTGTATGAGCTGCTTATGGGGGCTTTGTACGGCATCGGAGCTCTCTTTTATGCCACCAGGATTCCCGAGCGATGGCTGCCTGGGAAGTTTGACATTGCGGGACACAGCCATCAGGTTTTCCATGTTCTTGTTATTGCTGGGGCGTACACGCACTACCAGGCTGCCCTAAGATATCTGCAATGGGTGGATGGTCGCACGTGCTGAAGTGTGCTTGCAGGGACTAAAAGGTTTGCTGTACCCTACCATGTTACTTCGGTTACATCCATGGCTGCTGTCATTGTCCTGCTCATGGTTTAGCGTTCTTGGGACCTCCCTTCGTGCAAGGGTTGACAAACTAATAACTGTAATATTGCATGGTGGGGAGTTTATGCTTGCCTGTACTGTTCTGTACATTGTTGTATACCTAAGAAGCAAGGCTACCTTTGCATACGTACCTATGCAGACTGCTCACATGGCAGTTGCTTGTGCTCTTGCCAACTACAATAAATGTCATTTGGCATCCCCGAAATAAGAGTCTACTTCTGACGAACGCCCGTATACCTCTCGTATTCTGAATATATCAGTTGAGAAGGTGGACTTGGGTGTACCAATGAAGTATTGCGCTCTTGCACATATGTGCTTCTCGGCGAGAGCCGTGAGGATACCGTGGTCTTCCTCATCCAAGTTCTCAAAATCACGCACCCAGTCATATTCGTTGTACTCCAACGAGCCCTTAGTGAATTCGGGAAGGCGCTCAACAACAAAGGGAGCCTTCGAGTCCAACTCTGCATAGAAACAGGCAGAGGTGTCAGCACCATGCAACAATGAATGAACAGAAAATCATCATCCATGAACGTCAAGAAAACGATAATCATGTTGCACCATAAATTCCCTGGAAACACTCACCCAGTAGAAGTTTCTCTAGGAATTGCACTTCCGTCAGGCTTGCGTCAGTGGCAAGGTACAGAATACTGATGCCACGGCCGCTGAATCGCGACACAATGTAACGTGCAATAGACGCGATCGGCAGAAAAGCCGGGTCCCTGCTCTGCTCCTTCTCCTCATTCCTCAAATAAGCATGCGAAAAATCCCCTCTCCTCATATGCACAGCCGCGTAGTCATCTCCCAGGAAAGTATCAACAAACCCCGAAACAAACCTCCGAACCACTGGCGGCGGCTCCCAAAGGTCCAGGCACGAGGTTCGGAATGGAGGCTTGGTTGCATGCAGCATCTGCCCAGCCCTGCCGTATAACGAGAAGCCGTAGATGTTCCCAAGGCTGAGCACGCGAGCGTTGGCGAAGGGAGCACAGGCAGAAAGCAACTCGGCGAGCCCTCCAGGGGGGAGGGACTCCAAAGGGTGCTCTAGCTTGTCAGGCAGTGTGACGTTGGGAAGCTGGGCGAAGGACTGTCAGTCGGGGAATGGGAGGTGGCATATGCGGGAGACGGGGGACATGGAGTGAGTGTGAGAGAGGCTATAGGTGCATTTGTTTGAGGCAACAGAAATATGGGTGTACTTACCAGTTGAGTATTGTCCATGCAGGACCTCCCGTTTACACAAGCAACGTGGTCTACAGTCACATTTTGCTTCGTCCTTGATACAAGCTCCTCCACTGTAAGCACGGTGTTGTTCCCGTACGCGTCCGCCAGGCACGTCTGGAGGTGCGGGATGTCGAATATCAGGCTCCACCGCCATTTGTACCACGTCTGGTGGTGATGCGCGAATCCTGGATCCGGAACCAAAAGCGTGCGGTTCAGAAGCGCCGCGAAGACTAAGTAACTTCGCATGCATTCCTCCTGAAAGGACACATGGCGCGAAGATAGCAGGGAGGGAAGGAAAATCAAATGAGTCGGGAATCAGTGGGAAATTGAGTCATTCAAACAGTTGACGGGTTCGGAACCTGAAGACATTTACAGAGGCGAGTGAGAAAGCAAGAAATCGACCACATGACTGGCATGACTGACAGTGGTGCGACCCTCCTGCACATCCCTTTCCGGGAACATATTGTCACGAGAATGTCCTGACATGGCCCGCTTGACGTGGTGAGTTCACAGTAGGAGTCAGTGGCATGTGGCAGCGGTGCGACAAGGTGTGCTGCTGTGACGTGGAAAAGACATCGCTCCCAACAACATGTCTCGCACCTGATTGGACAAACGCCCGTAGAAGCACAGAGCAAGCAAGTAACGATCCGCCTGGGGTTCCCAAGACTCGATCACGTCGTTTGGAACCCCCGAACTGTTTCCCGTGGCGAAACCTGTAACATCCATCTTAATCGCAGACCGTTTCTCCTTGTCTAGGGACTGAAGGACCCTCATTCTTCGTGAGCGAGTGACCACAGTGCCGTGTTCCACGGAAGGAGACGAATGGAGATTGAACCGTAACCGTGGAACAAAAGACCATTGACGAGGCTTGGAGACGGCGAGGTCGTTCGAAGACGAAAGAGTCGTCGCAAGCGACTGCGGCGAAAAGCTGGCGAGCAGGGCGAAGAGGAGAAGCGTGAGGCCTAGTCGGGACAGCTTGTCTGAGACGACGAGCGTCGGCGTGGAGATCCGCGACGTTCTATAACGTGGATTGAAACTCGTGCGACTCATTTTGTGCAGTAGAAGGGTTTGAAATTCGGTCGCTAAGTCTCTCGTCAATGCTGCGCCGGCGTGGCTGTAATAGTCAGTCGCGCATTAAATATTAGTTCCGCGGAGTAATGGGATGCCTCTTATGCCTCCCATGAATGCATGCAAGAGGAACGGAGGGGGTACTAATAGGGGGATAAACAAAATACTGTAAAAAACAACATGAGGCGGCTTCGAGCGTATCGGCTACTTATAGCGTGCGTCATCCAATTTCTTCCAGCAATCAACTTATAGCTCGCGGCCCAAATTGTTCAACCTTAGTAAGGTTGACCTTTGGGTGGCGAGAGAAGAAGTTGACTTGTTGGGAGTTGGGCTGTTTGCTTTCGCCCAGTTTCGCGCTAGACCCTTGGGGTTTTCGTTGACACGGCAAACCGCTGGGAGCAACCTGGGTTTGCTTCGAGAGTCCCAAATTGCAATCAACATATTGTTGTTGTTCCCTGCTCTCCCATTCGACAAAAAATATCTGGCCAATCAGATTGCATCTCACTTCTCGTAACCACCCTTCGCAACCCAAACAGCACTCAAAACATCACCCCACCCCCGATTCTGCAAGCAGTCAAATTTGACTACAGGGAGAGTGGAATTCCCAAGGCCCGTGCCTGTTGTTCAGTGGGATTCCCATCCCAAAACCGTCTACCTGTTGTCGAGTGGAATTTTGAAGGCCCGTGCCTGCCTGCGATTTGTTGCAGGGATCGGCTGGCACTAGACAGTGTGGTAGAGGCTTATCCGACGCCTGTAATGCCTTCTCACACCGAATCCTACGGTGATGGGTAATTTCGCTTGTCTGTCAGGTGGCTGGTCCTGGAGTGTGGCTGCAACTGGTGCGGCTCGGTTCCTTTTGGGGGAAACTGCTTGAGGGTGTGGTTCTTCGATGAACAATTTAGAAACGAAAGTCTCATCAAGTGCAACATCTTCCAAAACAATAGCAATAATATTGTGCAACAAGAGATAGAAATAGACACAATAATTACAGAGTATCCTACAGTTCAACTAATGTTATCACACCGCTGTACCAGGTCAACAATTACACAATAAATATGCAATCTGGAGCCACAGCAAGCAGCTCCCATGTTCAAGAAAATGGAGAAGCAACCCTCTAGACAAGGCAGCTTCTCTGCTAACATTGCACCAGAACCCACCAAACACTGCGAGTGACGTGACACACAACTTGCAGCATTTCCCACGCAACCAGCCCCAACATCCCGCAAAGCACCCTCCCCCAGTCCACCCAACCCCACCAACACAACATCCCCCACCACACCAAACACTAACGCGGCCCAGACAGGTTGAAAGCATCGAGCGAGATACCCGTGGTGGTATTCTCCCAGATAGCAGGCGTGTTAACCACCGCCATAACATCCTCGCCAGACATTTTCGCCGCCTCCTCCTGCCACTTCTCCCACTTGTCTGCAAGGGCCTTTCCAGAGAGCATCTTTGCCACCTCATCCATGGTTGGGCGGTCCACAGCATCGTGCTTCATGCAGAGCAGCGCCACCTGGAGCATCTTTGCCACGTCAGCCTCGTCATAGCCCAATCGCGTCAGGTCGTTGTCCACAAACTCAGGGATCTTGCCGTCACGGAGCATGTTGGCCACCTGGAGAGGGTAAGAAAAGGACAGAGAAGGAATAAGGAGGTCGAAGAATGAGCCAAGTGGACAAAGGTTGAGCAGATGGGAAGGCACGGACCGTGGGTGGAGGTGCCAAGGAAAGGGCACAGCGCAAGGGCAGGCTGGAGAAGTGCGTGGAGGCACCTGACCAATTGTCTCATCCCGAGCAGAAGTGCAGGATAGGGACTGCACCAGAAGGACGAGATGGCAAGCCAGAGGAAAGAAGCCTAAGAGCAACTCACCCAGTCCCTGAGCAGCAGCTCCTCGGCTTCGGGCGGCAGAGTGAGCTCAAACACGTCCTTGCCCGACACAAGCTCCAGGAGAAACACTCCAAAGGCGTACACGTCCGTCTTCTCCGAGCACTGCCCGCTCACAAAGTACTCTGGGGCGATATGCCCGATGGTGCCCTTCACAGCAGTGGACGCGTGGCTCTCATGCACGTCCATCTCCTTGGCCAGCCCGAAATCGGCAATGACTGCTTCATCGTTCTCGTCGAGAAGCACGTTTGCGGCCTTGATGTCGCGATGGATGAGCTTGGGGTTGCAGTCGGTGTGCATGTAGGCAATGCCCTCTGCTGCGCCCCGCGCCACCTTCATGCGCGAGTGCCAGTCCATGGGGTTACCCTCCTTGCCTGGCGGGGACAGTTGGGTGGGGTTGGGGTTGGGAATGAAAGGGTACAGACAGAGAGAACACAGGCAATGGATGAGCTTGGGGTTGCAGTTGGTGTGCATTAGGCAATGCCCTCCGCTGCGTAGAAGGGCAGCACGAGCATGCATTCTGCCTCCACCCAGAAGACCTCACAGTGCACTCAACGACCCCCTCCCACCCAGCTTCATCGCACTACACCCATCTAGACTGCATCTCACCTTGAGTGCGGGAGGCCACGGAGCCATTGGCATAGAAGGGCAGCACGAGCATGCACTAGCCCTTCTCCACACAGTAACCCTCCGAGCGCATTCACCACCCCCTCCCACCCGGTTTCACCGCACTAGACCCAAAAAAACCGTATCTCACCTTGGGTGCGGGAGGCCACGGAGCCGTTAGCATAGAAGGGCAGCACGAGCATGCACTCGCCCTTCTCCACACAGAAGCCCTCTGAGTGCATGACGTTACGATGCACGGCTCGGCTGATCAGCTCCACCTCTGACAGAAACATGAGCTCTCCACCTGACTTCTTCTCCTCCTGTGGGAGATAGACAAGGGCAACAGGGCAAGCAGAGAAAGAGATAGGAAAAAGGGATTGTTGAGAAAGGAGCCTCGGAGAGCATAGGGTTGCGGTGCATGGCTGGGCTGATCAGCCCCATTCCACCTACAGGAACTGGAGCTCTCCACCCGACTTCTGCTCTTGGTGAGTGGGACAGGGACATACAGGAGACCCCGATGAACCCGCCCTCGCACAACACGTCAACCCCACATCACCGCTCCAAACCTTCCCCAACTCTTCCGCACCTTGATTCTCTTCACAGCAACGAACTTGCCGTCCCCCAGCTTGCCCTTAAACACCTTGCTTAACCCGCCCTCGCCCAGCATGCCAAACTCACAGCTCGACCCCTTCATCACCCCACGTCACCGCACATCACCGCACATCACCGCTCCCCACCCACCTTGATTCTCTTCACGGCCACGAACTTGCCGTCCTCCAGCTTGCCCTTATACACCTTGCTGAACCCGCCCTCGCCCAGCATGTTGTCCTCGTCAAACCCGTTGGTGGCCTTGGACAGCTCGTCCACTGAGAACCGCCTCAGCGTTCCGAAGTGACGGGTGGAGATTTGGGCTGCAGAGGAAGGGAGGGGGAGAGGGCAGGAAGGAAAAGCAAGGGAGTTGAGACCCGTTAATGGCCTTGGACAGCTCGTCCACTGAGAATCACCTCAGAGTGCCGAAGTGACGGGTGGAGATTTGGGCTGTAACAGGGAAGACAAGGGGGTTCGTACGGCAGTCGAGCAAGGGGGCAGGGGTTGGCATGAGACCCGTTGGTGGCCTTTGAGAGCTCGTCCGCTGAGAACCGCCTCAGCGTGCCAACGCGACAGGTCGAGATTTGGGCTGCATGGGGTGGAGCCAGCAGAGCCACCAGCAGAGCCACCAGCAGAAGGAGACGTAGAAGTAGAGCGCCACGCACAGCGCGAAGAACGCGAGCGCGCCCAGCAGAGCAGCCAGTACAGCCACCAGCAGCACCATATGCCACTCCCAGTGCCCCCGACTCACTCTCAATGTCCTGCGCGAGCCTCTCGGCCTCCTCGCGCTTGCGCTTCTCCTCCTGCTTGAAGCGCACGTAGAAGAAGAGCGCCACGCACAGCGCAAAGATCGCGAGCGCGCCAAAGACGATTCCGATCACCGCGCCCACGCCCAGCCCCGTGGCCCCCGGGGGTGGTGGCGCTGCGACCGCCGTGTAGTTGTTGGGACAGCTCTTGTAGGTCACTGTGGGAGGGAAGGGGGAGGGGAGAGAGAGAGGGAGAAGATGGGGAAGGGGAGGGCGGAAAGAGGGGAGGGGGAGGGGGAGGAGGATGATTAATATTTGAGTTAATGGTTGATGGTGCCTGAGGAGCCAAGGGCAGTAATATGAATAGAACGAAGAACGAGAGGGAGGTGCAAAGAAAAGGGTGGGGAAGATGGAGGGCGGAGGGGGGTGGGGGTGAAGGGGGTTGGGGGGGGGGGGGGGGGGGGGGGGGGAGGGTGGGTGGAAATCACACACATGAGACGTGCATGTGAATGTGCATGTGCATGTCATATATGCACATGGTGACTTACCATCCAGGCATCCGCTGGTGTTCAGAAGTGGGTCTACTTTTGAGGCGCCTCAAAAGTAGCATGTGCATGTCATGTTTGTAAATGGCGACTTACCATCCAGGCATCCGCTGGTGTTCAGATGTGGGTTGCCCGCGAAGCTGCATGAGGGAGCGGAGGGAGAAGCACGAGGAGCGGGGGAAGGGGCGAGGGAGGGGGAAAGGGGGGAAAGGGAGACGCGGAGAAGTACAGGGCGGGTAGGGGAAAGGGGGGGAGAAGCGCAAACGGCACGGGACCGTCGATAGCAGATTATGAGAGGGCGAAGGGTACCAGACACGTGGCGTAGAAAAGTGAAACTCACGAGGAGCGCGGAAAGATTGAGCGGTGGGGAGGGAGGGAAGAGGTGGGAGGAGGTGGAGAGGTGGCGGGCAGGACAGGAGGGAAGGGAGAGGAGGGAAAGAGAAGTGGGGGTGGAGGAGGCAGGGGGGAGAGAAGGGGAGAAAGGTGGCGGGAGAGGGGAGAAACAGCAAAGAGGACGCGGGAGCACGAATATGGTAATGGGAGGGGAGGAAGTCCGTGCACGGTCGGTGCGGTGAAGTGCGGTGCAAAACACTTACTCGGGGCAGGGGAACCGCTTGAAGCACCAGGGCAGGTTTCCGCTGAAGTTGTTGTTGGCGAGATGGCTGCGATGCGAGGGACGCAAAGACGGCAGGACGGGGCGACGTTAGGAGAATGAATTAGCACAAGAACGAGAGAGAGAGACGATGCGGACAACAGGAGGGTGGAATAGGTGAAAGAGACAACGAAAGAGGAGACAACGAAACATCAAGAGCCGAGGGAGGGTGAATGGGTGAGGAAAAGGAGGAAGTGTTGGGTGCGTGGGTTGGGCTGGGAAAAGTGGGGGGAAGAGGGGGGGGATGTTGGGGTGGGGTGGAAAAGGGGGAACGAGAGTGGGGGGGTTGTGGGAATGAGAGGGGGGAGCAACGGGAGGAGAGGGGAAGGAGGAGAGAGAATGGGCGTACACGCACTCGAGCTTAGCAGAGGATTGCGGGTAGTGAAACGACTTTTGAGGGGGCTTCAAAAGTCAAGAGGGAAACTGGGCTTACAGGCACTCGAGCTTGTCGAGGTAGCAGAGCATGTCGTCGAGCGTGCCGTTTAGCTGATTTCCCTCCAGATTCAGTGACTTGAGGCTCGGCGCCAGCCCCAGCTGCGGCGGCTGCAAACACAAGTGACGGGAAGGGGGAGACGGGACACGGACGGAAGGAAAAGAGACAAACATGTGTGAATGGCGACATTTGGTATAGTCAAAGAAGCGTGCCGTTGAGCTGATTGCCCTCCAGGTTCAGCGACTTGAGGCTCGGCGCCAGCCCCAGCTGCAGCGGTTGCAGGAAACAAGACAAAAGTGTGGGTGAGGAGGTTTGAGTCCGCTCAAGATGTGACGACAGAAGATGACGAATCCGACATTTCATGTAAACTGGGTAACGGAGAGCGGCGAGCGGCGAGCGGGGCTGTTGGAGACACACAAGCCGTGAAAGGTCAGAGGAGGGGTGAGGAGGGGCCGCTGCTCACCAGAGGGCCTTCAAGAAGGTTGTATGAAACGTCGCTGAGAGCGAGTAGCAATCCAAACGGGGTTGAACGAGAGCCGGCAGCAATCCAAGCGCATTGGGAAGAGACCCGGTGGCGATTCCGACGGGGTTGACGGATCCAATGCAGAAAACCAAACGGGAGAAGGGACAGAGAGGCACAGGCGAAACGAGAGGGAAGATGAGAAGATCGACGAGATGAGGCCTAGGAGCGGGACTTTTAATAAACAATCTCGCAACCATGGAGGGGGGAAGCAGAGCAAAAACTGCAACAGCGGATTGAGACTTTCTGCGAGCAAGGTCTGGAAAGTCAAGGACTGGAGGGCATAGTGACCTGGCACTTACAGGCGCTCAAGAAAGAGCACGCCCGAGATGTCCCAGTCCAAGCCACCCTGCAGCTTAGGTGACTTTTGAATCGACTCGAAAGTCTCTGCGAGCGAGGCACTTACAGGCGCTCAAGAAATAGCACGCCCGAGATGTTCCAGTCCATCCCACCCTGCAGCTTCGGCACGCCCGCCGGAAACGACGGGTAGCTCAGGTCCCTGCGGAAAGGAGCGGCGGGGATGGGTGGGAAGGGGTAGACGGGGTAGGGAGAGGTAGGAAGTGCAAGGGGCCGAAGGGGAGAGAGGAGTGGGAGAAATAAGGGTGGGTTTGCGTGCGTGAGAGCGAGTGGTGAGGGGCCAGGTAAACTGCCGACGAGAGGTGGAGAGCGACAGAGGTGGTGGGAAAAGTGTGGGGGGGGGGGGGCGGGAAGAACGCTGCGGAGACGGAACGGCAGCGAGAGGAGCAGGGGAAGGGAGAACGCAAGACGCGTGGCACCGAGACGGCGATGAAGGAACGCGCGGTAGCAGGCGTGTGCGCGGAGACGACGAGGCGATTAGACGACGAGAGGACGACGCGGCGACGAGACGACGCGGCGATGAGGCGCGAGACGAGAATGAGCTCACGGGACGGCGAGACGCAACACGGTCGACAAGGAGACGAGCCGACAAGACGGTCGACGAGACGACAAGGCGCCGAGAGGACAAGACGACGTCAAGACGGGGAGACGGCGAGGCGGCAGGAGACGAGACAGACAGACGACGAGAAGTCGAGACGATGAGACGAGGACACGTCGAAGGGACACGTACACGGAAATGACATAGCCCTGGTCGTTGCAGGAGACGCCCGCGTATGGCAGGTCGGAAGTGTTGCCCGGGCACGGCCGGCCGACGGCGCCGTTCCAGAAGGGCGCGGGGAAGTTGGTGAACGAGCTCTCCTGCCATCCCATCAGGAAGGGGTCTGGCGGATGGGGAGAGAGGGACAGGCGGAAGAGGGAGAAGACGAATGGAGGAACGTTAGAGAAGACTCTTGATATGCTCGGTCACGGACGTTCCAGAAGGGCGCAGGGAAGTTGGTGAATGAGCTCTCTTGCCATCCCAGCAGAAAGAGGTCTGGCTGAACGGGGGCAGACGGAGGGAGAGGGAGAAGAGGAGAGACGGGGCGAATGGACGAGGGGAGAGGAAGAAGACGTAGGGAGGAAAGGGACAAGAAATTTGTGAGTATATCAGCAGAAGAGGGCCTGGTGGATGCGATGGGGAGGGGGGGAGAGGGTGGGTGGAGGAGGGGGGGGGAGGAAGGGGGGGGGGAGAGGGGAGGGTGCGCGGAGATAGTGAGAGAGGGGAGGGTGGAGGAATAGTGGTGCGATTGATAGGTGGAGGAATAGGTAGGGAGGAGGGGAAGGTGGGTCGTCAGAGGAAATAACAACGATAGAAGGGCGAGAAGACCGATGCGACGGACTCGTGGACAAGCGCGACTCAGGGAGGGATAATGAAAAATAGGACGAGGACCAAGTGCTATGAGCGGCTGCCTGCGCTTGCGACCGCTTCCGCGATGCGAAACGGAGACGAGATGTAAAACGGACAGCTTTACGGGAGCGCCAACCATCTTCATCTACTGACAGCTACTCGTCCGAATATACCATTCGTGATAGAAGCTCACAGCTACACGCACAAGCCGGAAACGACGCCGCTATTACGGGAGGACTCGTATCCTTCTTACACGCGCGCGGGAGAAAATAGATCGTGTGAACTTCAACACGGTGGATATGGAGATAGCTACACACCGCGTGGGCCTCGCACCATGAATGCGCAGAACCGAGTTCATATGGAGTGAAAAGTGGGAATACATCACCCAAAAGAACTTACTGTCTCCTGCGTAGGCCGCTAGCATGTAGTCCATGCCTTGCACGCTCGTGCTTTGACCCTCCACTCGAAGAAGCGTCAATGATACCACCAATGCGCACACCAGCAACCGAAACATTCGACTGTCTTGAGTGACCATCTTCGACTGTCTTAAGTACAGAATTAAAATGACACCAAAGCTGGTGGTGCTCTAAATGCCTGCCTGGAAACTACACAGCTTAACTGGTAAACGAAGCACTGATCTACAATACACCAGGACTTCACTGGGTTATGCTTAGCGGAGCTACGCTTCGAACATGGAAAATGGCGAATGAGTAAGCCGCTGCTTGACAAACCCTGTTGTCACCACCTTTTAGCGTAGCTTGCCTTAGACCTATGGTACTGCAGTTTCGATGCTGAGTAGCTTTCTCCAACATGCGGTTGTCTGGCCTCTGAATTGCAGCACATGAACACAGTTCCGTGTTTTCAATTCAACCCGTCTCTGCTTCACCTGGCTTGAAGACAGCTCTTTTGGCAGTTGAGTTTGACTGAAGTGGAGCGGAGAACGCAGGAGAAACCCCAAGGTCGGATGTTGGAGGGAGACACAGCAAGCAGGACGAGGGTTTCGTTTTGTTGTGCACAGTAACTTCGAGGTTGAGGTTCGGAGTCTCGTGATTTGGGTTCCGTCGCTTGTCGTGTCAGGTTCGGCATCGTGAACCTTTGATGATAGGTATGGAGAAGGGCAGGTACGTGAGTGAGTCTTTTCTTTTCACAGCAGAAAATGCTGTACCTGCCGAACCACGCCGATCTCACCGCAGCTACGGTTTTGCTTGCCATGTGACACAGCAGAAACCACCTGACCGGGCCCTGAAAGTTACACGGGAGGGAGCAACATTTTGCTGCTGTTGGTCGCGAATGAGGCGAGGAGTGAGGGGGTGAGTCGCCGGTTTTCGCACATGACGGTGAGGAGCAACCGCCGCTTGCGCGGAGGGAGTATTGATGAGGTTGGCTGAAAAAGGATGGCGCGGGGTCAGGTTGAAGCTGGTGAACCTGGTGGTTCTTGCTTGAGGTTTCACTTCGAACAGACAGTTCTCGGGCAGAAAACAGAAGCAGGCTGAAAGGGTACCTGATTTAGGAAAATAGTTACTAGTGGCGTCGTCTGTCGTTTTTGTTATCGCCGTTTTTGAAACCTTCCGCCGACAGTCCTGCTGACAAATGCAAGCACCAAAAAAACTGCCAAAAACCGCTTCAACAACATCCTCAGACAGCGAGTGTTAGTCTACACCACGCGGCAATTGTTTCCTCTCTTGAATGTGCAAAAACCATACGTTAATCAGAACTTCACATTTGCATTAAATCAGAGATATTCGAACCACAACATATGCACATGATAAATGATAGATATTGCAAACAAGCTTCTAGCATTAACAGAACTTTGAATTGACAAGCAATCTAGTTTGCGGACAGCCCAATCACACCTGCAGAAGGGAACAATTGAGAGCGAGGGTGATGGGTGGAGAACGATAAACAGCAATTACAGGACACCAGACCACGCGACCAACGAACTTGCTGCCACAAAGTTAACTTCGTATATATGGCACGATCAGCAGCTGGCATAGCAAGCAACTCACCACATGCCACCCTGCCGCCAGCATTGCCCGTGGCCTTGCTCAGCTCAACACCACCTGCACGAATACGCACCAGCACACATAACACAAACGCACAGGACACTGGACACAATGAAAACTTGTAACATACATATTAAGTTCACACAAGACACATATGGGCGAGAGAGCCTGGATAAGTGTAGCGTACCGCAGACATCTATTTAAAAGGAAAAATGAAAAAAGAAAACACACACACACACACACACACACACACACACACACTCACACACACTTCCTGCATCATATAACGATTTCAGGCCCAGAAGGACTTTTCTCCCTCCCCTCCCACTCACCCTTGCCCAGGTCGTCCGCATCAGCGTGCACGACAACAGCACGGCCAAGCACAGAGTTTGGGCCCGAGAGGGGAATCTGGAGGTCAGTCAGAGACACAGTCGCCACGCCTGAAGCAGGGGATATAGTTGGACATGGGGGAGAACAAGGGAGGACATGTCATCAGACACATTGCACAGAACATGGTTACAAGTTCGAATGGAGAGGGATGGGTATGGGAGAGAACAAGGACGTTATGCTAATAGATACTACCCTGTGATTCAGTGAGTCTGATTGCCATGCAACTACTCACCAGACTCATTTGCCACCAGGTTTCCAAGGTCGCCTGCGTGCCGCTCTGCATCGCCTGGTGCTCCATGAGTCTTGCCCGCCGGATTGAAATGCGGGCCTGGCAGGGATTCAGGGATGATTCCGAAGCAGGGAGGAGATGTTACTTATGTGTGACTAAAGATAACAGATTGTGAGGTTCTTGCCATAATAACCCCACCAGAGCAGCTACATACATGGGACAGGCACACAGGCATTGAAGAATTCCACCTGGCACTAGCATGTCTATGCAAGTGGAAGCCCCTGGACAAGTCCACATTGTGCACGTGGAAGCCAGGAAGGATTTCAGTCGGCCTGTTTCATGCGGACTCGTTATAGCACAAGTCTATATCGAGTGCAACAGTCCCTCACCAGTGGACATGCAGCCGTTGGAGAGGGCACCCAGCTTGTGCATGTGGAAGCCGTGCAGTTGTATGCGGACTCCTTATTGAACAAGTCTATAACTAGTGCAACAGTCTCTCACCAGTGGACATGCAGCCGTTGGAGAGGTCACCCAGCTTGTGCACGTGGAAGCCGTGCAGGCCAGGTGTCAGCCCTGCCACGGACGCACTCACCTCCGTGGGGCCTGGGGGAATTGAGACGGCGGAGATGGGGGAGATTAAAGGGGAAGGGACGAGGATGGGGATTAGGAGGAAGGATGGGATAGGAGCTATGAATATTTCTGACGCTGGAATGACCATGCAGGCAATCTCGAGAGTCAGCCCTGCCAATGTACTCCCTTTTGTAGAGCCTGGAGGTATCGGGGATGGTGGGAGTGGAGGGGAAGGAACGAGAATGGGACAGCAGAAAGGAGGGAAATTGAAAAAAAAAATGTGCTTTTGGAGTTGATGTCAGTCCTGACGCGGATGCAAAGGACGGGGAAGTGGGTCTAAGAGTTCTGCAATTGTCGATTGTTCATTGCCATGCATAGCCCATCCCATCTGCCGCTGGATCCAAATCTCCTCAGCCGCGTACGAGTTAATTGGGATGGAAATAGCATCTGCCTGATCCTTGCTCAATCCCTCCAAGCACATTGCTATTTCTTTTGAATCTTGAGAAATTGCAGGTTGCATCCACTGTGTAACCAAGTAATGTGAAAAATCAAAACAATGAAGCATGTCCAACGCTGATTCACCTGATCCTTCCTGCGAGAATGTGACAGTCCCGGAAACCCCGGAGCTCCCCGTCAGTACGGCGACGGCGTTGATTCCCGCTGCCGACGCGGCCGCTGGGGAGAGAGGCATGGCGAGGAGAGCGGCAAGCACGGCGGAACACGCAGGGACCGCCACCTTGGCAACGGGAGATTCCTCATTCAGGCTATTGCGAACGCGGATCACGGACTTGCTCGCGCATGCTGATTGGCTCTTGACTGCGGGTCGTGAAGCCGAGGAGAGACCAGTCGCAGGAGCAAGGGACGGAGCGACGCGAATGGACGCGGAAAGAAGGCCGCAGGAAGCCATTGCGTTAGGTGGCGAATACGGCGACTGAGTTCCTCACAGGCGGAGAAACGGCAATGGCGGACCCGCAATTGGCGCTGTATTATGGAATCTGGGCAGCTGAACTGTACCTTGGCTGGGATTGGAATGGGATGAGATGGGATAATGTAGACCAGCTCTGGGGGGCTAGAAGGCAGATTTCTACGGGTATGTACCACCAAGCCGAGCACTACACCGTACGGTAACGCACTCAGCAACAAGCCATCGCACTATCACGGGCGACGTTTCAGGTGCAAGGTGCGGGGCAGGTGTCCCTATCGTGATTCGCAGAAGAGCTGGCTTGCTGCGACGATTCCTGAATTTGGTCGCTTTTCTGACGCTTGCTTGTGTGGAAGCACGTCAGCAGTGCATACGTGGAGATCTGGAAGGAAATGATCCACTAATGGTCGTATTGTTGCAAATACAACTCATTCAAAAAAACTAAGAAGATCCAAAACTATCATTCAGACTTGGTTTGAATGAGCCTAAGCTGCTGCTTGGAAGCCAATGACACCTGCCAGAGTCAAAATGAAACTTGTTAGCCCAGTATAGATCTATATAAATACGATAGGCACAGATTCAATTGGGGAAGGCGACACGAGGTTGAATGTGTTGATGAGCTTACCACATGCAAGCCTGCCTCCAGCATTTCCAGTGGATTTGCTGAGCTCGTGGCCACCTGAATGGGGCCACACAGAAACATGAAGATGAGCACAGAGAAGAATCATGAAGTGTATTGGCCAACAATATCCTTACAAATATAACAATAGAACAAAGCAATCACAATTCCCTCCTCATTCATTCCTCTCCCTTCATGCTCTCACCCTTGCCAAGGTCGTCTGTGTCCGCATGCACGACAACAGCACGGCCAATGATGGAGTTCGGGCCAGACAGAGGGATCTGGACGTTGGGGTAGAGGAGAGGGGAAATGGGTGCATGAGAGTACGTAAGCAACTGAGATGGACGGATGCAAACCAAGAGTTGCACTGAAGCTTGATGAAAAAACTCAATGTAAGGAAGGGAGGAATGAGAGTCTAATAGATACCTGGGAATCTGTTATGGTGAACTCCGCAACCCCTGCAAAACGAACAGCGTAGGAAGCACAATTCCAGAATTAGTGGCTTACAGAATTCTCACTGTACCTGGCAGGAACTTGCAACAACACAAAGTTTTGCAACAAAAATTGGATACGCAACACAGTCTCTGTTAATGAAAAACAAGGCGAACCGTACCAGACTCATCAGCGACGACATTCCCAAGGTCTCCCGCATGCCTCTCCTCGTCTTCCGGAGCTCCGTGAGTTTTGTTCGCCGGATTGAAGTGCGGGCCTGACGAAGACCAGCAAGACGCGGAAACCGAAAACGTAAGGAAATTGATGAATGCGAAGACATTTGAGTTCGATATATGTCAGAGATTCTGGCTCTAACATGGATTCGGGCAAGGACAACGACGATGGACGTGAAGCCACGGCACGGGCAGACGTTCGGTCGCGGACAAACTTAACAAATTAAGTATACAGAAACGGCAAGACATGCAGGGGTGTCTCGATTTCGAGAACGAACTTACGAATGACACGCGTAAACCATAGGATTTCATTTCTAGGGGCAGGGATATGAGTGCGACCTGTGGACATGCAGCCGTTCGTGGTGTCCCCCAGGGCGTGCACATGAAATCCGTGAAGCCCGGGCTTGAGGCCAGTGATCTTGCCGTTCACCACGGTCGAGCCTAATAGCACGGCGTTACAACAGATAACGATCTCTTTGTCAGAGCAATTAATCATGTTCTCATTGACTTCGTCACTGTCACTTCGAAGCTTGTATTTCACCGTAAACGCGTGTATTAAGGAAGACATAGACTCACCGGATTCGAGCTGCTCAAAGGTGACAGTGCCATTGACACCCTCGGAGCCGGTAAGAACCACGACAGCCTTGATCGTCATATTGGCTGGGGAACACGAGCAGTTCTGAGCTAAAACTAATGATGGAGTCAAGAAAAGCACGCAACAGACACCCAAAACAACTGAAATGAATTTCCGCATCTTCTTGATAGCTGATAGCTGCTCCGTGATGGAATGTTCCAGCTGCTGTGAACCACTGAAGAGGGAAAAGCGAAACACCAAATTCCGTCGCACATGCACGGATACCCGTCAGAACGAATTTGTAGTTTGCGAACAGCTATTGGTGGCGACTGTGTAAACAGGTTCAAGCATGGCGGCCGTCAGCTTTTGTTCCCTACTCCCGTCAGCACTAACTGAAATCCTCTTCATGTCAATGTGGCTTACCCTGCCAGAAATGCTCGCAGAGGAATCCGCGGTTCGGCCCAGCAGCCTTGGTGACGACAACCAGAGAGTGATCGACGGACAGTTCGATGCATCCAGTCAAGTTAGACGGTCAATCGACGACTCCTGTGCAATGGGCACCTTCAACTGTGATACGGTGATCTGCGCTATAGCGTACATCTCTGAACTGAAGAGGAGTACACTCCACCACTTCACCACTTTCGTAGGCTACCTCATGCTTCTTGACTAGTTCCTGTGACAAGCAGCAAATCTGCAATACCTTATGGTCGATTCACCTAGAAAAAAGTTTGCAATGCCACATTGTACACTATGGCCTAGTCATTCAATGGCTAAGAGTTGATATGTACTACCATAGCCCGTACGTTGCATGTACCAACTCCATCAGTGCAGTGTCCTAAATCGAATACCTTGGATGACAAGAATTGGTGTTTCCACAGACCTCTTAAAACCGGGGTGCACATTCAGCTGAATGTGCATCAAATGTTATCCCTTGACTGAGTGGGTTACGAGGTGTGCTTTCAACCCCTTCAAGTCGAAATTCGTTTCCCCCCTCCCCCGCAATTTCGTTTCCCCACGCCCCCGCAATTTCATTTCCCCCTCCCCGTCGAAATTCGTTTCCCCCCTCCCCCGCAATTTTGTTTCCCCCCTCCCCCGCAATTTCGTTTCCCCCCCCTCCCGCCAATCTGTTTCATCCCTCCCGCCATTCGGTTTCACCCACTCCCGCCATTTCACCCCCTCCCGCCACCTACGAAATGCCCGAAGCTCTAGCGGAATCATTTTTTTGTCGCCCCTCGTGAGCCAATCACTGTTTTTCTCCAAACCCCCTTCCCAACATCTCAAGCCGAACCGCGTTGAATGTGCACCCTGGTTTTAAAGCCGGCGGCCCAAATTGCACAAGCTTTTAAAAGTTGACGCGTGGGGTTTTTCTGGTCTGGGTTTAGGCGAGTGACTCCCGATTTCGTTTTTTTCGCTAATCTCGCCAAACCCAGCACTCCCTCAAATTTCGCCCTGGGGGTTGGGTCTGTCCCTGAAAGTCCCAAATTGCAAGTGCGGTACTTTTCAAAGGTTGCCCACTGCACTTCGTCAAGTTTTAAAAGCTTGACGCGCGCGGCCCGCAATTTGGGACGCGGGCTTTAAGGATACAGGTCGTGCAGGTACTTGTTTGCCATATCAGCATGTACCTTGTCATCCAATTCAAGTGCTTTCACAGTCTGCAGTTTGGCGCTCGCTCAAGTTACAGGAAAACTGCACTTGCATGCCCTGAGCTACTAGTGCACAAGGGACGGGACAAACCTCTGAAAACATGCCACACGTAAACCATGGACATTTCTAAGTTATTTGCCTGTTCCAGAGTTCCAAACCTGCCTGTCTATCCTTCAGCTGCAAAGGGATCCACTTCGCCAGCATCCGCAACAAGCGGGGGTAAAGACGCTAAATCCTCCCCAGATGGAGGGTAGAAAGTGGGGAAAGGTAGCTGCAGGCCGCCATGCTCTTGAGCGTCTGGCCCCTGCACCTCGTGCTTCCTCACTGCATCCTTCACAAACACGAAGTTTCCACTGTGCCCAGGAACCTGGTCAGAGAAGAGAGGGAGGGAAGGGGTGGAACATTTAGGCGCACGGGCAATCAAATGGTGCCCCTGAGTGGAAAATGTAGACATGAAGTTGTCACTATGCCTGGAACTTGCCGGGAAGGGACTAACGAGAGATTGAGGAGCACCCTCAGAACAGCAGGCGCAAACCCCTTGACTGACCTGCCCCTTCACCCACAGCAGGTCCCTTGCTGGTTCCAACTTGTGCACCCAACCACTCTGCACCGTGCCCCACCCACCACCTTGTACACACCGACCGATGTGTTTTCAATTAGACTCATGACCCACCTCCTCTTGGAGCCACACTCACCACCTGCCCCAACCACCTGCCCCTTCACCCACAGCAGCCCCCGTGCCGGCTGAACCTTGTACACCCACACGCTCTGCACCGTGCCCCATCTACCTACCCAGTGCATGCCGAACAACGTGCCCCAGCGCCTATATTTACGCAGCCACCTGCCCCAACCACCTGCCCCTTCACCCACAGCAGCCCCCATGCACGCTCTGCACAGCACACCTCGTATACACAAACCAATGTGCTTTTCAATCCGGTCAAAACGCACCTGCCCCTTCACCCACAGCAGCCCTCTGGCCGGTTCCACCTTGTACACCCACACGCTCTGCACCGTGCGCTGCTTGTTGCCCATCTGCCCCGCCATCTTCTTGTTCTTGAACACCTGTGGGTCGGGAGCAGGGGGAGCAGAGGGAGTAGGGGGAGCAGAGGGAGTAGGGGGGGCAGGGGGCGCAGGGCGGGGCAGGAAAACAATGGGGACGAGTAACGGGGGACACCTGCAACGGGGGACACCTGCAACGGGGGACACCTTCTCTAGCACTAGAGGAACGAAATGTACTCTAGCTAGTGCTCCCTGCATGCTCTCTCATGTGCTAGCAACCACTCTCACCTTGCCGGGGTCCTGCCGGCCTCCTGTGGATCCATGGCTTCGATGTGAGAGAGCGATGCTCTGTGGGATGCAACCTCAACATACACACACACACACACACACACACACACACACACACACACACACACACACACACACCCACTGCAGTCTCACCGCACCATGCCTGCTTGCAACCAGCCTCACCTTGCCAGGGTCCTGCCGGCCGCCAGTAGACCCGTGGCTTCGATGTGAGAGCGATGCTCCGTGGGATGCGGGCATGCCCTTGAACCCCCACCGCTTCATGGGACCCTGTGGGACGAGGAACAAGGGCAAGGGAGAAGAAAACGGGGGGAGGTAGAGAGATAAGGGGATGGATGGAGGCAGAAAACACTCCAGAACAAAAGCTGGCAACACACCCCCCCCCCTCAAAATGGCTCTTTCGGGCGCTTGCGCAAAAGCCATACCTAGAAGCTCTTTCGCACAATAGTCCCTGGAACCCCATCAGCCACACACACACAAGCACCAGCCATACCTGGAATCCTTTTCCCACGGTGGTCCCTGTGACGTCCACAAACTGCCCGGGAACAAAGTGCCGCACGTCTATGGGCGTGCCCACGGGCAGAATACAATCCTCTGACACACGGAACTCCACTAGTTTTCGCTTCAAAGGCACCCCTGCTGCCCGGAAATGCCCCAGCTCCGGTTTGGTCAGCTGCTTTGGTTTTTTCTGCCCGGACCCGATTTGCAGGGAGGTGTATCCTTCTTTTTCCCTTGTTTTCACCTGCCGGGGAGAGGGGTAGAGAGAAAAAGGTCACAAGGAAGGCTTACAAGAAAGGTGCAAGGGAGGTTACTGGGAAGGTGCAAGGGAGGTTACAAGAAAGGTGCAAGGGAGGTTACTGGGAAGGTGCAAGGGTGGTTACTGGGAAGGTGCAAGGGTGGTTACTGGGAAGGTGCAAGGGTGGTTACTGGGAAGGTGCAAGGGAGGTTACTGGGAAGGTGCAAGGGAGGTTACTGGGAAGGTGCAAGGGAGGATACTAGGAAGGTGCAAGGGAGGATACTAGGAAGGTTCAAGCGAGGTTACTAGGGAGGGGCAAAGAAGGGTTACAGGACCAAATATTCCCAGTTGCACCTACCCCATATTTCTTAAAACGCCATTCTCCCCAACAGGCTCATTGCCGAATCTACCTTCATCACCATCCCCAGTCGCACCTACTCTGGATGTACCCTTCCCGGTTGCACTACCCAGGCATACCTACCCCAACCACAGCACACCTACCTACCCCAGTCGTCCCAGCCCCAGTCGTCCCTACCCCAGCCCCAGTCGTCCCTACCCCAGTCGTCCCTATTCCAGTCGTCCCTACCCCAGTCGTCCCTACCCCAGTCGTCCCTACCCCAGTCGTCCCTATTCCAGTCGTCCCTACCCCAGTCGTCCCTATTCCAGTCGTCCCTACCCCAGTCGTCCCTATTCCAGTCGTCCCTACCCCAGTCGTCCCTACCCCAGTCGTCCCTACCCCAGTCGTCCCTACCCCAGTCGTCCCTACCCCAGTCGTCCCTACCCCAGTCGTCCCTACCCCAGTCGTCCCTATTCCAGTCGTCCCTACCCCAGTCGTCCCTACCCCAGTCGTCCCTACCCCAGTCGTCCCTATTCCAGTCGTCCCTACCCCAGTCGTCCCTACCCCAGTCGTCCCTACCCCAGTCGTCCCTACCCCAGTCGTCCCTACCCCAGTCGTCCCTACCCCAGCCCCTAACCCTATCGCACCTGCACGACTTGGTTGTCATCAATCCAGAGCACACTAAGGCATAACTACCCCAACCACAGCATAACTACCCCAACCACAGCACAACTACCCCAACCACAGCATAACTACCCCAACCACAGCATAACTACCCCAACCACAGCATAATTACCCCAACCACAGCATAACTACCCCAACCACAGCATAACTACCCCAACCACAGCATAACTACCCCAACCACAGCATAACTACCCCAACCACAGCATAACTACCCCAACCACAGCATAACTACCCCAACCACAGCATAACTACCCCAACCACAGCATAACTACCCCAACCACAGCATAACTACCCCAACCACAGCATAACTACCCCAACCACAGCATAACTACCCCAACCACAGCATAACTACCCCAACCACAGCATACCTACCCCAACCACAGCATAACTACCCCAACAACAGCATAACTACCCCAACCACAGCATAACTACCCCAACCACAGCATAACTACCCCAACCACAGCATAACTACCCCAACCACAGCATAACTACCCCAACCACAGCATAACTACCCCAACCACAGCATACCTACCCCAACCACAGCATAACTACCCCAACAACAGCATAACTACCCCAACCACAGCATAACTACCCCAACCACAGCATAACTACCCCAACCACAGCATAACTACCCCAAACACAGCATACCTACCCCAACCACAGCATAACTACCCCAACCACAGCATACCTACTCCAGTCATCCCTACCCCAGCCGTACCTGCAATCATGAATCATGACCATACCTGCACGACTTGGTTGTCGTCTATCCAGAGCACAGTCAGGCATGTACCTACCTACCCCAGTCGTACCCATCCTAGTCGTACCTAACCCAGGACTAGGTCCCTACCCCAGTCATACCTGCACGACTTGGTTGTCATCTATCCAGAGCACAGTCAGGGGGATCCTAACCCCCCATTTGTCCCACGTGGCTGTCATCCCGCACTTCACGGCGATCGCGCCCGTGCGCACGGATCTCCCCGCGGTCAGCCCTTCTTCGTCGTCATCCTCCCCCCATCCGCGGACCACCTCCTCCGCCTCCTCCGCCGCCGCTGCCGGAGCGGCGGAAGCGGCGGATGCGGAGTGGAAATTCCGCGAGTGAATTTGTGCGGTGGAAGCGGAAGCGGAAGCGGAAGCGGAAGCTGAAGCGGCGGGAGTGAGTTGCGGAGGAGCGGAAAGATGCGCGGAGAGGAGGCTCCGCGTGCAGCTTGGTAACCCGCGAAGCAGATCGACTCTCAAGATCTGATCGCCGGAGGCTGCGGCGGCGCCGGCGCCGGCAGCGGCGGAAGAATCAAACACTCTGGTGTATAGCTGAGACACGGGAGTGAGGGCGTGGGCATGGTGAATGGAGTAGTGACCGTGTGGAGAATTGGGGTAATGGTAGGTCGAATGGTGATGGTATAAAGGCGGGGTTCTGGCGGTTCGGCGGCTTCGCGACGCGCTTCTGACGCTCTGTGCTGCCACGGAGCCAAGCCGCCGGAACATGATGATGACAGCAGACGGTGGTGGTGATGACAGCAGACGGTGGTGGTGATGACAGCAGACGGTAGTGATGATGACAGCAGACGGTAGTGATGATGACAGAGGACGGTAGTGATGACGACAGCAGACGGTGGTGTTAGGAACGCCGCGCAAGCGACGAGGGAGGGGGAGCACTAAGGCAGCGTGAGTAACGATTAGCAAGGAGCGAGAAGGACTGGCGGTAAGGTCGTCCAAGGACTACGGGCGGCTCGTGTTTGGATCCGTTGCCTCACCGCGTAGCCGCCAAAACCACTAACTGGTGAAACCGAGGAATAAGTGGCACAGTATTCACGGTGTTGAGTGCTCCGATGCTAAACTACAATCGCCAATCTCAGATGCGTAAAGCTGCGTATTTGAACAATCCAGAATAATGTATATTTCTTTTCCCGTTCCCTCCTGCATTGGAGGTGGGTGCTTTTCATTGGCTCGCGCTGGTGGCAGCTGGCGAATCCTGACGAATCAGCGCGCTACTCGGCTGTGGAAGCTGTCTTCATTGCGAGTACAACTACGAAGGGTAACGTTTGTCGTCATAGGTTTCGCAAAATGACACTTTCGTGCATGAGTTTCCTCACGAAACCAAGTTCTGAAATTCAGGACCAAAAACCAAGAGATTCCACGGACCAGTCTCTCATCAGTTACAGGTATCTTGATTCTACTCTCTCGATTCTACTCTGTTGTCGGCCGTTTGGGATCATCCTTGACTTGCGGGACTATTGAAAGTTTTTGTGGTCTTTATAGCTTCATTTAGGAGTACTATTGTCAACTCAAGGCGCGACGTTGTTTTTTTCGCTCCGTCCCCATCAGATCAGTTTCATTTCTCAGCAATCCACGACGGCACCGACCTCGCTACAGCCTCTCGTTCCTCACGATATCGTTCTTGCAAAGACCACGCTTTCGCCGGTCAAGGCTTCATTCTCCATGCTCCTGAATCTTACAGAGAGTAAACCTCGTGCGTTTCGGTCAAGGCTTCTTTCTTCATCTTCCTGAAGCTTCCAGCAGTTCCGTCGCCATGCGGGTTTTTGAAGCGCTCTAAAAGTCGACCTCGTTCTCCCCCGTCCAAACGGCTTTCTACGTGTTACGTCGCCCTGCGGGCTCTACATGTTCCGTGCAATCAACCTTTTCCATGTTCCTGAAGCTTTCGGCGAGTAGACCTCGTGCTCCTGACCTCGTGCTCTCTCGTCGAGACTTTTGTTCTCCATGTTTATGAATCTTCCCGTGATCACACCTCGTGCTCGAGCTGTCAAAAGAGGACAGGTGGGCTGCGAAGGCCTCGTGATCACACCTCGTGCTCGCCGGTGAGGGCTTCTTTCTCCAAGTCACTGAATCTTCCAGCAGTTCCATCGCCCTGCGGTTTTTTCGAGCGCTATAAACTCGACCTCGCGCACTCGGATCAAAGCTGCATTCCCCATGTTTCTGAATCTTCCAGACGTCCCTACAACCACAGCCTGCCATGGGGTCGCTTCCCAGAAGGCGATGCCTCGCCTGGCTCCTCCGCGCCAAATGATGAATGTTTTCTTTCGCTTTTGACCTTTCAGTCGACTCAAAAGGCACCTCGTGAAAAGGCACATCTTCCCAGCTGTTACCGCCGTCCTCTGCCATGGGGTCGTTAGCCAGAAGGCGGTGCCTCGCCTGGCTCCTCCACGCCAGTGAAACCGCATCTGTTGCTTCCAGACTTCCCTTTGCACTTCCCAAGAATCAGCTCATACGCGTAATAAGCAATTCCGTCAACTCCTCAAACACGAAACACGTCCTCAGAATTGCCGATACCTGCAAGACTTTCGAGAACTCCAGGTCGCGTTCGCCAGCTGCATCTGTGCTGGCAGCGGTGGTTACCAGTGGACCTACCGGTGACACGGGCAGGGCGGGTGTCCGGAGCCTTCACCCGTCCCCACATGTGAGGGTGTTTCATGCCTCTGCGCCGGCAGCAGTGGTTACAGGCGGTGCAACTGGTGGTGACACAGGCAGGGCGGGTGTGAGGGCGCTGCAGCCTTCTTCCCCGCATGTGAGGGTGTTTCATGCCTCGGCGCCGGCAGCAGTGGTGACAGGCACGACTGGTGACACGGGCAAGGCGGGTGTGAGGGGGCTGCAGCCCGCCCTTGAGGGCTCAAGCGAGCATGCGGGGGAGGCGGGGCGGTCGAAGCTGGTGGAGGCGTTTCAGATTCAAGTGAGTGGCTGGCAGATGTGGATTGTGCGACGTGCATGGGGTGCGAGTTTTGAGTTGACTCAAACTCGTGAGTCGTAGGCAGATGTGCATGGCACGAGAGTATGCGGGGGAGGCGGGGCGGTCGAAGCTGGTGGAGGCGTTTCAGATTCAAGTGAGTGGCTGGCAGATGTGCATGAGAGTGTGCATGGCACTCTGCTTAGACCCACACGAGCATGCAGGAGAGGAGGGGCAGGGCGGTCGAAGCTGGAGGAGGCGTTTCAAATTCAAGCTGCGTAAATGAGCATTAGAAAGATCCGACTAAGCTATAGATAAGAGTATATCTTCTCACCCGTTACATTCTCTCTTTTTCTCCCTCTCATTTCGTCCCCTGATTTTCTATCCCACCTCTCCTCATTGTGTTCTCCCATCCTTTCGCACAGGCAGCATCAGGCCCCATGCGTGGCTTCATGGTTGCGCTGCGTAAGTCCGAGCTCGGTTTTCAGACCGGCCTTGCATGTTTGAGGTCTCGAATGCCATCCTTCCATTGTCGCTCACTCCTCCTCCACCTCTTTTTCAAGCCCCCCCGCTTCCCCTCCCCTCCCCCCCCCCCCCCGCACAGGCAGCATCAGACCCCATGCGTGGCTTCATGGTGGCACTGCGGAAGTCCGAGCTCGGTTTTGAGACCGGCCTTGCGCTGAGGGACCTGCGAGTGGTCATTTCCGCCCTGCAGAACCAGGTGCGGCGATGAAGCTACCGAACCAGGTGGGCTGCCGAACCAGGTGGCTTGCCAATCATGTAGGCTGCCAATCCAGTTGGGCTACCAAACCAGGTGAGCTGCCGAACCAGGTTAGCTGCCAAACCAGGTGAGCTGCCGAACCAGGTGAGCTGCCGAACCAGGTTAGCTGCCGAACCAGGTGAGCTACTGAACCAGGTTAGCTGCCGAACCAGGTGAGCTGCCGAACCAGGTTAGCTGCCGAACCAGGTTAGCTGCCGAACCAGGTTAGCTGCCGAACCAGGTTAGCTGCCGAACCAGGTTAGCTGCCGAACCAGGTTAGCTGCCTAACCAGGTTAGCTGCCCTCAACACTTCCTCTCCCCGCTTTCTTTCCTCTCCTCTTCCGAATTCTACCCGGACTCGACCCATCCCCTAGATCCCTTTTATTCTCATTCTCGAGTCTGGCGCACGTGAGAGCAGTCATCACAGCCAACCGCGCCTACGTCTCAACATCTCCCCTTTTTTCTCTTCCCCCGCCTTTCTTTACCCCCGCTTCCCCCGTCCTCCTCCACCCAACCCAACTAGATTTTCACTGTCCTCATCCGCCCGCCGCCCGCGGGCCATACTGGTGAGTCTCGTGCACGTGAGGGCAGTCATCACAGCCAACTGCGCCTACGAGATGACTTTTGAGTCGACTCAAAAGTCATCCGCCCGCCGCCCGCGGGCCATTGTGGAGAGTCTCGTGCACGTGAGGGCAGTCATCACAGCCAACTGCGCCTACGTCTTCAACACCTCCCATCCTCTCTTTTTCCTCTCCTGTCTCTACCCCTCCCTTCCCCCTTATCCCCCGGCCCTTGTCCTTTGTGCCACAGATCCCCACTATCCTCATCCGCCCACGGGCCATAGTGGTGAGTCTGGCGCACGTGAGGGCAGTCATCACAGCCAACCGCGCATATGTCCTCAACACCTCCTCTTCCCCACTATCTTCCCTCTCCTTTCCTGTACTCTCTCCCCACTTCCAACCACTTCCCGTGACTGGTCTCCTTATTCCCCATATCCCCCCTCTACAGATCCCCACCATTCTCATCCGCCCGCGGGCCATAGTGGTGAGTCTGGCGCACGTGAGAGCAGTCATCACAGCCAACCGCGCCTACGTCCTCAACACCTCCTCGCCCCGCGTGCGGCAACGACTCATCCCCACCCTCCTGCGCCGCCTCTCTGCTTCGCGCTCGGCCGCTGCTGCTGGTGGTGGTGCTGGTTCTGGTGGTGGGGGTGCTGGGTGTGATGTTTGCTCTCCCCCATCGCCCTCCTCCCCAGCTTCGTTTTCGGGGTCGGATACGTTTTTCTCGGGTGCTGTGACGGTGTTTTCTGACTGCGGGGGTGAACATCAGGGGAGTGAGGTGCGTGGATTGGAGGAGGGAAGGGATAAGAGGGGGGTGGAGCAAAGGGAGCTGGAACGGGAGGAACAGCTGCAGGAGAAGCAGCAGCGACAGGAAGGGCAGCAGAAGGTACTGGGGCAGGAATATGGAGAGGGGCAGGGGCAGGGGCAGGGGGAGGGGCAGGGGCAGGGGCGAGAGCAGTGGGGTTCTGATGTGTGGGGTGGTGAGGAAAGCAGGTGTAGGGAGAGTGGGAGGGAGGTGACGGGAGTGTGTGGGAGAGGAGAGGATGATTATGAAGCGAGGGGGCATGGAGAGAGAAGGGAGGGAATTTTCTTAGAAGAGGAGAGGGAGGAGAGGAGAGGGGGTGATAAAAGGGATGATGGGACGGATGGTGGGAGGACTGATGAGCGAGAAGAGGAGTGGTGTCAGGGGTGGCAGGAGGAGGTATCTGAGAGGAGGAGAGAGGAGTGGAGGGCGAGGAGGCAGAGAGAGGAGGAGAGGAGGAGGAACAAGCGATGGCTGGAGGATTTGGAGAAAGAAAGCAAGGGAAGGTTCAGTGAAGCTTCGAATGGAGAGGAGGAGGAGGGGGAGGGGGGGCGGGAGCACGGGGATGGGCATTTGATTGGGAGTGACGGGCAGTGGGAGCGATACGGGGAGGTGCTTCTGCTGGAGTTGACTCAGAAAGACGGTGTTCTGTTAAAGCCTGGTCAGGCAGGGCAGTTGGGTCAGCCGGGCCAGTTAGGTCAGTCGGAGCAGTCCAGTCTAATGTCACAAGGGGAGGTGCTTGTAAGGGAGGGTGAGGCGAAGACAAGGCAAAGGGGAGGGGAAAAAGGGGAGGAGGGGAGCAGAGTGGATGGAGGAAGTGGGGGGTGGGTAAGAAGGGAAACGAGGGACCAGGAGAAGGCTAAGGGAGGGGAAGAGAGGAGGTGGGTGGAGCATCTGGAAGGGAGGGGAAGGACGGGAGGAGTAGAGGGTGTGAGGGGTGGAGTGGTGGGTGGGAGTGGTGGAGAGGCGAGTGGAAGGGGTGCTGGAGAGGGTAAGATAGACATGAGGGATGCTAGTACCACTACCACCACCAACGACAACACCACGAACAATAACAGCACGAAACACCCTCCCCAGTCCACAGCAGCCCTGACCATACCCAGGGTCGCACCCACCCCGTTTGAATTCCAAGTCCTAGAGGCCCTTCTAGACGAGGTCGGGGTGACTCTGAAGGTCAAGTACGCGTCCATATTCCCGGGCGTGTACCAGGGCTTGAGGGCGTTCGCCGGGGGGCGAGTGCCGTATGAGCGGGCCATGGCGGAGCAGGAGGCGTTTCTGAGAGCCAAGAACGAGCTGCTGCGGCTGGAGCGGAGCGCCAATCAGATCTGCAACGCCGTCCGGGAAGTGCTGTCGAATGATGAGGTGAGCACATGAGGGGAAGGGGGGGGGGGGGATGTGTGTAAAGGCGTTCCTGACTCCTGAGAGCTGAAATTGAGCTGCTGAGGCTGGAGAGGAGCGCCAACCAGATCTGCAACGCCGTCCGTGAAGTGCAGTCGAATGATGAGGTGAGCACATGAGGGGAAGGGGGGGGGGATGTGTGTAAAGGCGTTCCTGACTCCTGAGAGCTGAAATTGAGCTGCTGCGGCTGGAGAGGAGCGCCAACCAGATCTGCAACGCCGTCCGTGAAGTGCTGTCAAATGATGAGGTGAGCATGGTTTGGTATAGAATTCATCTGAGGAGCCTCAGAAGGAGGCCTCTGAAAACGAGATGCTGAGTCTACGAATGAGAGTCAAGTAAATCCGCAGTGCTCAGGGTGGGGAGGGGATGAGTGCGTCTTTTCTTCCTGCTTTTGAGGCGTCTCGTAACATAGATGGTGAGGGTGGGATGAAACGTGTTTTTTCTTTCCATTCCATGTCCCTCCATGTCAGGACATGGCCGCGATGTACCTGTCGAGGAAAGCCTCCCTCACCTCTGGTGCCACCAGCAGTGGGAAGGGGAGCACAACGAGGTGGTGGGGGAGACAGAGGGGTTTCGGCTGACATGTGTGTGTCTTGATCCTGCTTTTTCCATGTCCCTCCATGTCAGGACATGGCCGCGATGTACCTGTCGAGGAAAGCCTCCCTCACCTCTGGTGCCACCAGCAGTGGGGTGGGGAGCACAGCAACGTGGAGGAGTTTTGAGGCGCCTCAAAAGAAAGCCTCCCTCACCTCTGGTGCCACCAGCAATGGGGTGGGGAGCACAGCAACGTGGAGGAGTTTTCGGACGACCACCTGAGGCGGGTTGACTTTTGAGTCGACTCAAAAGTCAGGAGTTTTCGGAAGACCACCTGAGGTGCATGGACGAGGTGGTGGGGGAGGCGGCTTACATGCTCCTCCTCCGACGTCCCTTCCCTTCCCTTTCCCGCAGGACATGGCAAAGATGCACCTGTCAAGGAAAGCCTTTCTTTCTCCTAGGGGAACCAACAGTGGGAAGCACAGCGAGGTGGAGGAATTGTCGGAAGACCACCTGAGGCGCATGGAAGAGGTGGGGGGGGGCGGGGTGTGGGCTCCCTTCACGTGTGTGTCCCAATCCTGTCCGTTCAACCCCCGTCCATGGCAGGACATGGCAGAGATGTTCCTGTCTAGAAAAGCCACTCTTGCTACTGGTGCAGCAAACAGTGGGGGGCACAGCGAGGTGGAGGAGTTGTTGGAGGACCACCTGAGGCGCATGGAGGAGGTGGAGGGGGAGGCGGCTTACATGCTCCTCCTCCGACATCCCATCCCTTCCCTTCCCCACAGGACATGGCAGAGATGTACCTGTCAAGGAAAGGTGCGCTCCCCCCTGGCACCACCAATAGTGTGGAGCACAGCGAGGTGGAGGAGCTGTTAGAGGACCACCTAAGGCGCATGGAGGAGGTGGTGGGGGAGGCGGAACAGCTTCTGTCCATGTCCGATGCCACATCAGAGTACCTCAGAACAGCCCTGGACAGGTGGGTGATTATTGGCAGGTGAGTGAGAGTGGCGTAGAGGAGAGATACGGGAACAGCCGGAGCAGTTGTTATCCATGTCTGATGCCACATCAGAGTACCTCAGAACAGCCCTGGACAGGTGGGTGATTATTGGCAGGTGAGTGAGAGTGGCGTGGAGGAGAGATACGGGAACAGCCGGAGCAGTTGTTATCCATGCCTGATGCCACATCAGAGTACCTCAGAACAGCCCTGGACAGGTGGGTGATTATTGGCAGGTGAGTGAGTGGAGCAGCTGCTGTCCATCTGCTTTTCTTCGCTTTTTTGTTATATTTTCTCTTCGTCTTCTTATCCTTTCCTGGCATGTAGTCAGTGTGTCGAGGAACGCGTCTCTGTTTCTTGTTTCCTCCAGTCATCTCCATACTCTCTTCCTTCATGCAGTGCGCGCAATCAGCTGATCGAGCTCGACGTGCCTCTCAACATGGCGACATGCTCACTAGCTATAGGGGGTCTATTGCCGTCTTATGTGTGTAATGTGTGTGTGCCTTCCTTCCCTCGCTCCATGCAGTGCGCGCAATCAGCTGATCGAGCTCGACGTGCTTGTCAACATGGCGACATGCTCGCTCGCCGTGGGTGGCTCCATTGCTGCTGTCTTCGGTAAGCCTTTGGTTATTGATAGGTGTGTGATGTGTCGTGTGCCTTGGCTGTTGTCCGTTGAGTCGAACCAAAAGTCACCCCTTAGGGGGGCTCCATTGCTGCTGTCTTCTGTAAGCCTTTGTTGCTTGATAGGTGTGTGACTTGTGCCTTAGCTACTGTCATTTGCCATGCGTGAAGTGTTCATGCTGTGTGAGCGTGCTAGTGTAGGATGAGGTAAGTTTCAATCTTCGTGTCTATACGTTCCACAGCTGGGAATTTCGTTGTTGCCATTGTTGCACTTCCAGGCCGGCATTGACGGTAGGATTTAATCAGGGGTGTTTTTCGTTGCTCTTGCCACCCTTTGATCCGTTCCAGGCATGAATCTGGTATCATCCTTCGAAGATACCTCATTAGCGTTCCCCATCGCAGCAGGCAGTGTCGTGTCACTGTCTGCAGTTGTATTTTTGGCTCTACGCACATACGCCAGACGGCGAGGTATTATGTAATTAGCTGTGTATATGTTTTACATTGCCCTTTGTAGTGCAAGGAAGCGCTTCAAGTGTAGTCTACCTCGCGTACAAGCTTGGCTTGGGGAGTTCACCCACACCACACCTTGTCGCCTCGGACCCAGACCCCCCGAGTGTCCACGTGAAGCGACAACGCCCCTTCGACCAGTCGTTGGGCCATTCTCGCAGACTTGGGGAGGCAGGTCTGGGCCTTCCTGGCGTCATGGGTGTCGGTGTGTGGTGTGGTGGTGGTGCCCGTTCTGTGTCCTGGTCTGGAACACGGCCTGTGGGCCGCTGCTGACGCAAGGAGGTAATCGAAAGAACTGAGGACGTGTGTACAAGTAGAAGTGATTGGAACATTGTTCGAAATGGTGCTGCAACATTCTTGTTTTGAAATGCGGTGCAGTATAAACAGACAAGCACTCGATGTTTCACAAAAGTTCAGACTAAAGATGCCCTCAAAATTCAGAAAATTCCCGAGGCGTGGTGTGGACAGCAGCCGAGCCAGCAGCGCATGGAGTGTGGACGAAAAGCCTCCAACCCCAGCCACAACCCCTCGACATTATCGAGGAATTTGCCAGGCGAGCGACGAAGAAAAAGCGTGGACAGCAGCAAGACGAGTTGGTCGCTTCGGTTAGCTTCGGTTTGGGGAATAGACAAATAGGTGTAGCTGGTATAGGCCAGTTTAGTCTGATCCATTCGGCAAGCTCGAGGTAATTCATGCATGATCAGAGTCCGACGTAAGCCCGCTTCATGCACACAGTCACGCATTTCAGCAACCACAAATCACCAGCAACCACATTTGCAATTCTGCTTCTTAGTTTCAGGAAGCAGAGCCCTTAGTTCCTTCACCGTAGGCTCCTACGCCTAATCCGTTTTAGGCGGGATTACTCGTAGGCGATAGCTGTCTTCCCATTTTATAATTCCGAGGCTTTTCCTGTCATTGAGAAGCGTTCTGTGCGTTCGCCGAGCATCACGTCTCGCTCTCTCGACCAGTCGCTTCCTTGCAATCGCTCTTTTCTTCGTGCAGTCTAGAAATGTCTCTCCCTACGTCTCACGCGATTTCGTCGTCCAGGCTTCACAGCTTGCCATCCCTCCAGCCATTATGCGCATCTTCTAAGTCCTCCTCTCCCGCCTGCTTTCAAAAAAGCACCGCTATCGCGCCATCACGCATCGGATGCCTCCAGAAGCCTTCGTCAGCAGCGGGGAAATGCAGCAGCGTAAGCAGGCAGCGGCGACGGGTGGGAGGGAGAGGTGTGGTTGCAGCCAGACCTCCTACGGAGGAGGTTGAGGTGCGGACTGAGCCGTTGACCAAGGAAGACCTGGTCAACTATCTGCGATCCGGCTGCAAGCCCAAGGACAAGTGGAGGTAAACGGCTAAGTTGGGAGCGAACCAATGCACGGCTATTTGAAATTTCCGACGTTTTTCAGGGTTCTAGGTTTTCTAGGTTTCCCATTTTTCACTGCGGAAGATTTAGTCAATGGGAGATTGGTATGTTTTTTTACCCTCGCGAAATGGAACGGTAAGCACATTATTTCCGCTGCGCTCTCACTATTTCGCTCACCTCGTTTCGTCTCGTGCCAGGATCGGCACGGAGCACGAGAAGTTCGGGTTCGATCAGAAGACGCTCCAGCCAATGACGTACGAGCAGATCGCGACGCTGTTGGAGCACATTGCGGATCGGTTCTCGTGGGACAAGATCATGGAGGGCGACAGGATCATTGGCCTGCGATCGGTACGTATCTTTGAATGTTGACTTAAGGGTTCCTTCGTCAAATGCTGACTGAAAAGACTGATAGATACTGACGACGGAATCATGGGGAGCGTCAGGATCATCGGCCTGCGATCGGTACGCGTTGCACTACACTGTAGTGTCGTTAAATGCTGAATTAGAAGGCTCCTTAACTATTTACTTGTGGGGACAAGATCATGGAGGGGGACAGGATCGTTGGAGGGCGACAGGATCGTTGGAGGGCGACAGGATCGTAGAGCAGTGAGTGTCGTCAGATGCTGACGAAGGAGGTTCTTAGAATTTATTTGTGAAGTTTCATGGACGGCGAGGATTGGCGGCTTGCGAACGGTGCGTGGAACAAATGAACCTATTCCACGAACAGTTATGGAACGTGTGAACATCGACAATCGCACGCGCTCGGAGCGTGTGCGATAGATAGCTACACACACTGAATATGGTCAGTGTTCGAGATGGATAATTCGTTTTGCTGCATTCCTGCGGATCAGCGGATGAGGGGATTATATAATATCCATTATTGGAATGCGCAACCATGTACATTCACGCACGCCCGTGCACACTCATGAACACCCACACGTTCCCTAAACTCCGCTACCCTTGGCAGAACGGGCAGAGCGTGACGTTGGAGCCCGGAGGTCAGTTCGAGCTGAGTGGCGCGCCCCTGGAGACAGTGCACCAGACGTGCGCCGAGGTCAACGGTCACCTCTATCAGGTACACCCGCTATTGCATCCTACCTTACTGGGTATAGGTTCTTATTCCAGTCAGAGAGGTCAGTTCGAGCTGAGTGGCGCGCCCCTGGAGACAGTGCACCAGACATGCGCTGAGGTCATCAGGTACACCATTTACTGCCCTTTATTGCAGCCTAGACGTGCGCTGAGGTAACGATTATCCTTTCCAGTTACCCACGGGCTTTACTGCAGTGCCTAGGGCGGGTATAGCCAGGATACAATCACTCTACCAAGAACTTATAGTTAAGTGGTGGCACAGCCTTGACGACACAGCAGAGACGTGCGCTGAAGTCAACGGGCACCTATGCCTGCCACACGCACCCGTGCAATCAACTTTACAAGGCGCAAGGCCACATCCAATTACTGGCTGAGAGCATTGCGATAATTTTGTCACTGACTTGGATTATTTCCGCTTGAATGTCTGGCTGATGGGTGGTGGTGGGTGGTGCGTGATTTTTGGCTTGGCACATGGCAGGTGAAATCCATCTGCGAGGAGGAGCACGTGGGGTTCCTGGGCCTGGGTTTTAACCCGAAGCACACCCTGGAGGAGATCCCCATCATGCCCAAGGTGAGGCGCATGTGTAATGCACAGAGCCGACTCACAACACACCTGGAGTCGTTTTGCGAGAGGTCTTAGAGCACATGGGGTTAATGAGCCTGGGCTTCAACCCAAAGCACACTCTTGAAGAGATTCCTATCATGCCCAAGGTGAGCTGCGATTCCCATCATGCCCAAGGTGAGCTGCGATTCCCATCATGCCCAAGGTGAGCTGCGATTCCCATCATGCCCAAGGTGAGCTGCGATTCCCATCATGCTCAAGGCTTGAGATGCTGCTTTCCCTTGCCTTCGATCCCTTCCCACTACCCTTCTCAACTCTCATTCCCCTTTCCCTGCAACCCCATCCCCCACTCCCTTTCCTCCTCCGCCGTCCGCTTCCCCCAGGGTCACTACACCAAAATGCGCAACTACATGCCCAAAGTGGGCTTGCTGGGGCTGGAGATGATGTTCCCACTCCCGTATATCCCCACCCTCTCTTGCTGCCCGTTTTCACTGTTCCATCCCACTCCACTATCACTCCTGCCTCTCCCCCCCACTTCAGGGCCGCTACACCATAATGTGCAACTACAGGCCCAAGGTGGGCTCGCTGGGGCTGGAGATGCTTCCCCTCTTCCCCTTTCTCCGCCTCCTCTGGTCATCTTTCTCACCTGTCCTTCCTGGGTCCTCCTCCTCCCCCCCTGCAGGGCCGCTACACCATAATGCGCAACTACATGCCCAAGGTGGGCACGTTGGGGCTGGAGATGATGTTCCGCACGTGCACGGTGCAGGTCAACCTCGACTTTGACTCCGAGCAGGACATGGTCGACAAGTTCCGTGTGGGCCTCGCGCTACAGCCGGTGAGTGTTTTGCTACAGATGGTGAGATGAAGCACAGGGGTTACCCCCCCAGGTAGTGCACGGTGCAGGTCAACCTCGACTTTGACTCCGAGCAGGACATGGTCGACAAGTTCCGCGTCGGCCTCGCGCTACAGCCGGTGAGTGCTTTAGCCCTCTGCCGCTTCAGCCGGTGGGTCTCAGCTTTGCTCACCCGCCACTACAGTCGCTACTTGTGTAGGTTAGCCTCGACTTTGACCCCGAGTAGGACATGGTAGACAAAGTTCCGAGTCGGGCTTGAGCTACAGCCGATGAGCGCTACAGCCGGTGAGCGCAACAGTTGGTGAGCGCTACAGCCGGCGAGCGCTACAGCCGGTGAGCGCTACAACCGGTGAGCGCTACAGCCGGTGAGCGCAACTGGTGCGACACAGGTTTTTCCCCTCGTGCTACAGCCTGTGAGGTTCAGGGATGACCTCCTTTGCGCTACAGCTGGTGAGACTCAGGTTTGGCCCCCCGGCGAGGGCTGTGCTAGAACGGGTGGGGTTGGAGATGCATTTTGAGGCGCCTCAAAATGCGACTCAGGTTTGGCCCCCTGGCGAGGGCCGTGCTAGAACGGGTGGGGTTGGTGGAGATGATGTTTCGCACATGCACCGTGTGACTTTTGAGTCGACTCAAGAGGGCTGTGCTAGAATGGGTGGGGTTGGAGAGATGATGTTTCGCACATGCACCGTGTTCCCCTTTCTCTCTCCACTCCTACTCCATTAGCCAACTTCCTCAACCACCCCCCCCCTCTCCCCCCCCCCCCCCCCCCCCCCCTCCTCCCTCCTCCCCTTCCACCTCCCACCCACCCCTCCCTTCTCCCCACCCCCCGCCACTGTTCATTCTGGCAGGTGGCCACGGCCTTGTTTGCCAACTCTCCATTCCTGGAGGGCAAGCCGAATGTGTACCATGCTCCCCCCTTCTCAATCCGCTCCTACTCCATAAATCAAATCTCTTCCCCCCCCCTCTCCCCTTCCCCCCTTCGCCGCAACCCCCGCCACTGTTCATTCTGGCAGGTGGCCACGGCCTTGTTCGCCAACTCGCCATTCCTGGAGGGCAAGCCCAATGGGTATCTCAGCTACCGCAGGTGCGCTTGTGGGAAGCGGGGGTGGGTTGAGAGGCGATCTTTTACCGCTCGAGTTAGATTTGGAGGTATACGTGTTGGTATTATGGACCAGCTTTAAGGGTGCACAGAAGCAGTGCCGGCAGACTGGTTAGTGCTGTCACTATGCTGCTGCTGTGCATGGGATTCGCGTCAGGCTCTGCCCGTTCTGCCAAGGGCGGCTTTTGAGGCGCCTCAAAAGTGCTGGCAGACTGGTTAGTGCTGTCACTATGCTGCTGCTGTGCATGGGATTCAGCGTCATGCTCTGCCGGTTCTGCCAAGGGCGGCTCTGGCGCACCTGCGACAGCACTATGCGGCTTCAAGGGTGCACAGCAGTGCCAGCAGACTGGTTAGTGCCAGCAGACTGGTTAGTGCCAGCAGACTGGTTAGTGCCAGCAGACTGGTTAGTGCCAGCAGACTGGTTAGTGCCAGCAGACTGGTTAGTGCTATGCTGCTGTGCATGGACGGCACTGGTGGCAGCACAGCAGCACAGTGGCATCCGTCCAAGCCTTTTACTCTCGTTGCCGCCGTCACAAGCCCATCCGGCCAGTCTTCTCTAAGCATTACCGTGCCTCCTTTGTGCACGTGCAGTCAGAGGAAAGATGTCTCTGATATTTTTTCCCTCGCCTTCTGCCCCTCGTTGCTGTGCCCTCGCTCATTTCTTGGTTTCCTTGCCTCATCGCCTCACAGTCGAGCTTAATACGCCTTAGTAATTGTCCCTTTTGCTGGTCCCTTGCCTTGTCTCGGGTTGCCTGGCAGTCGAGTGTGGGAGGACACTGACAAAGACTTTTGAGGCGCCTAAAAAATTGTCTCTTTGGCTGTTCCCTTGTCTTGTCTCATCGCCTGGCAGTCGAGTGTGGGAGGACACTGACAAAGACTTTTGAGGCGCCTAAAAAATTGTCTCTTTGGCTGTTCCCTTGTCTTGTCTCGTCGCCTGGCAGTCGAGTGTGGGAGGACACTGACAAAGACCGCACAGGGGACCTCCCGTTTGTTTTCGAGGACGGCTTTAGGTGCGTGCCACTCTTTTTTTCCGGTCCGCTCTCTGCTGTTTTGCATGAGATTCGTTCTGATTAGTTTTCTCGTGTCTGCGGGTCAGTGCTGAAATTGCACTTCGAGAAGCCATTTGAGGGCATATTGTTGACACCGACTCGGTGTTTTTCCTGAAACACTTAATATTCCCTGTGTCGTGTTTGCTTGTGCATGCCTGTGCGTGTGTGTGCGTGTGCATATGCATGCATGGGTGTATTTGTGTGTGTATGCATTTGTGTGTGCATGCATTTCCGTGTGCGTGCATGCATGTGTGTATGCGTTTCCATGTGCATGTGTGCGTGTGTGCGTGCGTGACACCAGCTTTGAACGCTATATGGAGTATGCCCTGGATGTACCCATGTACTTTGCATACCGTGACCAGCGCTACATCGATGCCACAGGGCTCTCCTTCCGGGTAAGCACGGGTGATGGTGGTAAGCAGGGGAGTCATGTGCATGTTTGGTAGGTTTGAAGGGCTATGTGGGTGGAGTGGAGTATGCCCTGAATGTACCCATGTACTTTGCATGCCGCAACCAGCGCTACATCAATGCCACAGGGCTCTCCTTTCGAGTAAGCACATTTAACATGTCACGTGCATGTTTTTTATATCATATCACACGCATGTCTAACGTCCCTTCGTCCCGCCCCTCGCCTTCTCGCCCCCCCTCACCCATGTCTTTGGGACTCAATTGGCCAACTGGCTATGACGACAGTGCTTTGAGTGAGCCTCTTCTTTCCCCGCGTCCCCCTCTTTCCTCCTCCACCCACCTTCTCCCCCTACACTCATGCTTTCAGGACTTCTTGAACGGCAAGCTCCCAGTGCTGCCAGGTGCCTACCCCACTCTCAACGACTGGGAGAACCATCTCACCACCATCTTCCCTGAGGTATGGTGTTTCCTTCAAAGGATTTGGGATATTTTCGATGCGCAATGATTGCATGTGAAACCCGCATGTGTTACATCGTCGTGTCTACAAAGATCCTATGTGATTTTTTTTTTTTTTTTTTTTTTTTTGTGAAATCCTCATGTGATCACACACATGTACACACTCCCTCCGTTGCCCCACCAACAACCCCTTGCCCTGCCACCAACCCCACAACCCCCCCACCCCATCAGGTGCGGCTGAAGCGGTATCTTGAGATGAGGGGCGCGGATGGCGGGTCGTGGAGGAGAATATGCGCCCTGCCTGCCTTTTGGGTAAGTGCATGCCACGTTACGCCAGGTCCTCTGTTCTGCGCTGCACTGTTTGTCTCTGTCTTTGCTCCCCTCCTCCCCTCATTCACTCTCCCTGTGCGTCTCATCTCAGGTGGGGCTGCTGTACGGTCGACAAGCACTTGACGCGTGTCTGAGGGTACCCCAAGCACACACGTTCCTTACCTCCTCTCCACCCCTCCTTTCCACACTCTTTTCCCCCTTGTCTTCTCGCCTCAGGTGGGGTTGCTGTACGACCGACAGGCGCTGGACGAGTGTAAGGCAATCATCTCTGATTGGACAGAGCTCGAGCGCTCTGCTCTCCGCACACATGTGAGTCTCCACACACTCACATGGCAGGTTCCTGATACTCTCTCCCTCTCCTCCCCCCTTTTCTTCCCTATCCCCTCCCCCCGCCTCTCACCTACTCTTGTCAACTTCCTCTTCTGTTTGGTCTCCCTCTCCCTCCTTCCGTCCGTCTGCCCAATCTTCTCCTTGCATGCATAACCCTCAAAAAGCTTTTTGACTTCCCTCCTCCCCCCTCTGCCGTCTTCCGTGCCATCTCTCCTTTCCCTCCCTCGTAACGCGCTTCAAGTTTCCATCTTTCTCCCGTCCTTGTCATCCCCCTCTGCTGTTCGCCCTTCCCTCCCCTCCCTCCTCCACTCCCTTAGCCTCTCCACCTGTCTGCCCTCAAGCTGCACCGCATATCAGGAGCTAAATGATCCCTTCCTTCCCACTTCGTTTTTTTTTTTTACTGCTCTTCCCATCTGTCCCATCGGCTGTATTCAGGTGCCCCGCATGGCCCTCAAGACACCCTTCAGGGAGGGGCTGCTGCAGCACCTGGCACAGGATCTTGTCAGAATCAGCAGGGTGAGTTGGAATGAACAGGGTTCTTTGACTAACCAGCAAAACTCTATCCAAAGCTTCCATTATGTATTGCGTATCCAAGGCTGAAATGTACGCCCTGGCTGGAGTGGCTGTGGCCTGTGTCTTTTGAGTCGACTCAAAAGTCTAACCAGCAAAGCTCCATTCAAGGCTTCCATTGCGTATTGCGTATCCAAGCTACACCCTGGCTGGAGTGGCTGTGGCCTGTGTCTGCTCTGCGTGTTTATCTGGATGTGTCTGTATTCATTTCTGTCTGTGTTTCCCTTTTCAGGACGGATTGCAAAGACGAGGGTACAGGGAAGGCAACTTCCTCAAGGAGCTGGAGAACATCGCTGCTACGGGTAATGTCCCTTTTTTGGGGTATTTTTTGGGTGTACAGGATGTGGTTGCCCTTATCCTGTTCATGCTCGATCACGTCAACCATCATGCTCCGTTCGTATATGTCATTTGTTCGGTCGTGACGCATGTCGTCCAATGTGACCAACACCCTTGTTTCAGGGCGGCTCCAAACTGTTCTTTATTCCTGCTCACTGTGCCAGGCCATACTGTCCCATGGAATTTGTCCGCTACATGCAGTTTTGAAACATGTGTCCCGCCAAATGCCACTTTCTGCATTGCATGTTTATCACATCTCTCCCGGCAGGTGTGACTCCTGCCGAGCGCATGTTGGAGGCATACCATGGCAGGTGGGGGGAGAGCGTGGATCCCATCTACAAGGAGCTCATTTACTAGTTATAAATAGCTGTTCGATGTGCGAAATGAATGCAACTCAACTTTCCATTCTTGTCTCATACTCCCAAGGGGCAAGGAGACCCTAGTGGTCTATTGTGAGAGAGTTAGCCAGTAGGAAAAATAATTGATAAAAATGGTGGATATTGTGAGCAGTGCGATTCTGTTACCTAAGAATAACATACATAAAGGGGAGTTTGGCTGATTAGGATGTTGCATGACTGGCGCTGTATATCTCTAATGAGGATGTCTGCAGGTTATTGGTATAGTACAGCGTTTCTGTAATGAGAATAGGAGGGACACGTGCTTTTGGTATACGCTGCATCATAGTGTCCAAGGTACCGCTATAGTGAGGCATAAGCTTGCTAGGCGGCATCCACAAATCTCGAGGGTCGATGTGATTGGCTTTCGCACCTAGCCCTGAATTTTGTGGCCGTTTCGTTTCGGCGGAATTCCCAAGGCCAGACGGACGAGCTGAACCGACCACTTCAGCAGCGGCAACCGAGCAAGGCTCAGGCAGTTTACCAAACAGCAGCGCTGCACCACCCTTCACCCTACTGGAACACCTGAAACCTTGACCCTACAAAGCCTCCATAACTCCATTGCACTGATTCCTGACTCCTGAAATGCCTTCATGCTTTCATTGGTTTTGCCGTTCCAGAAGTGAGGTCTCTGTTGAGCAGGAAGCTCTTGGACCCAGCATTAGCAGCTCATGTGAAGCCGGAAAATAAAACCGATAACTGGTCCCATTGCGTCGCTGTCCGTCTCGCTGTTTCTTCCTCTGGTTCTCTAGTTTTATCGAATTCCATCATTCTCTTTGACCTATATTTATAAGCGTAATGCCGCGACAGCACCTCAGACCTCCTCAGGCATTCTCTTTACCTCGAAATTCCCGCTTAGTCAAATAGACGTAACTTCAACGCTCCTTCACTCCCGCATTGTCAAATTCCTCGGCGTCCCGCGAGCAAGTTCAACCCAGCGTGCAGCTTTCAGTTCGGCGTCCCTCTGCTTGCAATTTACAGCTCACAGTTCGGATTACAGCTAGCATAGGCCTTCTTTCACCTACCCAGTCGACTGTCTTTTCCACGTCTTTGAAGCGAGTCCGCAATGTCGTGGATTCGGTCGAATCTGGCCAAGGTGGGGACATTTGCGGGGTCCGTGGTGCAGAAGGCCGGAGATGCCGTGGAGCGAGGCGCCAAGATGGTGTACGAGCAGGCGGAGAGCGCTGTGGTGAGTCTTACTGCACGGTTTGTTTGTTTGTTTTTTTTTGGGGGGGGCGGGGGAAGGCTCTGCTTATGTGCTGGCCGCTTGGTTGTTTGTTATTACTATTATTTTCTGCCAAAGATGGAGATTTTGCTAGGTTGGGGGTGCAGAATCCCGGGGGTACTTTGGAGCGAGGCGCCAGAATGAAGTACGAGAAGGCAGCGGAGAATGCAAAGAGGCTTTTTCTACTTGCACTTCTCCCCCATTCGTCCCGTACCCTCAGGTGGGTCGGCCACACAACAGCTTCCGCCATGCGGTGCGGCGGATAGAGGAGGTGGCGACATTCGCACGCGGCAGCGAGCGCAAGGAGGCTCTGGCGCGCTGGCTTGCTGCGCTCTCAGACATCCAGCAGGAGAACGACCGCCTTCAGGCGCATTTCCAGAGGCGGAAGAAGCGGCAGGAGAAGGGGGAGCGGAAGACGCAGGAAGAGAACAAGCAGGAAGAGGTGACGGCGGAGTCTGCTGCTAGTGCTGATGGTTCTGCTGCTACCGGGGCTGCTGGGGCTGCAGCTGAGGCTGGCGCCAGTGATGCTGGTGCTGCTGGTGCTGCTGTAAGCCCAGGGCGAACGGATGGAGTAGGAGCGGAGGGGGTAGGGGCTGACAGAGCTGGTGACGAAGGCAAGGATGGTGCTAGTGTTACAGAGGGTAACCAGGCCAAAGATGGGGAAGCAGAAGGTGTGGAGGCACGATTGTCACAGGTGCAGACAGATGGAGCTGAGGGGAAGACGGAGTCAGTAGCAGCAGAAGCAGACTCAGAATCAAAGGATGGGGTTGTTGGAGATGGAGAGAAAACAGGAGCAGAAGCAGGTAGCAAGTCAGCAGCAGCGGGTGATATTGCAGCAGCAGGAGAAGAAGCGGAGGAGGTGGCATCAGTAGGGGATGGATCGTTGCAAGATGAGGCAGCTCCGTCGCTGTCAAAGTCAGCATCAACTGGACGGGCTTCCATGGTGAGTGAAGCAACGGTTTGAGTGCAGTGCAGTGCCGTGCGGTGCAGTGCATTGCGGTGTGGTGCAGTGGAGCTCATAGTAGCATCGACTGGACAGGCGGCCATGGTGAGTGAAGCAACGCCCTGGGCGCAGTGCAGTGCAGTGCGGTGCGGTCTTGAGGTGTAGACATTCCTCAGAGTTCTTCCTGGATCGGGAATTTCTGAACTTCAATAAAAGAACGTTATTTCTTCTCCCTTTACCCCCCTTTCTTCTTCTCCCCCCTCCCTCTCTCCCCCCCCCCCCCTCCTCCCACTCCTTCCCAGGTGCTCTTTTACGACCCTGACGCGGGCAACGAGGCCCTCAACTTCAGAGATGTATTTTGTGATCCAGCGCGCTGGAGCTCATAGTACATCTCTCCCACCCACCCATTATCCACCCCTTTTCTCCCCCGCACTCTCCTCTCAGGTGCTCTTTTACGACCCAGACGCGGGCAACGAGGCCCTCAACTTCAGAGATGTATTTTGCTATCCAGCGCACTGGAGCTCATAGTACATCTCTCCCACCCATTATCCACCCCTTTTCTCCCCCGCACTCTCCTCTCAGGTGCTTTTCTATGATCCAGACGCGGGCAACGAGGCCCTCAACTTCAGGGACGTGTTTCTGCGCTCCAGTGCTCTCGAGCTCATAGCACCCCCAATCCTTCCCTCTCTCTCAGGTGCTTTTCTATGATCCAGACGCGGGCAACGAGGCCCTCAACTTCCGGGACGTGTTTCTGCGCTCCAGCGCGCTGGAGCTCATAGTGGCATCGATGGTGGTGGCGCCGGGGGATGAGGACGAGATGGCGCTGCTGAGAGGGCTGTTCGAGTGAGTACCTGGGAAGAAAGGAGGGAGGGGGGATGGGGCAACGTTGCTGTGTGAAGGGCGTGGGCTGTCTCAGGTCAGGTCAGCAGCGGTCTGAGACGTCTTTCTGCGATCCAGCGCGCTGGAGCTCATAGTGGCGTCGATGGTGGTGGCGCCGGGGGATGAGGACGAGATGGTGCTGCTGAGAGGGCTCTTCGGGTGAGTACTTGGGGAGGAAAGCTGGGTTGGGGGGAAAGAAAGGAGGGAGAGGGGGTGATTCTAAGGGATGCTTTTGGAAGGGTTTGGGCTGCCTTGTCGATCAGAGACGTGTTTCTTCGCTCCAGTGTTCTGGAGCTTGTAATGTTGTCAACAATGAGCCAGCAGACGACAATGAGGAGCTCATTGTCGTCTGGCGCGTCTGGTGGTGGAGCCAGACGACAATGAGCAGATGGCGCTTCAGATTGGTCTGTTCATTTGAGAAAAGGGGCGGAAATTTGGGCCCTTTTGTACCCCCCTGCACTCCTCTGCACTCCTTTGCACACGCTCTATCTGAACTTTCCCTCAACCCAGTGAAACGGGCTGGTTGCAGCTCGTGCTATTTTCTTCTGCCAATCCCATCTCCCCATATCATCTTCATTTCCTTTTTCTACCCCTGTGCACCTTTCTGTACCCTTCTGCGCCCCTCCTACCCAGCCTCTGTCTGAACCTCTCCACAACCCAGTGCAATGATCTTCTCGCTGCCCTCCAGTCACTCGGCTCCTCCCTCTCTGCTTACTCCGAACTCAAGGTGCGATGAGTTGCTCAACGAAACCTTGAGGGGTGGGAAGGTATGAGCGAGGGTGAGGGTGGGAAAGGGTGGGGAAGGGTGGAGAAGGGTGGGGAAGGGTGGGGAAGGGCGTGCAGGGAAAACAAAATAAAGAATGAAAACCTCTCTACCTGTTTCTGCTTTCTGCATCACTCCCTCATTCTCCCCATCAGCTTCTGTTGCCCTCTTTCATCACTTCCTCCTCCTTTCCCTTCCCCTTTCACCCCTCCCTCGCTCTTTCCTTACTGCCTCCACTCCCTCCTCCTCCACACTCCCTCCCCTCCCCCCTCGTTCTCCCCTCTCTCCACTCCCTTGCGCGTCCTCCCCACACTCTCCACCCCTTCGCTTGTCCTCCCACTCCCACCACCATCGACTGTCTGTACAGTGATGTGACGTGACGATTCGGCAGCAGTTGGTATGAAGTCATTTCAAAACTCTTCCTCCCTTCGTCCTTACCTGCCGTCCCCTGCCCATTGCCACTCCCACTGTCAGTTGCCAAGTGATGACTTGGCCACGATGGTGGCAGAAGCAATCACAGGGCTGAAGGTCAACCCCGAGATTGAAAGGTGTGCAATGCGGTGTGAGGTAGGGCCAATGTGGTGTCGGCTTTAGGAGGGTTGGTGGCCGCAAGTAAGACACAGGACTCGTAGCCTACTGACTTAGAGCCATGCTGCTTTCAGTAGACTCTTGAGGCGCCTCAAGAACCGTGCTGCTTTCAGCAGCTTGATATGTAGCTGCATTAGTCAGCCACATAATTTGCCGCCTCTGGGCCTGCAGCACACAGCCACTCCAGTGCTTTTCAATCAACCTGCACTCTTTCTAATCTGTTCCCATTCACCTCCCCATCAGCCACTGCAGCAGCTTATTGCTGAGGCTGCCTCTGTTGCTGCCTCCCCACACTGCCAACGCCCCCTCCCTCATTTCCACCCCCAACCTACCTCCTTCAGGGTCGACCTGGAGTCGTGTCGCCTGCAGCAGCTCATAGCTGAGGCTGCCCCGGTAGCACAGCCACTCTGTTGCCTCTCATTGAATCTGCTACTTCCCTCACTCACCTTCAATACACCCGCACCTCTCCCATTCACCTCCTTCAGGGTCGACCTGGAGTCGTGTCGCCTGGAGCAGCTTATTGCTGAGGCTGCCTCTGTAGCCGCCTCTGTGCCTGCAGCACACCAGCGTTCTGCCTCCTTCGTTGCTGCCTTCGACCTTGACGATCTTGCTACCGACGCTACTTCTGCCAGTGCTGTCACGTCTGATGCTGCTGATGCTACCAGTGGTGCTGTTTCTACCGGCAGTCGTGGTGGTGATGATGATGGTGGTGGGGGTGGGGGTGCTGATGGTGGTGACACTGCTAGCAGTGGTCAAGCCTCGACTGAAACTGCTGCTGCCGGCAGCGCTGCCTCCTCTTCCGGGCCTGCTGCACCTGCCGAAGCTGATGGAGCCGCCGCCGCACCTGCCGCCACCGCCGAACCTACCGACATTCAATCAGAACCAGCAGCAAACGCAGCAGCCAGCCCACCACCGCACACAATATCTAGCCCACCACCTCACACGCGCAACGCCGTAACGCACGTGAACGAGGTGGTAACCGCACGGTCTCGCGACGCGCTTCGCCTAGGCCTGCGCCTGCTGGCCTTAGAAAAGAAGAAAGAAGCCCTCCTGCAGCTGGGGGACACGCCGGGGGACAGGGCGCTGAAGGTGGAGCGGGTGAGCTGTCTGGCCGCGGAGCTGAGTGAGAGCATGGAGGGTCTCCGGCGCAAGGCTGAGGAGTGCCGCCAGCAGCGCCAGGAGGCCCTCGCGTACCGCAGCAGCAAGGCGCAGGAGTCCAGGGAGGCTGAGAAGGTGAGTAAAAGGGTTCTTTTCCTCCTTTTCCCTCTGGTTTTCCTGTGTTTCTCCTCAAAACCCTGGGTTTCCTGGCTGGCAAGAGAGAGATAGAGGGACAGGGCGCTGAAGGTGGAGAGGGTGAGCTGTCTGGCAGCGGAGCTGAGTGAGAGCATGGAGGGGCTCCGGAGGAAGGCTGAGGAGTGCCGCCAGCAGCGCCAGGAGGCCCTCGCGTACCGCAGCAGCAAGGCGCAGGAGTCCCGCGAGGCCGAGAAGGTGAGTGGACCTGTTCTTGAACACCCACACCAACACCAGGTACTCCCTGTCGTGAATTACTTCCCCGCTGATCCGCTCCTTGCCTTGTAACACCTTCCCCTTTCCTTTCACTCCTCAGTTTCCTGCTTCCTGTTTCCTGCCTCCTTAGTTCCCTGGTGCCCGTGTCTCAGGCTACCCTATTGCAACAAGTCTTACACTCCCTCGCAAGGGCTCCGTCAGATTGCTGTTAGCTTCTCCTACTGCTAGTTCCCTTCGGATTAGGAAAGCAAATTGCAGTAAATGAGAAACAAACAAGCAAAAAGCAAGGAGCCCGAGTGCTACTCCTGCCTACATCTACTCCCAACTCCTGCCTTTGTTGCTTCCTCCACAAGCAAGCTCCTGGGCACCAAGCGAGTCAGCCGAGCTGCCCGCGAGGGCTCGTAGGTGCTAGCTGGTTCCCACTGGGCCTGCTAGGCATGCACCGCCTTCCAGCCTGGTGACTTCGAAATTGAATTCACAGGCTGGAATTGGATTCGCTTCCCACCATCCACCTTCAATTCGCCTCCCACCAACCACCTCGAATTCCCTCAGCTACTCGGCTCTGAAATCCGGACAGTACCGTACATTCCAAGCACACAAACGAAATTAGAATGCAAAAACAGAATATAGTACAACATTACCTTAGCTGCTGTGCAATTCACACTTAGCTTCCAGCTAAGTGTTAATAGCGCGACATCCCTCCTCCCCCTCACCTCTGCCACAAAAGGTGCCCCTGGCATAGGCCCAGCAGCAGGTGCAGACGCGCAAGGAGGAGCCGGAAGTGGTGCTGAGCCGGGTGCAGCCGGCTCTGCTTCCTTCCCTGTTTGTTCTCATTGCCCTGCTTACTCCCCCATGCTCCTACCACACACACCAACCTCCAGGGACTCTCTCGGAGGCACAGCAGGTGCAGAAGCGAAAGGAGGAGCTGATGCGGGTGCAGGTGGCTCTATCTCCTCTTCTGTTCCTATCTTCCTGCTTATCCGCGTATGATGAGTCGATATTTGAGTCGACTCAAAAATCGACTCATCACATGCAGGCGGCTCGATTTCCTTTCCTGTTCCTATCTTCGTGCTTATCTTCTCCCCCACTCATTCACACACCCACACTCACCAACACCATGTACTCCTGGCAGAGGCACAGCAGGTGCAGAAGCACAAGGAGTTGGGACGGGTGCATGCGGCTCTGCTTCTTCCCCCATTCTCATTGTCCTGCTTACTCCCTCCCCCCACCCGCCCCCAACCAACCCCCCACCACACACACCCCAGGTCCTCCTGGCAGAGGCTCAGCAGGTGCAGAAGCGAAAGGAGGAGCTGAGGCGGGTGCAAGCGGCACTGCTTCCTTCCCTGTTCTCATTGTCCTGCTTTCTCCCTGATACCCCATACACACTCACACCCCAGGTCCTCCTAGCTTAGGCCCAGCAGGTGCAGAAGCGAAAGGAGGGGCTGGAGGAGGAGCTGAGGCGGGTGCAAGCGGCACTTCTTCCTTCCCTGTTCTCATTGTCCTGCTTTCTCCCTGATACCACATACACACTCACACCCCAGGTCCTCCTAGCTGAGGCCCAGCAGGTGCAGAAGCGAAAGGAGGAGCTGGAGGAGGAGCTGAGGCGGGTGCAAGCGGCTCCGCTCCCTTCCTTGTTTTGATTTTCCTCTCTACTCATTCACACCAACACAGGTACTCCTGGCACAGGCCCAGCAGGTGCAGAAGCGAAAGGAGGAGCTGACGCTGTTCCCCTTCTTGCCGGCACCCTGCTCCCACTCACCCCCAACGCCCATTGCGCCCACCCCCCACAACCGTGCATTCCAGGTACTCCTGGCGGAGGCCCAGCAGGTGCAGAAGCGAAAGGAGGAGCTGACGCTGTTCCCCTTCTTGCCGCCACCCTGCTCCCACTCACCCCCAACGCCCATTGCGCCCACCCCCCACAACCGTGCATTCCAGGTACTCCTGGCGGAGGCCCAGCAGGTGCAGAAGCGAAAGGAGGAGCTGGAGGAGGAGCTGAGGCGGGTGCAGGCGGCTCTGGACGGCGTTAATCGGCGGCTAGTGAAGCTGGAAGAGGAGAAGGAGCTCTTTTCGCAGGCCAGCACTGGGATTGAGGCTCATCTATCTTCAGAGGTGAGCACAGCTGCTTTAAAGCCCCAGTAAGCAAGTAGTAGGCTATTGGCGACCCCAGCATGGTTCAGACATGTCACGGCTGGTGAAGCTGGGGGAGGAGAAGGAGCTCTTCTCACAGGCCAGCAGTGTAATCGAGGCTCACCTATCTTCCGAGGTAAGTATGGATGATTGGAATTAAAGCCCGAGTAAGGAATGGTAGCCTTTAGTGCCTCGCGAGTGGGTCGGTTACATAGATCCTCAGAATCATAACCTGGTGGGCTTTAAGTGCCTCGAGAGTGGGTCAGTTGTGCGTGGGCGGCTAGTGAAGCTGGAGGAGGAGAAGGAGCTCTTTTCGCAGGCCAGCACTGGGATCGAGGCTCACCTCTCTTCAGAGGTGTGAACAAGTCTTTCATATTAAAGCCCCAGTCAGGAGAGGCAGGGTAGGCTCTAAGTGCCTAAAGGATAAGCTGACTAGAATGCATGAATCGGCAGCTAGTGAGGTGACAAGTGACTGAGGGTGACTTTGAGTCGACTCAAAAGCCACCTCCTTATTCCCTGATTTTAACGCTCTGTGCCCTCCCATCCCCAACAGGAGGAATCCCTCACACACTCCCTCTCTGAACACGAGGAGGACGCCAAGGCTCTGGCAGGGTGGAAGCAGTTTCTGCAGCAGTCATGCATATCTCTCGTTCCACACACCCCTATCTAAACAACAGGAGGAATCCCTCACACACTCCCTCTCTGAACACGAGGAGGACGCCAAGGCTCTGGCAGGGTGGAAGGAATTCCTGCAGCAGTCGTGGCAGCTGCAGCAGGCGAGCATGGAGGGCAAGGAGCGGCAGATGAGGGAGGAGATGAGCGACCGCAAGAGCCGGTTCTGGGAGATGGCTCAGGGGCACGTGCGGCTGTGTCAGGTGCGTGCACATTAAATTCGCTTTAGTTGACTCTAGTTCTGATTACTTTTTCCATCACTTTAATTGAAGGATCGGGGGTAAGGCCAGGCCAGCAGGCGAGCATGGAGGGCAAGGAGAGGCGGATGCGAGAGGAGATGAGCGACCGCAAGAGCCGGTTCTGGGAGATGGCTCAGGGGCACGTGCAGCTGTGCAAGGTGCGTCCATTGCTAGTGCCTTTCTTATTTCCTCCCGTTTACACTCTCTTGAACATTCTTTTGACATTTGACTTCCCTCCCTCCCTCTCTCCCACCCTCGCTCCCTCTCTCGTCCCTCCCTCCCTCACTCCCTCCCTCACTCCCTCCTTCCCGCCCTCCCTCCCTCCCTGCGCACCCCTCCTCGCCTCCTTGGGCACCCGTTGTTGAGCAGTCGGAGTTGGAAGCCTTTGGGCAGTCGGCCAAGTCCATAGTGGAGCGGCTCGATGGTATCAGAGCCAAGAGGTGAGTCTGGATCCGTGAGGGGGGTGAGGTTTCTCTGCGTCCAGTTGCGGTGGAAGATGGGAAGGCCCTGTGGGTGCAGCAGATGCCGCCGCCGCAGGCTGTGCCATAGTCCCCGCGCTGGCACCCCGCAGTACTGCCGGGACGGCTGCACGTTGTGCGGGTGGGGGTGGAGGGAGAGAGGGAGAGGGGGAGTGTCAGAGGGAAGAATGTGAGGTTAAGACGGAGAGTGGGAGGCTGTGTGGCGGGCGTAGAGGGGGGCACGCTCTCTTTCAGCCTGAGCTGGAAGCCCACATGCGGTTGGAGTTGGAAGCCTTTGGGCAGTCGCCCAAGTCCATAGTGGAGCGGCTTGATGGTATCAGAGCCAAGAGGTGAGCGCACGTGGAAGCACACTGGCATGATGAAAGATATGTCGATTCAAGAAGGGATTTTGCACAACCTCAGGTGGTCTTCGTTGTTTGCCGCTGACCCTCGTCTCTCGTTTCACTCTCTCCCCCTACCGTCCCTCTTCCTCCCTCCCTCCCTCCGTCCCTCCCTCCCTCCCTCCCTCCCTCCGTCCCTCCGTCCCTCCCTCCCTCCCTCCCTCCCTCCCTCCCTCCCTCCCTCCCTCCCTCCCTCCCTCCCTCCCTCCCTCCCTCCCTCCCTCCCTCCATCCCTCCCTCCCTCCCTCCCTCTCCTTCCTTCCCAAAACACCGGTCCTTCCAACACCAGGGAGCAAGCGGAGAAGGAGGGGAAGGATGGGGCAGTGTCAGATAGCAAGCACAGGCGGCTGCAGTGGGAGGAACGATACATGGCAGCTGAGATACAGGTGGGTGCTGTGCGGTGTAGTGCGGCACAAAGCTTATCTTGCATTTCTCAGGCAAGAACTTGATGTTTATGCAGGTTTGTCCATCACATGCCATCCACATGCCATCCACATGCCATCCACATGCTATCCACATGCCATCCACATGCCATGCGCATGCCATCCACATGCCATCCACATGCCATCCACATGCTATCCACATGCCATCCACATGCCATGCGCATGCCATCCACATGCCATCCACATGCCATCCACATGCTATCCACATGCCATCCACATGCCATGCGCATGCCATCCACATGCCATCCACATGCCATGCGCATGCCATCCACATGCCATGCATCATGGGCTCAACCATGTCCCCTCAGCCATCACTCTGTCACCCCACGCCACAGGTGAAGCGGTGCATTGGGGAGGCCGGCCAAGATAGCCATGCGGGAGATCAGGGCCCACATCATTCACCTGCCCATGTTCCCCCATGCCCACTCATCCCTGGTTTATCACTCGCTCGTCACTCGCTCACGACCAGTCATGACTGCTCAGGACCGCTCGTAATCATGTGCCCCCATGCCTCCTCACAGGTGAAGAGGTGCATTGGGGAGGCAGAAATAGCCATGCGGGAGATCAGGGCCTGGCTGGACACTCTCCCCCCTAGGTAATGGCCCTCCTGGTTAATGCCCTGTCGCTCCCTTCCAGGTAGCACCTTCTTTTAATATGTTGATAAAATATTTTTTTCTCGTTCTTACATTTACATGGAATCCCATCTTCACGTCACAAGGTTAACCCTTATCACACGTAAGTTGCACCATTATCGTCCCCGTGCTTTCCATGACTTTCATAACATCATCACCTCTCTCCCACCATGCATTCCCTCCAGTGAGGATGCTCCCAAGCAGGCTCAAATGCGAACTCTTCTCGCCGAACTTGAGTCCCTCGTAGCTTCGGTCCGAGCCTCCGCCCGCCCGAGCCTGTCCCTGGACCACCCAACCGTGCTGCGCGTGCAGAGGCTCGGCAAGTCCCCTGACTCGTGGGCCTCCGCCGAAGCTGCTGCTGCAGGCAGAGGTTCGGCGTTTCCTGGTACGGTGGTGGTGGCCCCACTCTCAAGCTTTTCTGCTGCAGGCTCAACTGCTGCTGCTGCTTCCGCTCCTGCTGCTGCTTCTGCTGCTGTTGCTGGTACAACGGCAGCAGCAGGAGCAGCAGAAAGGCCAGACATGGCTGCTGCAGCTGCAGCACAGACTGCTGGAACTACCGAGTCTGGTAAACTGTTGAAGAAACCGGCACTAGTGATTGGGGGGTCAGCAGTTGCAGGAGCAGGTGGGGCGGCACCAACAGGAGCAGAGGAGAATGTTCCCCCTACTCCTTTTGTCATTTCGGGCGGGGTCCGCCGTCCTGTAGCTCCTGGGTTCAAGGATAAGCAAGGCAAGTCAAAGCTGCCGCCCACGGGTGGAAGTGGTTCAGTGCAGAGCAAGCAGGTGGAGGAGAGTACAGGAGGCAGGCAGAGCATGGGTGAAGATAAGGGGGAGGAAGGCGGGTCTGATGCTGCAGCTGAAGCATGTTCTGTTGGGGAATCATAATCGCATTCCCGGTCTAGCCCAGTTTAGACTAGCAGTACACATACCATAGCAGGAATCAGGTGGTTGTAACAACCAAGTTTTTTTTCCGAAGTATGGTTGGTAGCTGGCGTTTGCGTAGTGTAGGGTCCAGAATAAGTCCAAACATGAGCATGGTTACATAGGTGCATGGCAAGGGTTGGATGGACGTACAAAAAAACCTTGCATTTCCCCCTTTTCTATGCTACCCAGCTAGGTATTCACCATGTGGTAGGAAAAGAGCTTAATAAGATACAGAGAGACTCTTTAGTAAAACATAGAAGAGCATGAACAGCTGTTACACAAACAGGATGAGGCCACAAGGTGAAGCCCCTATTCTGGTGCAAGGTCCAAACAGAACACGAACTAGGGCGGTACTACCAAGAAAAGTTTCCTAGTGTGCAACTATGGAGTGCACTTATCCTGCTCCCCGTCAGCCTCCCTAAACGGCACCCAAATCTCGTTCACCCGTCCAATCAGCTCGAACGGCGAGTTATACTCCGCAATGCTGTACGCCTCGCCTCCCAACGCTGCAGTAACATTCGCCCATGCGGTACTCGCCAGGCTGTCGCCAAGATTCGCCGCCTCCTGTGCAACATTAAAATCCGTCGCGAATCCGGAGAAGGCTCGCACGGCGACGCAGAGCGACGGCGCGCGACGGATGTGCAGGTTGAGGGAGGAAGCCGGCTTGGGGGGATTCTCGGCGAAGCTCTTGGGAACGAGGAAGCGGACGAGGAAGGTGGAGGCGCAGAAGGGACCGCCGGAGGGTTTGATGGTTGTGAGCACGGGAGCAGTCATGGGGATGGTGACGCCATCCTCGTTGCGACCTTGAATGTACTGAAACAGCCTGAACAGGAGGAAGAGGAAGTGATTCGGGAAAAAAAAAAAAAAAAAAAAAAAAAATTGTCCTCAGCCTAATTCGGGCAATAGGCGAGAAAAAAGGTACCAGTCAGAGCTGGAAAAGGCTGGAAAGGTAAAAATGGCTTAGCAAACGGTGGGTAATTAGACTCGCGAATACGACCAAATTCCAGTAATATTGAAGTACCTGTGGAAGCCGGCGTAAACGGCCTTCTTGAAAGACACTTCGTTAATAGGGTCCGTCTCGGCCCAGACGCTGCTCCTGTAGCGGCGAATCTGGAAGTCCGACTCTTCGTGCACTAACTGGTACGCCGGACACTCGATGTTCTTGCATGAAGACGAAGGTATGGGACCATCCGGCGCCCGGTGAGGAAGGAAGATTTTGGAAAGACCGAGACGAATCGACCCTGCAGCGTTGAAAGCTGAAGCAGTAGGGACGTAGGAGACGGCCAAGGCTAGGACTAAGGCCAGGAGCACGAAGAGCGAGACGCGAGCCATCGGTCTGGATGATACCAGCAGCTTCAAGCTAAGAAACCTGGCGATGTGAAGTTCAGAAGGACGCAACAAGGGAAATTTAGGCTTCTGATTGCTATGCGCCTCGGCCTCCGAAAGCTACTGCTCCTGTCTACAAGATGTCACTCGAGGGTGTGATGTGACCTCTCTGTGGAAACTCCACACGCTGACAAATGACTGTATATAGCGTGGCGTAGCGTCCATGCATAGCCGCATGCTTCGAGAAACGAGACAGTGTCGCTGTACTTCTGCTGTGGATGGACGAATTATCTGGAAGGATCAAATTTGTGAGGTTTGGAGAGCAGACGATGTGGGCGATTCCAAGCGACAATTTCGAGGCGTGTGCGAAAAGTGGGGCGGCCATAGCAGGTAGAATCTGTGCCTTGTTGAAATCTCCGCTGCGACGAAGGTCGTCGCCATTCATGCGCGGCGACTCGACCCAGAGGTTTCAGGGTTCAGGCAGGGTGTGTGCGTTGGCTAAGGAGGAGTGTCGGTTATTGGTGTCGAGCGAGTCGAGATTCGGGAATGGGGAGTCAAGGAGCCAGCTATGCATTTTCTGACTGATGAGCCCACGTGGCATGGGCATGTCGGCGATATTTTTGCTGAGTGCTTTTGCCCATTGGATAGCGCTGTACTTAGAGCCTGCAACACTTGCCGAATTGAATTACCGTAGTATTCACTCTAGTGTATGCGCCATCAAAACAACTTGTTGTGCACATCTCTACAACACATGAAAGCGATAGAAGCGAGTATCGCATTCTACGTTCACTTCACTATGGTATGTCAAGACAGATGGAGTGAAGTTTGCCTTGTAACGAAGATCCCTACTGAGAAGATCTTACCGCTGAAGCCAACGGTTTCGATGCCTTTCATAGACCTGAAGCACGTCCAACGAAGCCCAAGCTTCCGATCCGCCCAAGCTCCCCGTGCACGGTGCGCCCCAATTTCCATACGCACACTCACCACCACACCACGCCGTTTCGCGCTTGCCCGAACCTCTCGACTTTCCATACCTGCTACATCCAGAAATCTCGTGACCTCTCCCCTCCCCTACCGGTTTCACTTGCCAGTCTGCTAGCTTCGACATCCGCTCCGCACACAGCAGCGCCGTTTCTTGGCATTCTCCAAGAGGTTCTGGCTCCATTGGCTCGGCTCGGCAGCACTGGCTGCTCGTCCTCCCTGCCCGTTTTCATGAGCTTTCTATTGGCCTTGCCTTCTGCTTCAAGTTCTCCACCCCCACCCCACTTCTTCCCCGATACGCGCCAAACTGGGCTCCCGTTCCCCCTACACCACTCCTCAGGTCCCCCAATCAACTCAGCTTTTTTGGCATTTCTGTATTTATAATTACAACTCTGTAGCTCTGCGTGATTCAAGGCGCTTACGTTGCTGCTAGTGCTGCTGTCACCTACGTTACTTACCGTACATTTTTCTAACGTCTATACAGCGCGAACGCACTCACCACCAACCCCACACTCAGACCCATTTACAACGGCCCTACCACAGTAGTAATATCTAATAGCCATCTACCACGAGTGCGTGAGGGGAAGGAGTAACTATTAGTTAAGAGTTTATTGTTGAATCCTCATGGCAGAGCCAAGTGGTCCCGGTCTTCTCGCCCCACCTAAGTCCCTTCCTGGTGGCTCCAGCGCACCACCCATTAGAAAACCAGTCATAGCGGAGGAACGACAGGCGAAGGTTAGCAAACCCTAATCTCTTGAAGAAAGCTCGTCGTTCCTCGTGGTTACTGGTGGCTGCTCCTCAGTTCGGTTCTTCAACTTTTCTGGGCTGTCACAAAACGGACATAATCGTCTTTATCATCTTCCTCGTGTTTGGAGCTCTGCTGATCTTGCCAGCCTGCACGTTGCACCGCTGCTTATTCGGCATTCTTTGTTTCTTCTGCCCCCTCTCTCGCCTCTATAGGGTACTATCCCGCAGTTCGGGCAGTTCGGTGACAACAATGTCGGGTACACAGGTGTGTTCGCTGTGAAAAAACAACAACGAAGACAAGGCGACGACGACTTGTTTCCGGAACCTCAGCCGATGGGCACTTTCGATCAAAAGCCCGAAGCGACAACGGCCCCTCCAGTAAGTTCTTCTCTGACTGACATTTGCTTTTCCGGTCATGATGTTGCAGAGTATTTTTGAGAATTCTAAAAAATACTCAACTTAGACAATATTTTACCAAACCGGTTTGTGCGTGCACGCAAAGGTGTGAGGTATTATGCTTACCAGCCATTTGCTCGTAAGCTTCGAAAATAAAGACGATTCGCGAGTCTGCTAAGGTTCAGCGTGCCCAACCCATTCTAGGCCTGTCTGACGAAGGCCTCATTAGTTTATATCGAGGCTGGACGTCCCGAGCAGTTGACGTCAATATGCACAACTCGCGGGCCACCCTTAGTCAGGGAACGATGACTAACAGATAATGATGGTTAACTGCTTCCACTATGTCGAGTATGGGCTCTGCAGTTACCCTAAAGACTATTACACACAACATCTGGTTAACGAAGCGATATCTGTTCTTGTTATTCAATCATCGCAGCAAAGCCTGCGTGTGCCCAGCCGACGTTAAAGTTGGTGTATGGAGGAGTCAGTTAGGGATATCAGGCGAACCATTCCCGCCCTTTTTGAGGCGCGAACGAGAGAGAAGAACAAGTTAGACGCGCCAGAGGTTTGCTGTGGTATGCAGGTGTCTTGGTGTCATTTCGGTGTCTTGGTTGTCGTTTCTGAAGTAATCAGAGTCATGTAAATAAGAAGTTCCCGGCTTTTGAGTGTCAGGGGAACGGACACGTATCTTGGCGTGGTGCAGATGATGGCTGTTGAAAGAGTTCCTTCTGAGGATAATATGGATGTGTTTCGTGAACATGAAGGCCCTGGTTCTTTATAGTGATGATCGACCAACGCCTTTCTGTGTCTGCGTTTTCTTAAGTGCTGTGTTGTCTCCATCCCCTCATCCTTGTCCGTGTCCCCTTAATGTCGGCCTGATCTCTTCCCATTGCTTGAATTCCTCTGCAGGCTGATGCAGCTCAACAAAACTGTTGTTGCCTCATACTATAAAAGAAGCAAGGCTTCCCTGCAGTCAAGGCATTGCCTCGTGTGGTTCATTCACTGCTGCCGCAGTCATCTCTCATTCGGGCGATCCCCACTTGTTACAGCTTGTGAGCTCTTTCTGAAGGCACTGCCGCATGGGACTTGAACGGTGTTTTGGTGGCAAAGGGTAGTGGTATGGTAGAAATGCTTGTGCGTTGGCTCACTGTATTGGTATTGTCATCCACATGGCAAGTCATGGCCTGGTGCTGAAGCCAGCTTGCACATTATAGCCTGGTAAGCCAGTTAGCATGTTAGTAGAATCTCTGCTGACTGAATATTGTGAGGAGTTTTTGGCAGAGCTGTATTTAATAGGATAGGAACTTTTTGTTTCTGTGAATGTACACAGCAATCATTTTAAGCATGTGAGATTGTAGTGTCTCACAAATCTTACAAATACCATAACATCCTCTTCATGTTCGTGTTTTTTGCCATTGGAGGGGGTCAGTCAATAAGGCAAATACAACAAAACACTATCATAAAGCTGTCAATAAGCACTAAATTTCACAGGTACACTGCAATGCAGCTCTATTGGTCATTTGTCAAGGAGCTGGCACAAAAATAAAATACAGCACACACCATAGAGTCAGTCAGGCACACGCCGGAACTCATAATCACATCGTCCCCCCCCAACCCCTTGCCCAGTCCTCCATTTCCCCATCCTCCTCATCAGCCAACCTTCACTTCCGTTCCAAACCACATGTAAAACTCTTCACTTTGTTACGTGCGAGTTAAAAAACACGCCGCATCGCTTTGCATCGTGCTGCATCCCTTCACACAGCACCGAACCGCATTGCATCACTTGCGCATCTCCACCAGCTTCATCACCAGGTCCTCCAAATCCTTGGGCCGAATCGGCTTGGTCAGGAAGTGGTTCATACCAGCTGCAAAGCACGCCTCGCGCTCGAAGTCGAACGCGCTGGCAGTGAGCGCTGCGATGAACTTGGGCGGCTGGCTCGGCAGCAGCTGCTCTGCATTGCGGATCTGTCGAGTGGCCTCCAGCCCATCCATCTCCGGCATGTGGCAGTCCTGGGAGAAGGAAGAAAACGAGGGGAGAGAGGAGGTTGGGAGAAGGGAAAGAAAGAAACGATTGAGCTGAAGTGTGGGCACGCAACTCTGCCGTTGTTGCACAGTGCGAATGATTGCCATAACTCTCAAGTTACCTCAAAAGCGAAACAGAGCAATATACTTCCACCCTCAAATGGAGCCACACTCACCATAAGAATAAAATCGTAGTGGTTGCTCTCGCACGCGTGCAGCGCCTTGAGCCCATTCTCCGCCACCTCTGTGGCAATCCCGAGGTTCTTCAGCATGCGGGTCACCACCATCTGGTTCACCGTGTTGTCCTCCGCAACCAAAACTTTCCACGTCTTCACACACTCGGGCAGCTTCTCGGGCAGCTCGTCCGTGAAAACCTTCTTGTGACAGCCGTGTCCCCCTCCTTTTCCGGTATTTACGAGAGATTGGGCACTGCCGGTTCGTTTCACAGAGGCCAGGGGGGAAGTGAGAGGGATGGCTGGGGATGATTTGGAGCAAGGGGAGCGAGGGGGTCTCTCCTGTGTCTTGCATCGCCGAGGCGGAGGCCCGGAGCAGTCTTGTAGCGAGTGAGATTTGAAGGACGAGGAGGGTTTAGATATGGCGATAGACACTCGTCGCCCGTTGCTGCCGTTTCTGCTCGTGCTGCTGCTGCTGCCGCTGGTGGCGCTGCTGCTACTGCTGCTGCTGGTGGAGGTATTGTTGTTGGCCATTTCTTTGAGGTTAGTTGTACTGCTGCTCCTGCGAACACTGCTGCTGCTGCCGCTAGAGCCACTAATCCTCTCCGTGAAGCTGTTTGTGCTTCTGGCCCTATGGATACTTCTACTGCTGCTGCTGCTGCCGCCGCCGCTGCCGCCGCTGTTGCTGTTGCTCGTGTTGCTGCTGCTATTGCTGTCTGCACTCCTGTCGGCGCTCCCTCTGCTGCTCCCTGCGGTGTGTAGGTTCCTGGGTTTACTCTTGCTGCGGGTGAGGAATTTCCCCTCCGTTGCACTCGGTTTCAGCAAGTAATTATCGCTCTTAGACTTGCTGAACAGGCTTCGGACAGCAGAGATTGCGGCAGGGCTGGGGGGAGGCGGATAACTGGGAGCAGCAGGAGCAGCAGAAGCAGTAGGAGCAGCAGAAGCAGTGGCAGCAGGGGTAGGAGCAGCAGAGGAAGAGTCATTGTCAGCAGGAGCAGCGGCAGAGGTGGTGGGAGGCCAGGTGAGTGTGGGTGAAGCAGGAATGGCTGGAGCTGCTGGTGTTGCTGCTGAGGGATTGGGAGGCCGGGATTGACACTCAGAGGCACCCGCTGCACCGCTGCTAGTGCCGCTACTGGTGCTGCTGCTGGTGCTGGTATTGGCCGGCACCGCAATGGGCAGGAAAATCTCCTTAGAATCTGCCCGACGCAGAGCCTTCTTGTGCCGAGGGGTCGGGCTGCGGTTGAGTCTCCGGCTCCCTGCTGACCAGATGGACCGAGACGAAGAAGAGGAGGTAGGAGTTGTCATTTGCGACCGAGACGTCTCAAACGTAGCGTCGCTGTCGCAATCCATGGAGTGATGTTGTTTCAGCACACGGCCTCCGTGATTGCTTGCTTCTTCCTTGCTCCCTCCCTTCCGAGACCGAGACTTTCGGGACCGGCCAATGGCGATCTCGGTTGCCGCCCGAACCAAGTGCCTTGCCCAATGCTCCTCCTCGTCGTCCGTTTCACTCTCCGACACGCTTCCCTCTCCTTCCTCTCCTTCCATGTTCATATCATCCTCTACCCCTTCTTCGTCCTCCTCCTCGCCCAGCTCATCCCACTCCTCCTCTTCCTCTCCCTCCTCGTACTCGTCGTCCTCTCCCTCCTCCTCTTCCTCGCTCTCCTCATCGCCAATGCTTTCCTCCCCTGCGCTCTCCACGTCACTTGGAGCGGCTTCTGTGACCCCAAGGCACACAGTGAAGGTGAAGGACGATCCCTGCAAAAGAATAAACAAAGTAAAGAAAGAAGGCATAATGTGTCAGTGAAGCACCTAACAAGGGATGAAGGATAAAATTCATCCGGCGAAGTAAAACAGAGAGAAAAAAAAGGGTGAAAAAGAGGCTCACTTTTCCTTCTTCGCTTGTAAGGGTAATTTCGCCGCCCATGAGGTTGACAAGCGCCCTGCAAATAGCCAAGCCAAGGCCTGTTCCTCCAAACCTCCGACATGTGGAGTTGTCAGCCTGCATAAAAACAAGTGAGCGAATCGTTAGAAACAACCCAAGCTTATAAATATTAGCGACATTGACACAAATGATTAAAGAATCACATTTCTAATAATGACAAAACAAAGGCTGACTTTGGTGTAGATTTATTGCGACATACCTGATTGAAGGCTTGGAAAAGGTTTTTCTGCGCGTGGGGAGGAATCCCGATGCCCGTGTCTTTCACTTCGAACTGCACCACCACTTTATCCATATCCGCGTTCTCTCTTAGCGGCTCCAAACTCGAGAACGACTCGCGCCGCTTTCCGCGGCCCGGGGCGTGCGGATCCACGAGGCTGACGCGCACCGACACGTGTCCCCCGGCCGACGTGAACTTAATCGCGTTGCTGAGTAGGTTAGTGACCACCTGACGCACGCGCATGCAGTCTCCGAAGACCTCGATAGGCACGTCCTTGTCGACTCGCGCTTTAATGCGGATATTTTTCCCGGTTGCGGATCCGCGGAACAGCGCGACGCAGTTGCTCACGTTCTCCCGCAACCGCCAGTTGCTAAAATCGAGGACCATCTTCTCGTTCTCGATCTTGCTTAAATCGAGGATGTCGGAGAGGATGTGTAGGAGGCCCTCGGACGACGATCTTAGGGTTTCGAGCAGCGAGCACTGCTCCGGCGACAGCGGCGTCGCGAGCATCAGATCAGCCACGCCGATGATTCCTGGTCGGGGGAGAGGACGGAAAGGGGGGAAAGGGAAAAAAAGGGGAAGCGGGGACTGAGTCGTATGCTTAGCATGCCTGATATCATGTGCGCGACGGGGGGGAAAGGAACGGGATGGAAAACGTCAAGTTTTGCCGTGCACGAGCGGGTGCGCGGGAAACGAAATCCTCACCGTTCATGGGCGTGCGGATCTCATGGCTCATATTCGCCAAAAACTGCGTCTTCGCCTTGCTCGCCTTCTCCGCCTCCGCCTTCGCGCGGCGCAGCTCCGCCTCCTGCTTGCGCGCCTCCGCCATGTCGTGCCACACCATCAGATACACCGGCTCGCCAAAGAAATTCACCATCTTACATAACACCTCCACCGGTACGTCCTGCCCCTCCTCGTCTTCGAACAGCCAATCGAATCGGTACCGCTTCTCCCCGCCCACCGCGGACGCGCCGCTCAGCACCGTCGCGCCCGGGACTCCTCCCGCGGAGCCCGCGGGCGCGGGGACGTTGTTGCTGGCGGCGAGATCGTCGAGAACCGCCTTGAGGAACGCGGAGCGCTGCCCCGATGGCTGTTGCGGACGGCAGAGCTCCCAGGGGGTCTTGCCTAGGAGCGACTCCTTTGTGCCGCACTTGAGAATGCGGATGGCCGATTGGTTGCAGTCGAACACGCGTCCGTCCTGGTTCAGCAGCAGCTTGGGATCCTGAAGGTGCGGGAAGAGGGGAAGAGCGAGACAGAGGGAGGCAGAGGGAGACAGAGAGAAAGAGGAGAGCTCAAGAGAAGGTGAGAAACGAAGCGCATGCACTTGGAAGCAAGCTATGGATTGCGTGGAGTATTCAAGCGAGGGGTTGGTGGCTTTGACCGAGGCAGCACGTACCGAGGAGAGCTCGAAGAGCCTGCGGAACTTGAACTGGTTCTTGCGGCTCTCGGTAATATCATTCACGAGCCACACGTGGACTAAAGCATGCATATGCAAGAGAGCATAATAGAGAGACTGGGGCAGCACGTACCGAGGACAGCTCGAAGAGCATGCGAAACTTGAACTGGTTCTTGCGGCTCTCGGTGATATCATTCACGAGCCACATTTCCCCCAGGTCAAACTGGTACGTCGTCACATCCACCACCAGCTTCGACCCGTCCTTCTTCTTAATCTGCTGCACCGTGTTCGTCACGTCCTTGCTGCTCCCAGACACGCGCCGAGCCTCGTGGAGCTGTCTCGCGCGGCGGGCTTTCTCCGCGTAGAGTGTAGTGAACCATTTGTCTACGCTGTTAATGGAGCCCTTTTCGCAGCCCAGCATGGCCTCGAGAGTGCTGTTAACGAGGATGGTTTCGCCCTCCTCGCCCGCGTGGGATATGAGCACCGCGCCGGCAGGGAAGTGCTCCACCATCATGCGGTAGTTCTCCATGTGTTGCTCCTGGGAGGGGTGAAGAGGGGTTGGTGGGATAAGAGCAGGGTGAAGAGGGATGAGGGTCGGTCGGGCGTGGTGAGAGTGAGCAGAGAGAGCGCCCGTCAGTCTGCAGGGAAGTACTCCATGCGTTGCTCCTGAGAAGGAGAGGAAGAGGGGGAGAGATGAGGGCAGAGGTGGCAGGGAGGAGGAGATGGGAAGGTGAGCGGGTGCGGACGAAACGTACCGCAGCACAGACGGGTGACTTGTGGGACAGCTCAACTGCAGAATCACAATGCTTACCAGAGCCTTCTGGGCGCTGGTATCTTGGAACATGCAAAGCACCGCCGTGTGCTCTCTGACTGCTAGTTGACTCTTGAGTCAACTCGGACTGCATTGCAAACAAGTCACAACGCTTACCAGGGCCTTCTGAGCGCTGATGTCTTGGAACATGCAGAGCACTGCCGTGTGCTCTCTGACTGCTAGTTGACTCTTGAGTCAACTCAGACTGCTTTCCAAACAAGTCACAACGCTTACCAGGGCCTTCTGCGCGCTGATGTCTTGGAACATGCAGAGCACGGCTGTGTGCTCTCTGACTGCTGCTCGCCCCGCCTCGCTCCCACTCGACCCACTCTCGTGGCTGCTTGTTCTGCTCATATTGCTCGTGTCTGTTTCCCCAGCCGCGGCAGCAGGAACGGCAGCAGCGGCAGAAGCAACACCACCACCAGCAGCGCTAGCACCAACAGCACCAGTAGCAGCGGCTGCAGCATCGGGAGCACCAGCAGCACCAGCGGCGGCAGCCGCTGCAGCTGCAGCTGCAGCAGCGGCAGCAGTAGCAGCAGTTGGGGTGGTAGCAGGCGCCGCAGCAGGCGGGGAAGTGGAGAGGCTGGTCATGGTGATTCGCACAGCCACTGTGCTGCGGTCAATCTTTCTCAACCGAATCTCCTGCTGCGTCCACTCCTGCACACCCTGCTGCACCTTGCTGTATTCCTCCTGAACCGTTTGAGAATATGCGGGGAAAGGTGAAGAGACAGGGGAAGTGAGGGTACGGGAAGGGAGAAATGGGTGGGGGGAGGTTAGTAAAGTAAGTAAAGAAGGGAAGATATGAATGTGTGGGGAAAACGATTATCAGAGGCATATGTTGAGCAAGAATGAAACGGGAAAGGAAGGGAGGTAATTCCACGACTTACCGCAAACGTGGCCTTCTCAGATTCTGTCACAAAGTGTTGTAGCGTCTGCCCCATAATGTACGGCTCCGGGAATCCCAGGATATTCGTTGCGCTGGTGTTACAGCTGGTTACCACACCGTCCACACCCTCGAGAACAACTGTTCCCAGTCCCGCATAATTCTGAAGCTGCAGCACCGCCTGTGCCTGCTGCACCTCCCGCTGCTGCTGGGCGTGAGAGGGGATGACTTGCACTGCAGACCGTGGGGGATAAGAAGGATAAAACAGCAAGTCAAAAGTGGGAAATGAAGTCGGAAATACAGGGATTAGAAAGTGATGGAAAGAACAAGTGTTCTTCTGCAGCTGCAGCAGAGCCTGTTCGTGTTGCAACTAGTGATAATGCTGGGCGTGAACAAAACAAGACGGAATAAGTGAAATTCAAGTCGTCATAATTACCAGTTGCAACAAGGTCCTTGATGGAATTTATTTGAAAGAACTGTAGCTCCACCGTAACTCGCCGAAAGTCACCGGACTCATCCATCTCGGCTGTGTTCATCCCCGTTACAAAATCGCCTCCCCCCGATATTTCCTCCTCCTCCCCCCGCGAGCTAACCTCCGCCATGCGCGTATCTGCCACCTCCGCTTCCCCTGTCGTCACAGTTTCGACTCCGCCAGATGTGTTCAACCCACCTCTTACACTACCTCCCTCCTCCGCTTCCCCTCTCCGCTTGACCGAATTTGACCCGAACAGACTCTTGAGCCCTTTCCGCCACTCCCTCCCCCGACCCGCTGGCCTCTGCTGCGGGGGCTTGGCGGCGTGCGTTGAAACGCCTTCCGCCGAACCTTCCGCCAGCGCTGACTCTCCCCGCTGTTCCCCGTCGATTTGCATCCGCTCCTGCTGCGACTGCTGCGGCGAACCCTGCAAGCTCATTTCGCCAGATTCGCTCCCCGTTGCACCTTTTACCCCACGTTTCTCCGTCTTCCGTCGAATCGACATCATCCTTCCAGGCCCTCGCCGTCCCGCGCTTGCGCCGCCTCCTTCGCTGGGCACGGGTGAAACAGCGCTGTTGGCCGCGGTTCCTTCCGCTTCCGGCGGCGAGGGGAGTGCTGGAGTGGGCGCGCGCGCAACCATCAGATTTGCGCCCTGTCGGACCGCGCCAATCGCGTTGGGAGTTCCGCTCATGGCGGGAAGGCAGTTTCCGATGATGCTGTTCGGGGAGGGGGTGGGCGGGGAGGTAAGGCCGCCGTCCCACGGGCTCGAGCCGCTCTGCAGGCCGCCATGCCGGCCGCTGCTGCTGCTGCTTCGTCCGCTGCTGCTGCTGTCGGTCGAATCCGTCGCCGGAAGAAGCGGCGGGAGGGACGACGAAGACGGAAGCTTCTGCAACGCTCTCGGAGACGCACGCAATATTGAAGGGATCCGGTCACCAGACGAAGCGCCCTCTTTTGAGGCTCCTTCGTTGTACGCACTCCCCGCGTGTTCTGCGGCCCAGATGGAGGCGGGAGCGTCAGTTCCGGCGTTGTTCCCGCCGCCGGTCGCGCTGCCGCTGTTCTCGGGAATAGCTTCGTTGCAGGAGCCCGCTCGACCAAACGACGCAGTCCGTATTCTGCGGGGATACGACCCGCGACCCGCACCAGAAAAGTCGCGCCTCGCAGCAGTCGCATCAGTGGAACTCGAGCCGCCACTGCCACTGGACGAGATTGATGGTGGTGTCGGGATGGTCTTGGGAATATCGATTTCTGGTAAGTCGACTTTAAAGACATCACTGGGTCGAGTGGAGCTTCTACCACTGCTGGTGACTGAACCGGCATTGGCTTGGCTTGCGGGGGCCAGCCAATCGCTGGAGGCGCGGCTCGCGGCTGGGTCAATCGCGGCCGTTGCGGGTTGGTGAAATGAACGGTCGGATGACGACGGCCTGGATCCTCTCGGGGTACCCGCAACTGATTTTCTAGGAGTTGCCATAGACGCTGACGCGGCCGCTGATGACGTGGACAATCGCATGGACATCCGAGGCTGCTTGGCCCGAATTATTCCGGGCAGATGAATCTTTTCCACCTTCCCGCGGCTGAGCTGGCGAATCAAATGCCGCCACTTGTTTTGCGAGAGAAAGGTAATATCGAGGAGCGACGTCTGGTCATTAACAGCTGGACCCAGCGTTCGCGACGCGCCTTTACTCGAGCCTAGAATCGCTCCAGTGGACGGGTCGACAAGGAACTGAACCGCCATGGATTGCTGCACGATTACCGCCATCCCCGTCGGCTTGGGTGCGGCAAACAAGGCGGGACCTGCGGCGCCATTTGCGCCGATGGAGCCGCCTCCACCAGCCATTGGTCTGTTCGGTTTGCCTACTTAGAGAATTCCCAATGCGCTTAAAATGGTCCTATCAGCCTTTCCCCTCACTGTGCTGCGACCGAGACGCGGGAGAGAGTAAGATATCAGTACGAAATTGATAAGATAACATACAGCTCAGTATCGAATGTTGCTCCATGTCCGATCATGGTCAAATCTCCAGCGATTCGACGCAAGGTAACTAATGGGGTCGGTCGGAACATCAGACAGTCAGCGTGTTAGGAGCTGGACTATTTCCTTAGATTCTGAGAAGACAAGGAATCTTGAGGTGATTTGCTGTGTCTAGCCTCTTCTAGAATGCTCGTCGGGAAATTTCTACAGTGGTGTAAGAGGCTCTGGATTGTCCCTCAGGTTATTGCCCTAGTGACGATCCCTAGGGGATGGATGCAGATTGGAAACGCGAGGGCCTGAGCTGAATGTCCAGGCTGAAACTCCCTGGGGCTCGACCGTGACCCTTCGTGAACATGGAGCGCCAATTTGCGGCCACACGTTCGCGAGTTGTTGTGGGCCGTGTGTATAAGTGCTGCGCTGGGTTGGGATGGGAATCACGGGCATCAGTTACCTGAGCCTAGCAGACTCGCAAGCCGAATGAGCTTCGGGCGCGAGCAGGAGCGAGTGAGAGAAAGCGAGAGAGGGAGAGAGAGATGAGATGATAAGCTGGGGTGGAGAGAGGGTGTGTGTAAACTGAACAGTTCAGCGCACGACAGGAAAGCACCAGACAGTGTAGACGTATCTAAGCTCTAAAACGGAGGTAAGGTACATGCGGGCCTAATAGGCTCCTCTGGAGATTCACTGGCAGCTTGTCGGCTCACCAATCGCCGCTAAAAATGCTTCGTTCCATGGCGGTTGCGATCATTTCCTCCGCTTGATTTGTGGATGATGTATGGATGGGGTTGAAGCTGCCACGACAGCCACAGCCGGGAACAGCATTCTTGAATGCAGATATGATGCTAACGACATTGTAGTTCCTGGCGATAAATTGTCACAACAAAGCCTATGGAACAGAGACGAGAGACCAGAGACAAATCACTCTCTGCAAGGAGTCGGACATGAGAGGCAACATAGTGAATGCCGACAAAACAGCAGCAATTCGAAAATCGATGGTGTAGGATACATGCGGCGCGTGCCACACGGGATGTCTGTCAAATGTCTCCTGTCCTCTCGCCTCAGCTGTTTTTTTGTGCTGCTTTCCATGGCGAACTGTAGAGGAAAGCAATTGAGCAATAAGAAACAATATCAACACGTCAGGGTTGCTGGAAGCTCCAACCAACGCTCATTTCAACCGAGCACCTTGCCCACAGCCCGAAGAAAAATTGCGAGGGGCAGTTTCGCGAGGCGCGCGGGCTTTGGCCACGTAAGCTGAAGATTTGTTGCAAAATGCCAACTCATGCACAAGGACTTCCCGCGAGAGAGATGCAGGGAGAGCGGCCTTGGGCCAGAAAAAACACGTGGTAACGCTTCGGTCTGATGGTTCAGATGGAGGATTGAGATCCTGCCTCCCCAGTTGTGGAGGTGATTGACGCAACTAGGTGACGTTTCTGGTGGTGGACAAGGAACGGATGAGTTCATGCCACTGCATGTACAGTAACAATATCGGTGAGATTTTTGCGTCAGATTCATCTCGCCTGGATTTTCTCCGTCACCAGTTCTCCGACGTGGGCTGTCCACAAGAATCCAACGACCAATTGCCCTGCGCCGTACGGATTCCAGAAAGCCAGCCAGGTTCATCATCGTTAGGAGGTTTTCGCCTAATGAAACAAGCCATGAAGTATTTCGGCAAAATCCAATATTGTTCTACACATAATATCTTATAACACCACAATGCTAGCTCCAATGAAGAAAAGCCAAGTGAACAAAGTTAAATGAGTAAAACCAATCTCATGGCTGAGCCAAAGCATGTCAACTATTTGCAAAATAAATAGCGCGGGAGTGTTGCCCCGGTATAATACATCAAACGGTTTTTTTGGACAAGTTCCTTGATCACGGGGAGCTAAGGCTCCATTCGCATTCCATTAGGTTCTTTGTTGTCGTCAAGTGGGCGCTCTTCACTCCTGCAGCACACAGCCAGTATGAAGACATGAAGAAACCTTTTACTACCCACTCAAATTTGCAACTCTGGAATGCGCAACTCAACACATGGCTAAAAAGACTGCAATTCTTGTGGCAAGAGAAGAAAATAGATGGAAAAAAATGTAAACAAAAAAGCCATCAACTCACGGGACCTTGGAGATCTGATGTGATGAGTCACCCTGCAGCCAGTGCATGGAGCTCTTTCTAAGGTGACTCAAGAGAGAGCATCAACTTACAGCATCTTGGAGAGCTGGTGGTGAGCCGGCCCTCCCCGGGGTAGAAGCACTGCGCGCCCTGCAGCCAGCGCATGGACCTCTTGCGCGTCTTGGCCGCCTGCCTCACCGCCTTCACCAGCTCTGCAAACAGCCGCTGGTCATCCACCGTGCTGATAAAGGGAGAGAGGGGTTGGTGGCATGTGTGGGGAGTGGAGAGGGTGTGAGAGGGACGTGGCAGAACCACTTCGCCACCTGCCTCACCACCTTCACCAGCTCTGCAAACAGCCGCTGGTTGTCCACCGTGCTGAGGAAGGGAGAGAGGGGTTGGTGGCAAGTGTGGGGAGTGGGGGGGATGTGAGAGGGACGTGGCAGAATCACTTGGCTGCCTGCCTCACCGCCTTCACCAGCTCTGCAAACAGCCGCTGGTCGTTCACCGTGATGGTGAGGGGAGGTGGGGGTTGGGGTTGGGGTTGGGGTTTGGGAAGGCGTGGGGGGTGAGAGAAATGGCCAGGTTGTGCTAGGATGCCTTGTGCCTTCACCAGCTCTGCAAACAGCCGCTGATCGTCCACCATGTTGGTAAGGATAAAAGGCACGGGGGAAAGGGGGGAGGCGGGACAAGGTGGGAAGGGCGAGTGTGGGAGGGATGGCAGAGTGTGTGGCAGAATCCCTTGGCCGCCTGCCTCACCGCCTTCACCAGCTCTGCAAACAGCCGCTGGTCGTCCACCGTGATGGTGAGAGGGGGAGAGTGGGTGGGAGGAGAAGGGGAGGGAAGCAGGTGGGGGTTGGGGGGTGAGAGAAATGGCCAGGTTGTGCTGGGATGCCTTGTGCCTTCACCAGCTTTGCAAACAGCCGCTGATCGTCCACCGTGCTGGTGAGGAAGAGGGGATTGGGGGTGGCGGCATGTGTGGGATCGGGGGACGATCGGGGGATCGAGTGAGGAAGAGGGGATCGGGGGTGGCGGCATGTGAGGGATCGGGGGACGATCGGGGGATCGAGTGAGGAAGAGGGGATCGGGGGTGGCGGCATGTGTGGGATCGGGGGACGATCGGGGGATCGAGTGAGGAAGAGGGGATCAAGGGTGGCGGCATGTGTGGGATCGGGGGACGATCGGGGGATCGAGTGAGGAAGAGGGGATCGGGGGTGGCGGCATGTATGGGAAGGAAAGTGGGAGGGTGGAAGGAGAGGGAGGTGGGGGAGGGTGAGAGAGATGGCAGGACCGTGCTGGAAATACCTCACTGCCTGCCTCACCCCCCTCACCAGCTGTACAAACAGCCTCTGATCGTGAACCACCACTTACCTCTCCTCACTCGTGAACCACCACTTACCTCTCCTCGCTGGTGAACCATCACTCACCTCTCCTCGCTGGTGAACCACCACTCACCTCTCCTCACTCGTGAACCACCACTTACCTCTCCTCGCTGGTGAACCACCACTCACCTCTCGCTGGTGAACCACCACTCACCTCTCCTCGCTGGTGAACCACCACTCACCTCTCTTCGCTGGTGAACCAGCTGAGAATATGATAAGTCGCCTTGGAGTGGATGATCTGCCGCAGCGCCTCCTTCTGCACCTTGCGTTTCTTCTCAGCCTTCACCAGCAGAGCCAGGTTCGACTGGAACGCAAACGTGAGCTCAGCCATATCCAGATTCGCCTGTACCACCTCCATCCCCCCACCGCCCACCCCTTGCCCCATTGCCCTTGCCCCTTGCCCACTGCCCCTGGTCCCTTGCCCACTACCCCTTGCCCTTGCTCACTGCCCCTTGCCCTTGCTCACTGCCCCTGCACCTCACCTTAGAAACAGCACACAGACAGCACCAAAACTCACCTCTCCTCGCTTGTAAACCAGCTGAGAATGTGGTAAGTCGCCTTGGAGTGGATGATCTGCCGCAGCGCCTCCTTCTGCACCTTGCGTTTCTTCTCAGCCTTCACCAGCAGAGCCAGGTTCGACTGGAACGCAAACGTGAGCTCAGCCATATCCAGATTCGCCTGTACCACCTCCATCCCCCCACCGCCTGCCCCTCCGATCGCCGCCCCTCCCGAACTCCCCGGTCGGCTAATCGCCCCTCGCATGATCCCTCCTCCCGCTCCTGGCGTTCCTGCTGTTCCAGGTCTGCTCCCTCCTCCTCCCGCTCCCGCTCCTGCTCCTGCTCCTGCTCCTGCTGCTGCTCCCTCTGTGTCGCTGTCGTCTCTATCCGACAGCTGCCTGAGAAGCCGCTTCTTTGGCTTTGAGTCTCCATCCCCACCGCCATTAACAGCAGCCGCAGGCGCAGGGGCAGCAGGGGTTACAGGAGTTTCAACCGCACCAGTCGGGGTTTCCGGAGCAACAGGGTACGGAGGCCTTGCCTCCTCTCCTCCTCCCCATCCCCCTCCTCCTCCGGTAGGAGTCCCAGCCATCCCACCAGCACCCATCCTCCCGCTCCCGAACCTCTTCGTCGCGGCAAGAGGATCGAATCCCGAAGCAGGGCACCAATGCACTTTCCTTCCCAGCTGCGGAGGCCAGCTCTTCTCAGCAATCTTGAGACTCTTGGCCGGTTTCTCCCTCATGCTCGCCCCTCCAGGTGTGTTAGACCCCCAACTCACCATCCTACGCAACCCACTCCCAGGAGTCTCTGGCGCTCCCTCTCCCATCCCTCCCCCGAACGAAACCCGGCTGCTCCGGGACTTGGTCCGGCGGTTGGTTCGGCGCCGAGCCGCCGCCGCAGCCTGGGCAGCCGTGCACGCCCCGTCCGCATGCCACACCCCGTGCAACAGACAATACACGCCTTGAGGCGGTAACCGCGCGACGGGAATGTAACCCTTCTTGTTTCCGAGGAGGATTTGGGAGAGACCGGCGTACTGCTGGGGTTTTTTCAGCTGCTCGATCCACTCGACTTCCCCCAGACCAGCCAGGGAGCAGGCTTGCACGCGGTCGCGCACCCTCAGCAGCAGGTCAATGCCCTCACGATGATGAAGGAACTGGAAGAGAGCTCGTGGACGGAACCACTCTCCGATCTGGAAAGGTAAGGGTGAAGCATGGGAGGGGAGGAACGTGAGCTTGGGTTGATACCCTCAGCAGACAATCAATGCCGTGGCGGGGCGGTGATGCAGGAACTGGAAGAGAGCTCGTGGATGGAACCACTCTCCGATCTGGAAAGGTAAGGGTGAAGCAAGGGGCGAGAGGTGGGGAGTGGGGGAAATAAGGAAGGAACGTGGACTTTGGGTTGGTACCCTCAGCAGCAGGTCGATCCCTGGCAGTGGCGCAGGAACTGAAAGAGAGCTCCTGGTCGAAACCACTCCCCAAGCCAGGTGCACAAATGCACTACAACTACCCACCTGCGTCAGTTGCACATTCTGGTACGGGTCGAGCCCTCGCAGCTAGTCCTCACTCTCTCTCACTCCAAGCACACATAAACAGATAATGCACCAACACAAGCACAGACACACCCATCATCCCACTTGCGTCAGCTGCACAATCTGGCACGGTCGAGCTCCCTCTCTCTCTCCCTCGTTCTCCCTCGTCATTCTTACCCATTGATTTGCCCACCCACCCACCCACCATCCAATCATCCACAGCCACCCACCCACCCACCTGCATCAGCTGCACGATCTGGTACGGGTCGAGCCCCCTCAGCTGGTCCTCTCTCTCCTTACTCCAACACACAGGCGCACAGGCAGACACAGGCACACACATGCATGCACAAACACAGACACACCCACCCACCTGCGTCAGCTGCACGATTTGATAAGGGTCGAGCCCCCTCAGCTGGTCCTCTCTCTTGCCGCTCTCCTGCTCCCAGATCTCGTCCAGCACACTGTTGTTAAACGCCTCCATTCGCTTGCTCGACACCTCGTAGCTGATGGCCACGATGGCGGGCAGCAGCATGAGGACGGTGCTGATGGCCATGATGACCTCTGAGAGGATGGACTCGGATGTGTAGTTGAAGATGAGCAGCGACAGCGTGAAAAACACCTCGCCTGGGGGAGGGGAAGGAGGGGAGAACAGGGAATAGGAAGGGGGGCAGGAGGAGGGAAAGAGGGGGGAAAGGCTTTGGAAGGAGCAGAAGGGAGCATGAGGAGGAGAAGGGAAAGTAGCTCGAGACCTCGTAGCTGATGGCCACGATGGCGGGCAGCAGCATGAGGACGGTGCTGATGGCCATGATGACCTCTGAGAGGATGGACTCGGATGTGTAGTTGAAGATGAGCAGAGAGAGCGTGAAAAACACCTCTCTCTTTCAGGTGCCTCTCACAGCAACACTGTGTGGGGTTACGTACCGAGGTTGAGGGTGGCCTGAAGGTACTCGACAGAGGAGGACGCGAACGGTGCAAAGCGGAACTCTAGAGGAGGTTCAAGGGAAACTTATGCACAGAGCAAATCAGCACTCACCGAGGTTGAGGGTGGCCTGAAGGTACTCGACAGAGGAGGACGTGAACGGTGCAAAGCGGAACTCTAGAGGAGGTTCAAGGGAAACTTATGCACAGAGCAAATCAGGACTCACCGAGGTTGAGGGTGGCCTGAAGGTACTCGACAGAGGAGGACGCGAACGGTGCAAAGCGAAACTCTAGAGGAGGTTCAAGGGAAACTTATGCACAGAGCAAATCAGCACTCACCGAGGTTGAGGGTGGCCTGAAGGTACTCGACAGAGGAGGACGCGAACGGTGCAAAGCGGAACTCTAGAGGAGGTTCAAGGGAAACTTATGCACAGAGCAAATCAGCACTCACCGAGGTTGAGGGTGGCCTGAAGGTACTCGACAGAGGAGGAGGTGAACGGTGCAAAGCGGTACTCGACGACAATGCGGAGGATCTGGAGGACGACGAGGATGATGATCTGAGCCTCGGGGTTCTCGTAGAGGAAGACGAGGATGCATCCGTACAGCACCCGGAGAGACATGTTGAGCAGGTGCCACCTGGGGGAGGGGTGGTGAAGAGGGGGTGTACACAGGGAAAGGGGAAGGAAGGAGGGTGAGCCTCGGGGCTCTCGTAGGGGAAGACAAGGATGCAGCCGTAGAGCACTCGCAGCGACATGTTGAGCAGGTGCCACCTGGGGGAGGGGTGATGGGTTTTGTGGAGGTGAAGGGGAAGCGAGGGGGGGGAGGGGAGTGAGCCTCGGGGTTCTGGTAGAGGAACACGAGGATGCCTCCGTACAGCACCCAGAGCGACATGTTGAGCAGGTGCCACCTGGAGGGCTGGGGTTGAGAAAAAGGGGAGATGGGAAAGGGGAATGAATCTCGGGGTTCTGGTAGAGGAAGACGAGGATGCATCCGTACAGCACTCGCAACGACATGTTGAGCAGGTGCCACCTGGGGGAAAAGAGAGGGAGGAGACGGTGGGGGACAAGAGGGGTGGGGAACGGGAGGGGAGGAAAGGAAGATGGCAGGAATTATCAGCCAAGAGTACAGCCAACGGTGAGTTAGCAGCACACTCACACCCTACAGCACCTTCACCAGCAGCAGCACCAGTGGCAGCACCAGAACCAGCACACCCTCTCCCCCAGCAGCACCAGCACCACGAGAGCCCTTACCAGTAGAATTTGCGGCCGAATCGCTCGGTGAGAAAAGCGTATTTGTCGTCAAACTCGGCGGTGAAGAGCGTGCGATTCCACTTGGCTGAGAAGAGCAGCCACGCATAGAGCAGGGGCATGAATAGCAGCACCCTCACCTCCAGCAGCACCAGTACCAGCAGCAGCAGCACCAAACTCACCAGAATTAGCACCACACAACACCCTCGTTCCCAGCACCACCAGCACCAGCAGCGGAAACCTTACCAGTAGAATTTGCGGCCGAATCGTTCTGTGAGAAAAGCGTATTTGTCGTCAAACTCAGCGGTGAAGAGCGTGCGGTTCCACTTGGCTGAGAAGAGCAGCCACGCGTAGAGCAGCGGCACGCCCGCGAGGTAGACAATGAGGATGATTATAGAGGGGATGAGCATGCCCATGTGCGTCGAGGATAGCCACTCGATCTCCGGAGCGAACAGCATCACCTGGGAGGGAGGGAGAGGGAGGGAAGAGATGGTAACGAGAGGTGAGCGATGAGGTTTGGGACTAGCTTTGATAGACTCAAGAAGGGGAGGATGGAGGGGATGAGCATGCCCATGTGCGTTTAGGATAGCCACTCGATCTCCGGGACAAACAGCATCACCTGGGAGGGGGAAGGCAGGGGGCAGGGGGCAGAAGGCATGAGGCATGGGACATAGCTTATGGGGAGGATTGAGAGGTAGACGATGAGGATGATGGTGGAGGGGATGAGCATGCCCGTGTGCGTTGCTGACAGCCACTCAATCTCCGCCTGAATACCCATGTACCACACATCCAGCTAGCTCGCCACTCCCCCCACCAGACCACCCACCCTCCAATCACACACACCCAGCAAACCATACTACACACAAGCACCGCACTAGACACCCCCACACCGCACCTTGGTGTCCCCAACCATCTGGCTCTGGAAGACGGGCAGCACGCGGGCGAGGATACCCATGTAGCACACATCCAGCCAGCTCGCCACGCCCCCCACCAGCCCGTTGTAATACTCCTGCCGCCGCTGCTTCGCCGCCGTGCTGCTCCGCTGCCCCACGCCCAGCCACCCCACTCGTAGCCTCCATTCACAGGCACACCTCTGGAAACCATACCACACATGTGTACCACACTAAACACCCGCACAGCGTACCTTGGTATCCCCGACCATCTGGCTCTGGAAGACGGGCAGCACGCGGGCGAGAATACCCATGTAACAAACGTCCAGCCAGCTCGCAACACCACCGACCAGCCCGTTGTAATACTCCTGCCTCCGCTGCTTCGCCGCCGTGCTGCTCAGCTGCCCGACTCCGCTCGTCTCGCCGTTTTCAGCTGCCCGTTTCGCCTTGAGCAGCTTGATATGCTCGCGGAGGAGGAAGAGGCACCAGTGCAGCGCGTAGACCACGAGGCCAACGAGGAAGATGAGGATTCCGAAGACGAACTGCTGCGGGAAGCGGTAGGTCAGCACACAGTTGGGTCCCACCACGTCCTGCAGTTGTGGGGGGAAGGGGGACGGGGGAGAGGGAGAGGAGAGACGGGGACGAGTGGGGAGGGTGGAGGGGGGGGAAGGGGAGAGGAGGGCAGAGGGAGGGGGAAGGGCGCAACAGGGAAGCATGGGGAGGTAAGTAGGGTGGAGAGACGGAGTGGGGAAGATGGGGTTGTGTAGGGTGAGGTGACGAAGAGAAGAATGCGTGGCTGCAACATCACGACTCGTAAAGCTCTACACCTGATGGTGGTGTAGCTTGAATTGAAAATGCACGCGGATTTCACTCACGGGGTCGAAGACGGAGAGGTTGTGGATCTTGATGAGCCATGCTTGCACACATGCGCATGCAAGGCTGAGGTTATGGGAAGAGAAGCAAGCAACAAGCATGCATGCACGAGACAGCGTGGCACTCACGGGGTCGAACTTCCAAGACGGAAAGGTTGTAGATCTTGATGAGCCATCCCACCCACCCATTTGGCAAGTGACCCATGGAACACCACAGGTTCAGTGCATGGTAGCATGCGTGCATGCATGTGCGTGGCACTCACGGGGTCGAAGACGGAGAGGTTGTAGATCTTGATGAGCCACCCCACCCATCCATTTGGCGCTGCTGGTGCGTTCAGGTTTATGGAGGCCACGACCGTGAGGTATTGCACCTGGTAGGGCGATGGGGGAAGGGGCCGGGCGTGGGTGATGTTAAAGAGCAGGGTTGACAGGCCTGCTGCATTCAGCGTTCAGGTTTATGGAGGCCACGACTGTGAGGTATTGCACCTGGTGAGGGTGTATGGAAGGGACATCAAAGGGATTTTGAAGGAGGGAAAAGAGGTTCGGGTTGATAAATCAGGCTCATGGGTGGCGGGGTTAATGCACCTGGTGGGGTCGAGTACATGCCTCGCAGGTATGGAACCTGGAGGTACCTCGGTGAGAAAGATGTCAATGTTGTCGTAGTTGCTGGCACGGAGAAACATGGCCACCCACACGTTTGAGGCGCCTCAAACGTTGGCACGGAGAAACATGGCCACCCACACTCCCAACCCTGAGGAATTTCGAGACTTTTCAAAGATAGTCTCACAAGTTGTACGTACGCACATGTGCCTGGCAAGCAAGTACCTCGGTGAGAAAGATGTCTATGTTGTCATAGTTGTTGGCGAGGGGGAGGAGCAGGAAGGAAGGGCTACTACTTTGGAGTTGACTTAAACGGCATGTATCTAGCATGGAAACTGGAGGTACCTCGGTGAGAAAGATGTCGATGTTGTCATAGTTGTTGGCAAGGAGAAACATGGCCACCCACACTCCAATCATGAGGATGAAGAGCAGCGGGAAGAGCTGTGTGGAAAGGGGGAGGGGAGGGGTGGGGGGTGCAATGCAAGACAGGTGTGAGCACATGAGTGGTTGTTGGCGAGCAGGAACACGGCCACCCACACTCCAATCATGAGGATGAAGAGCAGCGGGAAGAGCTGTGTGGGAGGGAAGTGGGGGAAACGGGGTAGTAGGGGTGGGTTGACAGGGAAGTGGCAGGAGATGGGGAGGGAAGGCGCATACATACAGGGCACAGAGGTACGGAGGGACACACAGGTGTGAGTGAGAACACAAGTGGTTGTTGGCGAGAACATGTACCTAAGAGTTACATCGTGTACTGATTTGAATCAAAAACAGGAACAAAAACACCCACAGACATTGGTTGGCAAGCACATGTGCCATAAGAGTTACAGCGTACCTTCTTGAAAACGTCGCTGCAGTAGTTACAATCGCCGAGGAACGAGTAGTAGTTGTTGGCGCACAGACAGCACATGCTGCAGGTAGAGGTGAAGGGAACGAGGAAAAGGAAGGAAAGGCTTTCGAGTCGACTCTAAGTACAATCGCCGAGGAACGAGTAGTAGTTGTTGGCGCACAGACAGCACATGCTGCAGGGAGAGGTGAAGGGAACGAGGAAAAGGAAGGAAAGGCTTTCGAGTCGACTCTAAGTACAATCGCCGAGGAACGAGTAGTAGTTGTTGGCGCACAGACAGCACATGCTGCAAGGGGGGATGTAGGGACGGAGGAACAGGAAGGACAGGGGGGATGCAGAAGGGGGATGGGGTGGGCCAAGCAGAGGAGAGATCCTTGAGATGTAGAATCACGGACAGCACATGCCGCAGGGAGAGACGGAAGGACCGAGAAACAGGAAGAAACAGGGGCAAGGTGGAGGGGGTGGGCGAGGGGGGAGATACTTGAGATGTTTCGAACATGTCTGGCACATTGGTGCACTACAGCGGAGGGCGGAGGGAACTTTTGAGGCGCCTCAGAAATACTTGAGATGTTTCGAACATGTCTGGCACATTGGTGCACTACAGCGGAGGGCGGAGGGAACTTTTGAGGCGCCTCAAAACTTTTGAGGCGCCTCAGAAATACTTGAGATGTTTCGAACATGTCTGGCACATTGGTGCACTACAGCGGAGGGCGGAGGGAACTTTTGAGGCGCCTCAGAAATACTTGAGATGTTTCGAACATGTCTGGCACATTGGTGCACTACAGCGGAGGGCGGAGGGAACTTTTGAGGCGCCTCAAAACTTTTGAGGCGCCTCAGAAATACTTGAGATGTTTCGAACATGTCTGGCACATTGGTGCACTACAGCGGAGGGCGAAGGGACCAAGGAGCATGATAAAGGAAGGGAGAGGGAGGGGCCAAGGCAGCAGCACACTCACGGAAAGGAAGTGCAAAGGGCACCACACTTGAGGAGAGGAGGGGAAAAAGGTTTTGAGGCGCCTCAAAACAGAACTAGTTTTGAGGCGCCTCAAAACTAGGGAGGGGCCAAGGCAGCAGCACACTCGCGGAAAGGAAGTGCAAAGCGCACCACACTTGAGGAGAGGAGGGGAAAAAGGCAGCACACTCACGGGAAGGAGGGGCAAAAGAGTGTGTTTACGGTGAGGAGGGCCCAAAGGGCCGTAAACAGTGCTTACGGAGAGGAGGGGTCGTAGCCGGTGGGGCAGATCTCAACATCCGCGGTGTTGGTGGTGAGGTTGTACTCATACAGGTGCTCCACACACCCATTGGTGATAATACAGCTGTACGTGGTCGGCGTGTCATTATACGTCCTGGGATCCAACCACGCCTGCGTCGCGATCGTCAGTTCGCCGCCCGTGCAATCCAGATTGTCATCCTCGCACGCTACACATTCGTTGGCGCTAGTGGAGTAGGGGTAGAACGTGAAGCTGCCGTCGTCGCAGGGAGTGGACGGTTGACCAGCCTCGCACCAACTACCGACAGGGCAGGGGTCACATGTCCCACTCCCAGTACTGCTGGTACTACTACCACCACCGTCCCCCCCGGTTCCATCTTCCGTGGTTGTATTCAGAAAGGTTCCCGCAGCGCAGAAGTCTACAGTGAAGGTGTGTGTTATATCGGGGAACTCATTAGTGGGGCTGGAGACGGTGACGAGGAGGCGGAAGGGCGTGGCCTCGTCGGGAGTGACCATGACGGAGACCTCTGGCAGCTCGGCCAGTCCCTGCACCGCTGTTGCTCGCAGCAACCCGGAAATGCGGCGATCGGGAGCGATTGCGACAAAGGAGGAGTTGTCCTGAGGAGAGAGGGGACAAGGGGGCGGGGAAGAGGGAGGGGAAACCCAGAGGGTCGCATTGGCATTGAGTCAGGGAGAGACAGATGGTGAGAGGAGCCTGCAAGCAGGCAGCAGCAGGGAGGGAAGGGCGTGGCCTCGTCGGGAGTGACCATGACGGAGACCTCTGGCAGCTCGGCCAGTCCCTGCACTGCTGTTGCTCGCAGCAACCCCGAGATGCGGCGATCGGGAGCGATTGCGACAAAGGACGAGTTGTCCTGAGGAGGGCGGGGAACAGGGGATGTGATGGGGGACGGGGAAGAGGGAAGGGGAAAAAAGGAAGGTGGCATTCGCATTGAGTCAAGGAGGAGGAGTGAGCTGTGAGCTGCTACTGTTGAAACCACCTGAGCACCCACCTGAACAACAGTGTTGTTGTAGTCGTCCACAACGACCACCGTCAGCCCTGCGATGGGCGTCCCCACAGCCGTGAGAGCCACAAAGGACGGAACCGTGCCGAGGCCGTTAGTCCCCTCATCCATGCCCGCGAATGTGAAGTAGAAGTTCTTGGGGATGCTGCCTATGGTCTGGCTCTCCTGCTCCCGCACGCACTCGTCGCACCCGATGCGCACTGCGGGGTTGAAGGAAGCTTCGTAGAAGGCCACTCCTTGCGGGTACAAGGCCTCGTTCTCACTGAATGTGAGGTTTGAGCACACCAGCGGAGCCAGCTCAGCCTTTCCTACTCCCATGCTGCTGCTGCTGTTTGCCCCGCTTGCAGCACTAGCTGCACTACCCGCATCATTCACCGCAGCGGCAGCAGCTGATGCTGATCCAGTAGCCGGAGCACCAGTAGAATTTCCAGCAGCTGCAGCTCCAGAGGAGGTAATCCCGAGAGTCTCTGCTCGCTTCACGTACACCCCTGCACCGCCCACCACCGCTTTGTTCCCAGTCATCCACGCCCCCTTAAATAACCCGTTTGATTGGTCCAAAAACGCCGCCGCCCCCCCCGCACGGCTTGCGCTGTTCCCCACGAGTGTCAGGTTCCCTGCCGAAAATTTCGAGCTGCCCGCAGCAGCAAGCGCCGCGCCAGTAACCGCGTTGTTCCCCTCGAATCGCGACGCATCCAGGGTCACCTGGGCAGACCCTTCCGAAAAGATTCCGCCGCCCGTGACAGCCGTGTTGTTCGTCAGATTGCTCGATCGGACCGTGAGAGAAGTTTCGGCAGCTGCCCAGATGGCCCCTCCGGTGCCCGCAGGGGCCGAATTGCCCGAGAAAAACGCTGTAGTGAGAGTAGCCTGAGAACTCCCCCTAATAAGAACAGCCGAAGCGGAGTTGTTGAGGAAAGAGGAGGAGGTGGAGGTGAGAGTTGCGTCTGTATCCAGAACCATAGCCCCGCCTCTCAGCGCGGAATTCGACCCGAATTGCGACGAGAGCAGCTTCACAGTGGAACTGTGCGTGGCGAAAACTGCCCCGCCTTCAAAACTCGCCTTGTTACCCGTGAAGCTACTCCGCGTATCCTCCACCACACCCTCCATCTCCACCCACAGCGCGCCACCTGTCGGGCTCTCATTGGCCTCCACCTCACACCGGGTCATCACCAGCCTCCCTGACCCAGACACCTTCCCCACTCCGCCACCGCTGCCCGCCCTATTCTCCCTAAACTTGCTCCCATCCGCCGTAATAGTCGCGAAATCCGTGACCAATAGGCACCCTCCTGCTGCGTCCGCGGCGTTGCCCTGGCAGGAGGAGGATCGGAGGGTGAGGGAGGAGGTTTCCTGCGCGAGTAGGGCGCCGGCGGCAGTGCTGTTGTTTTCGGAGAAGGTGCAGTTGGTGAGATCGGCGGTGCAGTTGAGGCTGCACAGGAAGGCGCCTCCCCCCACGGGGGAGGTGTTTCTGGTGAAGGTGGTATTTGTGAAGCTTCCCAGGGTGGTTGCTTCTGCGCCTCGAGAGCCCTCAACTGAAAACAGAAAGAGTGAGAGGAGGGAGAGAGGGGAAAATGGGGGAGGGAAAGGGGGTGGGGGGGGTGGGGGAGGAGAAAGGTGGGGTTTGAAAGGTGGGACAGGGTGGGGAATGGTCATTCACTTGCAGCAGTGACTCCCCCTCCTTTCCCTCCCATCCCCCTTCTTGCCAGTAACATGGCATGGGACACAGTAACATGCCTAAACCTTCATTGGTCATGAGACAAAACTCACCTGAAACACCCTCCTTCGTCACACCCCCTCACCAGTGACAGCGCCGCCCTTGAGGTAGGACCAGTTATCGTCAAAGAGAGAGGCGTTCACCTGCAGCAGCGACCAGTTATCCCCGACCAAGATCGCATGGCACCTGTCAGTCACCTCCCGGATCCCCTCGCCTGACACATGATGCCAGTGCCCCTCCTTCCCCTCACATCCCCTCACATCCTCTCACATCCCCTCACCTGTGACAGCGCCGCCCTTAAGGTACGACCAGTTATCCTCAAACAGAGAGTCGTCTACTTGCAGCAGCGACCCTCCGCTGAAGATGGCGGCCCCTCGCGAGCTGTTGGCTCTGTTGCCTCTGAACGTGCTTCCCTGCACTGTCACGTTGCTGTCCGCCTGTGGGTGAGGAAGGCGGGTGAAGAGGGCAGGGAAAGAAGGAAGATGGGAGGGAGGGAGAGCAAACACAAGGTGTGAGCTGTTGGCTCTGTTGCCTCTGAACGTGCTGCCCTGCACGGTCACGTTGCTGTCCGCCTGTGGGTGAAAAAAGGAGGGAGAAGGGAAGGAAAGAGGCGGGAAGGAGGAAGAAAGAAAGGAGGGAGAATGGAAGGAGGGAGAAGGGAAGGAGGAAGAAAGAAAGGAGGGAGAATGGAAGGAGGGAGAAGGGAAGGACGAAGAAAGAAAGGAGGGAGAATGGAAGGAGGGAGAAGGGAAGGAGGAAGAAAGAAAGGAAGGAGAATGGAAGGAGGGAGAAGGGAAGGAGGAAGAAAGAAAGGAGGGAGAATGGAAGGAGGGAGAAGGGAAGGAGGAAGAAAGAAAGGAGGGAGAATGGAAGGAGGGAGAAGGGAAGGAGGAAGAAAGAAAGGAGGGAGAAGGGAAGGAGGGAGAGCAAACATAAGGCGTGAGCTGAGCTGTTGGCTCTGTTGCCTCTGAACGTGCTGCCTTGCACTGTCACGCTGCTGCCCGCCTGTGGGGAGGCGAGGAGGGACAGGGAAAGAAGGGGAGAAGGGAGGGGGGGAGAGCAAAGAAAAAGGCCTGAGCTGAACTGTTGGCTCTGTTGCCTCTGAACAAGCTGCATTGCACTGTCACGTTGCTGTCCGCCTGTGGGTGAGGCGAGGAGGGGAGGAAACGATGGGGGAAGAGCAAACACAAGGCGTGAGCTGAGCTGTTGCATCTGTTTCCTGAACGTCCCTCCCAACCCTTCCCCACCGTTTCCCACCCTTCCGTCCCTTTCTACCTCAGCAACGCTTCACTCACTGCAATGATGTAGAGCGCGCCGCCGTCCTTGAGCTGCACGGAGTTGCCAGTGAAGGTGGACCCCATGATCCGCAGGTACCCCGTGCCCTCGCTGTAGATGGCTCCTCCCGACCCCGACACACTGTTGTGCTCAAACGTGCAGCTCTGCACCTCCGCTGTCACCAGCGCCAGCACTGGCGGGGGGAGGGTGATGGTGGGGAGTGGCGGAGGGGGTGAGGGCGGGGAGAAGAGGGGGAGTGGGTGGTGAACTTGCGCCTCCCATCTCGTCCCGCCCCATTGTTGCGGAACACCGTGTTGAGGGACTTGGCAAGTCGACCGTTCCATGAGCCCCCACCCATTCCTCCTGATCCTCCCCTCCCCCACTACCCACACAGCCTTGACCTGACCACCCCGTCGCCCCCTTGCCCTCCCCACCCCTCCCACTCACTTGCGCCTCCCAGCTGGCCCCCGCTGTTGTCGCGGAACACCGTGTTGGTGAACGCGACGAGTCAATCGTTCCATGAGCCTCCCCGCCACCCCCTCCCCTCCCCGACCCCCTACTTACTTGCTCCTCCCAGCTCGCCCCCTCCATTGTCGCGGAACACAGTGTTGGTGAACTTGGCGAGTCGACCGTTTCATGAGCCCCCACCCGATTCCAAACTCCCCCACCCAACACCACCCCCTCGCCTCGCACGCTTCCCTCCCCATCCGCCTACTTACTTGCGCCTCCCAGCTCGCCACCCCCATTGTCGCGGAACACAGTGTTGGTGAACTTGGCAACGCCTCCGTACTGGTAGAACCCCCCGCCTCCCTTCGCCTGCAGGGGACAAGAGAGAGGTGTGGAGAGGTGTGGCGGGATGTGAAGCGGTTAAAAGAGGTGAAGACGGGTGATGAAAGTGGCGAGTCCGCCTCCGTACTGGTAGAACCCCCCGCCTCCCTTCGCCTGAAGGGGACAAGAGAGAGGTGTGGAGACATGTGGCGAAAAACAAAGCGGTTAGACGAGGTGACGACGGGTGATGAAGGTGGCGAGTCCGCCTCCTTACTGGTGGAACCCCACCCCTTCCTTAGCCTGCAGGGGACAGGAGGGAGGTGAGAAGAGGGGAAACGAAATGGACGACAATGGAGGACCTCCGAAGCGGAGAAAAGTGGGGCGAGGTGGGAAGCAACGCAGAGAAAAGGAAATGGCAAGGTGGAAAGGAGATATGGAGCGAGCAGGACGGAGGTGTACACACAGGACGGGAGATAAAGAACGAGAGCAAGAACTAGAGGGAGACATGGAGCGAGGGCGGGACAGAGGGTGGGAGGGAGGGAGGGAGGAGGGAGGGAGGGAAAAAGGGTGGGTGGGAAGGAGGGAGAGGATAGGGCCTCACCATCGTGCCCGTCGCCCGACATATACACTCGCCCCTCTCCCCCTTACACTTATCAGCAAACGGCGCTTCCCCATTCTAGACCAACTTAGAGAAGGGAACAGAACAGGGTCATAGAAAAGGACGCACCAAGTTACGCGAGAAGGTGCAGGAGATGAACTCCTGGGTGGTTACCGCCGACTCGCCATCCTGCCCCACATACACTCCACCGCCATACCCATCCACGGTCGCCGCATCCCCCATCATGATCCCCACGTTATCCTCAAACACGGTGCGCTCCACTTTCGCTGACGTGGCGCTCAGTGATAGGCCGGCGCCCGAGGGCGCGCTGGAAACGTAGTCCATGACGTTGCGGGCGAAGGAGGAGTCGGAGATCAGGAGGACGCCGCCCGTGGCGGATATGCCTCCTCCTAGGTATGTTGCGTAGCTGTCAGAGAAGACGCACTTGGTGAGGGTTGCCTGGATACGAGAAAACGGTCGGAAGGAATGGGGGGGCGGGAGATGAAGGGGTGAAAAGGAGAGAGCATACATAAACAGGAGAGGATTCAGTTGGTTGGAGACGCCTGCATTGTTCAAGACGTCCCGAGAAAAGCTTGATTGCTACTCAGATCATGAGGATGAGAAAGGGAGAACGAGGCTTGGGGCGTGGAGATTATGAGAGTGTCCGGGCACGGAGGCATGATGGCGATTCCGTGGAGCAATTCGGTGCTAGGGAATCCGGTGATTATGACTCATCCGCCTCATCACCATCACAGGCCGGTCTTCCGGATTACCTAGCACCAGATTGCACCACGAAATCGCCATCATGCCTCCGTGCCGGGACACTCTCATAAACTCCACGCCCCAAGCGTCTTCCTCCTTTTCTCGTCCTCATAACAATGCAGCCACAAGCCTCGTCCTCATAACAGCCACTCAGAACAGAAGTCAGCCACACATACCTGAGGGACTGTGAACACCCACGCGCCTCCTGACTCATATCCGTGACACTCTTGGTGGCATGTCACTAACAAATGTCTTCTCGTGATGCTTAAGCAAGAGCACAGGTGCATACCTGAGTGACTGTGTACACCCACGCGCCTCCTCCCTCGTAATCCGTGACACACTTGGTGGCATTAACGGATGTGACTGTAACCGTCTGCGTGGCGTTCAGCGCCATACACCCCCCAAAGCCGTAGCCTGACGCGTACACGCCAGCTGGCAGAGTGCCATTGGAGGAGCAGGCGGTGAGCGAGGAGGAGGAAAGGGCGTAGGTGGAGGAACCCTCGTCCGCGATGGCCCCTCCAAGAACAGCCTGGTGGGAGGTGAGGGGGGAGAGAGAGAGAGAGAGGGAGAGAGAATCAATACAACGGACCGCTTGGGAGGAGATCAAGAGAGGTGAGAGAAGGAGAGAGATATTAGCAGGGGATTCTCCTCTCACCCTCTCACCAAAAGCACGCATCCCACTCACTCAGCAGGCCATTGCTGACTGTCACCCCATCGACCACCACACTCGAATACATGGCCGCAACAGAAGCCTCACCACCCGTCCTGGTTGACAAGCCCCACCAGAAGCAAGCACCTCACTCACTCACCAGTCCGTTGCTGACTGTCACCCCATCGATAGACACACTCGAGTACATGGTCGCAATCGCCCCGCCGAAATACGCTTGGCACCCGGTCATCTCCCCTCCGTCCACCTCCACCCTCACATTCCTAAACAGCAGCGCCCCTCCCGCCCCGTTCTCCGAACTGCACCCATTCGCCGTCACCCCGGACAGCTTTGCGCGTACACCCCCAGGTGCAGCCGCCCCCCCCTCGGGTCCAGTGGCGCTAATGGCGCCGCCCCCCGAGTTGTACATGTAGGTGAGGTCGGACCCAGGCGCGGAGCAGGCGGAGAAGGAGGCGGAGGAGACTGTGAGCGACGCGCCCGCGCCCTGCACTGACACCGCGCCCCCCAGGTTGGTGGCGGAGCAGCGGGAGAACGCCACGTTGCTGCAGGGAGGAGGGGAGCGGGGGTAGAGGGGGGAAGGAGCGGGGGGCAGGGGAGAGTGAGAGACGCCCCCGCGCCCTGCACTGACACCGCGCCGCGCAGGTTGGTTGCCGTGCAGCGGGAGAACGCCACGTTGCTGCGGGCATGGGGAGGCAGGGGGGGAACAGAAAGAAGAGGGGGGGGGGGGGGAGATGGGGGAACGGAAGGGGGAGGGGAGGGAGGGAAACGGGAAGTGGAGGCGGTGGGAGTGGGGGAAGGAGATATGGGGGAGGGAGGGGGTGGAAAGAGGGGGAAGACGGGGCGGAAGGAAAACAGCTATTCGAAGTCGGCGGGAGCAGTTGGCGTGGAATTCCTATGCGCTCCATACATCAGCCATTTGGGCTGGAGGTTGGGGGATTCTCACTTCACAACCAGCCTCTGCCCTCACACATCCACGCATCCTCTGTTTTTTTAGAATTCTCAACATCAGCTATGGTCTGCAGCGGTACTCACTTCACAACCAGGCTCTGCCCTCGCACATCCACGCGTCCTCCCAATCTTCCAGCTGAACATAGGAATCAACGTCGACGGCATCGCACGGCAGTGGGGATTTCTACTTGCTCCCAACGTCAGCTATGGTCTGCGGCGGTACTCACTTGATAACCAGGCCCTGCCCTCGCACATCCACGCATCCTCCCGAATCAGCCGACACGCCATTGGTCAGCGTGAACAGCGCCAGCGTCAGCACCACCTTGCTCCCCGCGCCGCACCCCGCGCCAGCACACGTGGCGTTCAGGCACGGGCCGCCGCCGCAGTCGAGTGTGATTGCAGCGGGAGACGCGGGGGTGGACGCGGGAGGGGCGCCGGTGATGGTGAGAGATTTGCCGCCCAGTTGAACAGCGGATTTGGTCGGCGAAGATTTGATTGCGGATAGGGGAGAGCCGGCGGGGAGTGGGAGGAGGGTGATGGTGGCGGAAGGTGCCGCCCTGGCGACCGCTGCTTGCAAGGTGGCTGCGGGGGGAACGGGGGGAACAGGGGGAGCGGGAAGGAGCGGGGGGAGCAGGGGGGACGAGGGGGGAAGTGGAGGGGGGACATGAAAGCGGGGAACACGGGGAAAGTGAGGGATGAGGTGGGGAGTGAGGCGGAGAGATGGAGAGGGAGAGGGTGGAGGAGAAGCAATGTTCCGGTGGACGGAGCGGGAACCAGGAGTGGTAAGCACGAGGACAAAGCCGACACGATACGGATAGTACAAGGGCACGGACGAGCAGCGAAGGCAGCACAGCGTACCACAGGGAGCGGTGGTGGAGTCGCAGCAGCCGGTGTCGCTGCCCGTGCTGGCGACATAGACCTTGGCGAGAGAGGTGCACGACGGCGGGATCTGCTGCGACGACGCTGTTGGCGACAGAGAAAGCGAGAGAGGGAGAGGGAGGGAGGGAGAAGAATGGAGAGGGAGTGGGAGGGGAGGTAAAGGGATGGGGGAGGAGGGGATGGTCTCGAATGTGTTGAAGAATGGCGGCTGGGGAACGCCGGAACGAAGGTTAAGTCAACCGTCAGCCGCTACTTTGGCGACCCAGCAGGCAACAAGATGGCCGTCCGTGAGTCTCGAGCACGAGAGGAGGCGAAGGAGTTAACAGGAGACAGAGAATTTGCTCAGCTTTTCTCCGTGTATCCACGTAAACCTTTTTTCCGTGTATCCGAACGTCACCTAACTGACCATTTCCAGCACACCGAACCTAGGGAATTCAACAGCACGAAACAGCAACAGTAGGGCTTCGAGAGCAACTGCTTCGCGGAATGATTTGCAGAACGAGCCGTAACGAGAGGAGGAAGCTGGTGCGGTAGCGGAGCGAACAAACTCGTGCTAGGGATGCGAACGAAGCTAAGGTTCCCTTTAAGTCGACTTAGAAGTCACCTCGTTTTGAGTCGAGTCAAGAGCAACTACTTAGCGACAATGACTAGCTGAGGGAGTAAACTAGCGAGGCAGCGGAGCGGATAGAGCCGAGGTTCTTTTTTAGCCGAGCCGAAGTCACCTTGTTTTTAGTCGACTCAAAAGCAAGTTTTTCGCGAATGACGTGCAGTACGAGCCGTAACAAGAGTGAACTAGAAGATAGAACCGAGCGAAGGTTCCTTTTGAGTCAACTCAGAAGTTGACTTCGGAGCACGCGTTTGGAGCAACCTTAGCTCCCAAGTCAACTCAAAGCGAACTGCGGCACGAGACGTCACGACAGGGAACTAGTGCGGTTGGTGGAGCGAACAGAGCTAAGATTCCTTCAGGAGGCACGATGGCATTATCTTCTAAAAGTACGTCAGAGCATTTTCGCTTCGTGTACCATCGTACGCGTGGCGTTAGGAAGCATTGGAAGCATGGGGTGGGGTAACATCGTAAACAATCGCTCTAGGAAGTGTCACTTATACAACGAGAGCGTGAGCGAGAATACGCACTTCTGGAGATGCTGGTGAAGACTAGGATGGCTAGTAAGCAAGATAACCGTCTCGTTGCCATTGTCGCTCGCCTCAACGAGGCGGCCGAAGCTACGTGAAGGCTAGTCATGAGCTCACAACATTGAAGCAGCGGTAGCAACAATGTGGGAGATGGCGGTTATCCCAATCCAGAAGATCATAAATAGTTGCGATAGTTTCACAATAAATAGTCTGGAAGCAAATGAAGGTCCCCTGAAGCAAACTCGTCGGCCCCGGTCTTTTGCCTGGGAAAACGTAATGCTTCCCGCGACTACAAATACAGATTCCAGCCCCGAGCTATGCCGTATCATAGACAACCCTAAAAGCTTCTCGGTCTATGATGGGTTTGCTGTTAGGACGGAATTCTTCAAGCGGTCACTCTGTTGGAGTGACTGCCTGCGATGGTAGGTTCTGTACGTTCTTAGTGCTCGGTCAGTACGGTAATATCGAGAAAAACAAACCCAGTGCTGCTCTCTCAACTATTTCCAAGGACTAAACGAAAGTGTCCGTTCCACACTTACGCGACACAAATGGTTTCTCGCGACGGTCGTGAATGTTCTTTCTTGCACTGGTTGAGCTCTGCGAGCCGTTCGCGAAATTCTGGTTGCGACGGACCGTGTTGCCAGTCGTCGTCGTGACAATCGGGGAGTTGGCCCTTAGGGTTAGTGGCCCACTGGAGGCGAAACAGCCAATAGTACACATCGAAGCCTGTCGGTACGATAGCGAAGCATCACTATAACGGATAGATTGCGAAAACGACGCAAGAGTTGAGGCAGTGATTTGTCTTGTTGCACCTACCTGAAACTGTTCGTACTTTTCACGCGGCGAAATTGCACCACTGCAGACTCCGCGTGTAGGGCCGAAATGCTCGTTCAGCGATCCGTTATTGCACTCCACGCAGTGAAAGCTTTGAGGTGTACATGGGCACCCTCTTAGGACCACCTGAACTGCTGTTCACAGGTTAGGGCAACAACATTCCAATATGGTTTGAGCTTAAAGCAGCAGTATACATTTGACACTACTGTTAGGTGTCATAATATTCTGACGATCGAGTCTGGTGAGAGGGGTTGGGAGTGGGAAGACTTTGTCGCTCGTGACCAAGGTGGAGTGGCCCTGTAATTCGGTTACCACCAGGTCCCTTTTATAAACTTTTGGCACTAGCCCTGCCAAATTTATACCGCTGCTTTAAGTGTATCTGGCCTGGGTGCTTGTATGGATTATGTCTGCACACTTTCAATGCTCCATATATTTTGAACACGATACCGTAAACCTATATTGCAATATATATATATGTATGTCCATTGAGTCCATCATTTAACAACTTGAGATGCTCTCAATGCATTTGCTATGTGAATATCAAGCAAGAAGCATATCTCGTCCCCCTGCAAGACAAGTGCACCAAAACATTAGCAAAACAAGTTTGCACAACATAACGAAACTACACGCGGTATAAACCATGAGACGGTTCTCACCCCGGTAGTAGCAAACTCGAACGAGTGTAGCTCGTCTTGTAGAGTCATGCTGAAGAATATTCGATCAGGCTGCCCTGCATACTCTGCAAGCTCCCTCAGCTCTGCTTGGTGGATGACCGACCGAATCTCTGCATCCAGGAAATGTAGCTGCCAGCCAGTCCAATCAAGCGCAAGGAAAACACAAATGGAGGTGTCAGATGCACAGAGGAAATTTGTCAGTACGAGGAGTTGAAAGCATTCACTTCATTTGATGGCCATCTCAACATGTACACATGAAGGAAAGCTTGCAACAACATGAAAGAGCAACACAGCTCCATGGTGACATGGAAGACAGCTCACCCCGTTGTGGTTGACCCAGACAATGACCTGCCTGGGAAAGTAACTGGCCATGTCCTCCTCGGCACAAAGGCCAAAGAAGACTGGGCCTCCCTTGCGGGATTTTGTTCGTATCCTCAAAGGCAACTCAGCTCACCCCGTTGTGGTTGACTCCCACGATGACATGCTTGGGAAAGTAGTTGGCCGTGTCCTCCTCTGTGCGCAGGTCAAAGAAGACCGACCCTTCCCGAGGAATCTCTCCTATTAACTCTCAAAAGCAACTCAGCTCACCCCATTGTGGTTGACTCCCACGATGACATGCTTGGGAAAGTAGTTGGCCGTGTCCTCCTCTGTGCGCAGGTCAAAGAAGACGGACCCGCCCTGTGGGATCTCCAACAGGATCCGGACGAACTCCCTCATCGTGGCCTCGTGGTCTAATGACCACTGCACAGGCATGGGAAGCACGTGCATGAGGGGACACTATTTGAGTATACTTTGAGCCGCCTTGAGTGATCTCCAGAAGGATTCGGACGAAGTCCCGAATCGTGGCCTCGTGGTCCAGGGACCACTGCACAGGCATGGGAAGCACGTGCATGAGGGGACACTATTTGAGTATACTTTGAGCCGCCTTGAGTGATCTCCAGAAGGATTCGGATGAAGTCCGGCATCGTGGCCTCGTGGTCCAGGGACCACTGCACAGGCATGGGAAGCACGTGCATTTGGGAACAACAGGGTGCCTCTTGAGTTGATTCAGTTGACTCAAAAGAATTCTGTACGTGATGTAAAGCGAACATGCATCTGAAGTTAGAAAAGAGGCAGAGTATGCAAGAAGACATCAATGTTGGAAAGAGGAAAGGGACACTGCAAGGATGTCTTCATGCATACTCTGCCTCTTTTCCTCTGTATCTGATTTATCTATACCCTTCATGCATACTCTGTATCTTACCAGGGTTCTGTAGGGTTCGAGGATGAGGTTCATCCACTTGTCCTTGGAGTGCAGGCGAGACACTATCTTCGGGATAGACCTCTTCATCTGTATGCTCCACTCCCTGCCATATATGGGTGGGCGCGCATGCAAAGGAACAAAGGCGCACAATGAGCAGAATATGGGAGGGTTCTGTAGGGTTCTGTAGGGTTCTGCCGTGCACACAGCGACCAGGAGGAAGTTGAAGGACATGCGAGGAGGAGGATCACACGCACATACAAGAAATGAAGGCTTGTGCGGAGAAAACACTGGGAGAAAGGCACACAGAAGTGGAAGGCCTACGAGGACGAAGATGAACACTGGTAATACCAGATACTGCTTCACGCGAAAAAAAACAGATACTATTGGACTGTCCTTACAAGGCACATGGGAGTACGAGTTGGTCTTATGGGTTTGGGTTGGCAAAAGCTTACAGGGCCGTTTCAGGGTTGGCAATGACCCCAATCTCCCCGGCTATTTGCAGCGCTGCCAGCACCACTGCTCCCTCCACTGTCACCAGGTAGTGGTTCGTGAGATAGTCGTACCGGAGCTGTTGGGGACGTGAGGATGGAAGGGGTGATGGGGTTGGGGTGGTGAGGAGGCAGGCAGGCAGCACCACTCAGAGCTGCCACTGCCAGCACCACTGCTCCCTCCACTGTCACCAGGTAGTGGTTCGTGAGATAGTCGTACCGAAGCTGTTAGGGACGTGAGGATGGAAGGGGTGATGGGGTTGGGGTGGTGAGGAGGCAGGCAGGCAGCACCATTCAGAGCTGCCACTGCCAGCACCACTGCTCCCTCCACTTTCACCAGGTAGTGGTTCGTGAGATAGTCGTACCGAAGCTGTTAGGGACGTGAGGATGGAATGGTTGATGGGGTTGGGGTGGTGAGGAGGCAGGCAGGCAGCACTGCCAGCACCACTGCTCCCTCCACTGTCAGGTAGTGGAAATGGGGGGTTGGAAATGGGGAGTTGGAAAGCATAGGAGGAGGAGGCGGATTAAGGTCCATGTATGATGATGGGACCAGCACAGAACGAAGGGACACATGGACGATATGGGTGATGGAGCGTTGCTCCCCGTGTGCGTGCCATGGCAGCTGAAATGCATACCAGCGCGTAGCACGGTCACATGTTACGATTCTATCACCCACCTGTGCAGTGCATAGCTCAGGTCAGGACCCCAACCCCACTGCCCACCTGAGCGTAGCAGAGGCGCACGTGCTGCAGGTCAGCAACGAGTGCATCGTCCGTCTTGAAGAATCGCTTCTTCAGCAGCAGCTTGCACGCCACCAGGCTGCCGCGTGCCAACCACTCACCAACCCCACTCATTCACTAGCGCACCCTAGAGTGCATCTGCTGCCACTCTTGACGCCCCTTCCCCCCTGCGACTGACTCGACCCATGTTCCCGTACGCACCCAAAAGCCCACCTCCACACCCACCTGCGCGTAGCAGAGGCGCACGTGGTGCAGGTCAGCAACGAGAGCATCGTCTGTCTTGAAGAATCGCTTCTTCAGCAGCAGCTTGCATGCCACCAGGCTGCCACGCGCTGCTTTCACATACTCCGCCATCACATCTGATACGTACGCTTCTGGGTCCAGAGGCACGTGGTCTGATGCACGGGGTGGGGAAGATGGGTGCAAGAACATGGGAGTATTATGTGTGTGCATGGCAATACTGCTCTCACATACTCCGCCATCACATCGGATACGTAGGCTTCCGGGTCTAACGGCACATGGTCTGGTGGGTGGGGGAAGAAATGAATGGGGTGGGAGAGGGTGAGGGCTGGTGGGAGTGCGGCAGCTTGCATGCCACCAGGCTGCCGCGTGCCACCTTCACATACTCCGCCATCACGTCTGACACATAGGCCTCTGGGTCCAGAGGGACGTGGTCTGATGGGTAGGTTGGGAGGATTGCATGGGAGAGCACGAGGGCATGGTGGGAGTGTAGCAGCGTACATGCCACCAGGCTGCCGCGTGCCACCTTCACATACTCCGCCATCACGTCTGACACATAGGCCTCGGGGTCTAGAGGGACGTGGTGTGGTGGGTGGTGTGGTGTGATGGGCGGGACGGGGTGGGAGAGTGTAAGGGAATGGCGCGCAGCAGCTTGCATGCCACCAGGCTGCCGCGTGCCGCCTTCACATGCCCTGCCATCACATCAGAGACATACGCCTCGGGGTCCAGAGACTCGTGGTCTGACGTTGGGGAGAAGGGAGGGATGGGATGGGAGGGCGTGAGGGCAAGGTGGGAGTGCAGCAGTGTACATGCCACCAGGTAACAGCGCGCTGCCTTCACATACGTGTGTAGTGAGTCGAGTTTCGAGTCGACTCAAAACTCGACTCACTACAAGCAGTGTGCATGCCACCAGGCAGCAGCGCGCTGCCTTCACATACTCCGCCATCACATCCGAGACATACGCCTCGGGGTCCAGAGGCACGTGGTCTGGTGGGTGTGGGGGGACAGGGTGGGAGATCATGTGGGAGTGCAGCAGTGTACATGCCGCCACCAGGCAGCAGCGCGCTGCCTTCACATACTCCGCCATCACATCCGAGACATACGCCTCGGGGTACGTGGTCTGGTGCAGTACGGAGAGTTATCGGACCCAGCAGCAACAGAAATACTATATCTCAGATCAGCAGCAGCACACTGACCAATGGTGGGGTCGCTGTGGGTTGCCCCCATGGATTTGTAAATCCGACATGTGAACAGGGCGAAGGGATGAGGATGGGATGGCATGGCATGGCATGGCATGGCATGGCATGGATGGAATGGCATGGGATGGCATGGCAAGGGAGTCAAACTGACCAATGGTGGGGTCGCTGTGAGTTGCCCCCATGGATTTGTAAATTCGGCATGTGAAGAGGGCGAAGGAGGTGGTGTCTGTCACTTGTAGCCTCTGCAGCAGCAACTGAATATTGTAGGGAAATCCAGGAATGGAAACAGGGATGGGACGGTTGGATAGGGGCATTAGAAGGATGGACAGGTGAAGAGGGCGAAGGAGGTGGTGTAGCCTCTGACTTGTAGCCTCTGCAGCAGCAACTGGATATGGACAGAGATGGGACGAAGGACGAGACACAAAGGGACGGGTATCAGAGGGATGGGCAGTACATTAGAGGAATGGAAAGGTGAACAGGGCGAAGGAGGTGTGGAAAGGTGAACAGGTACTGTCACTGTCAGCACCTGCAGCAGCAGCAGCTAGATCATCTCCTAAACTCCATTGCTCAAAAGTGCCATATCCTTTCCTCATCACTAGCAATCCCTCACCTGCATGGCCTCGCCAATGGTGGTAACCGCGCTGCTGGGAATGTTCTCCAGGGTGTCGTCACACAGATACACCGGCACTGACAGGGGTGTGTGCCACTGCTGCTGTATTGTTCAGGGAACACAACGGACACCCCGAAGGTGCTCACCTGCATGGCCTCGCCAATGGTGGTCACGGCGCTGCTAGGGATGTTTTCAAGGGTGTCGTCGCACAGATACACTGGCACTGACAGGGGTGTGTGCGTCAGCAACGAGAGCACCTGACAGGGACACATGGGGAGGGGCGGGGACCCGGACGGGAGGATTAGGGAGAAGGGGATCAGCACAAGTGTTACAGACAGTTGTAGGAGTGCCAATGACAAGGAATGCCAAGGAGTACCAAGGAGTGCCAAGGAGTGCCAAGGAAGGTCTGACCAACCGTGTGATGCATACCAGCTTCCACCTTCTCAACTCACTCCACTCGTCCTGCTCCGCCACTCATCTCTCCTCGTCCTCTCCCGTCCAACATTCTCACTCATCTTGCCCCGGCACGCATCTCCTCGGCCCGTGCTTCAGCCCATGGTCCAGCGCCTTCCACGCTTCCAGGACTGCTTCCCGGACAGCCTCGTCTCCCCTCTTGTCCGCCTTGAGCCATATCTACCCGTAATCATCACCCCTCCACTCACCTCATCTCGTCCTGCCCTCTGCTCTCACCTCATCTTGCCCCGGCACGCATCTCCTCGGCCCGTGCTTCAGCCCATGGTCCAGCGCCTTCCACGCTTCCAGGACTGCTTCCCGGACAGCGTCGTCTCCCCTCTTGTCCGCCTTGAGCCATATCTACCCGTAATCATCACCCCTCCACTCACCTCATCTCGTCCTGCCCTCTGCTCTCACCTCATCTTGCCCCGGCACGCATCTCCTCGGCCCGTGCTTCAGCCCATGGTCCAGCGCCTTCCACGCTTCCAGGACTGCTTCCCGGACAGCCTCGTCTCCCCTCTTGTCCGCCTTGAGCCATATCTACCCGTAATCATCACCCCTCCACTCACCTCATCTCGTCCTGCCCTCTGCTCTCACCACATCTTGCCCCGGCTTGCATCTCCCGGGCCCGTGCTTCAGCCCATGGTTCAGCGCCTTCCACGCCGCAAGCACGGAGGGCCAAGGAGTAGCTGAAAGTACCAGGCTTCGATGCATATCAACCGTACCCACCTCATCTTGCCCCGGCACGCATCTTCTAGGCCCGTGCGTCAGCCCGTGGTCCAGCGCCTTCCATGCTGCTAGCACTGCCTCTCGGACAGCCTCGTCCCCCGCCCCGTCCGCTACAACAGGCCCTACCCACGCAATCTCACCACCTCATCCTGTCTTGGCTCCTGCGCTCACCTCATCTTGCCCCGGCACGCATCTTCTAGGCCCGTGCTTCAGCCCGTGGTCCAGCGCTTTCCATGCCGCCAGCACCGCCTCTCGGATAGCCTCGTCCCGCGCCTCGTCCGCCACAAGGCATATCCACCCGTTCTCATCATCACCCCCCAAACTCACCTCGTCCTGCCCCGGCACGCATCTCCTAGGCCCGTGCTTAAGCCCGTGGTCCGGCACCTTCCACGCTGCCAGCACCGCTTCTCGAACACCCACATCCCCCACCTCGTCCGCTACAACAGGACCTACCCACGCAATCTCACCACCCCACCTTCTCCTCATCCCTCACCTCATCTTGCCCCGGCACGCATCTTCTAGGACCGTGCTTCAATCCATGATCCAGCGCCTTCCATGCAGCCAGCACCGCCTCTCGAATAGCCTCGTCCCCCGCCTCGTCGGAGACGAGCGAGGAGAAGTACTCTGAGAGCGGCCCCGCGACGGTGGTGGTGGGGGGGAACACGCCCGCACACAGCCGCATCAGCTCCCACACCTTCAGGCAGGACGCCCTGGGGGGAGGACGAGAGTGGGGAAGAGGGGGGAAGGAGAGAGCAGGGGAAGGCAAGGAGGCGAAGGATGACGACGGTTCAGGTACGTCAGCTTAAACAGCCACTAGAGAAAGAATCACGAGAGGCAGCAGCGCTCCATGCACGCCTTGAGGCACAACGCCAGCAGCGCTCCATGCAACGCTCCATGCACAACCGCCTCGTCGGAGACGAGCGAAGAGGAGTACTCAGAGAGCGCCTCCAGCTCCCTGCAAGCAACTACCGCCTCGTCGGAGACGAGCGAGGAGGAGTACTCAGAGAGCGGCCCCGCGATGGTGGTGGTGGGGTGGGGGGGAACACGCCCGCACACAGCCGCATCAGCTCCCACACCTTCAAGCATGAGGCTCTGGGGGGAAAGGAGGGGAAGAGAGGGGAAGAAAGGGGAAGTGGATGACGAGGGTTGAGGTGATGCAGAAAGCCCTTCTCTAGCCAACGAGCCTTTCCCTAGAGTCACCTCCAGCTCCCTGCAAGCAACTACCGCCTCGTCCGAGACGAGCGACGAGAAGTACTCAGAGAGTGGCCCTGCGACGGTGGTGGTGGGGTGGGGGGGAACACGCCTCCTCCACTACTCATAAGACGCCTTTCTGTGCGCTTCTGCGACCCACCACCCACTCACTTGTGCGCGTTCTGTTCCATCTCGTTTGCTTCCACAGCTGCACCAACAGCTCATCTAGCAGCGGCGGCTCCTTCCCCAGGTCCAGAAACACACGCGCCACCAGCGCCACCTGCAGCGCGTTACCCGCACCACCAGCAAACTCCTGAACTGAGTCAAGAGCAGCTTTTCTGTGAGCGACCACGACCCCCTGGCCACGACCCCCTGGCCACGACCCCCCGCCCACCCACCAGCCACCACCCACCAGCCACCACCCACCACCCACCAGCCACCACCCACCACCCACCAGCCACCACCCACCACCCACCAGCCACCAGCCACCAGCCACCACCCACCACCCACCAGCCACCAGCCACCAGCCACCAACCACCAGCCACCCACACTCATTCACTCACTTGTACTCGTTCCCCCGCGTCTGCTTCCACAGCTGCAGAAACAGCTCATCTCGCAGCGGCGGCTCCTTCCCCAGGTCCAGAAACACGCGCGCCACCAGCGCGACCTCTTCCGCGCGGGAGAGCATCTTGCCCTCGTGTACGCCCATGAATCGCAACACGTCGTTGAATAGGCGCGTCGCGGGCTCGTGCAGGACGCCGCTTATTCGCAGCATGGCTGTTGGGATCGCGTCCTGTGTGTGGGGGGGAGGGGAGTGGGAGGGAGAGAGAATGGTGGGCAGGCGAAGGAGTGGGGAGGAGGGGACGGGACTTGTGGGAGGATTGACAGGCAAGACAGCAGCACCAAGAACATCCTCCGCTCCGCGCGCGAGAGCATCTTGCCCTCGTGCACGCCCATAAATCGCAGCACGTCGTTGAACAGCCGCGTCGCGGGCTCGTGCAAGACGCCGCTCAGCCGCAGCATGGCTGCTGGGATCGCGTCCTTGGAGGGGAGGGTGGATGGTGGCCATGGTGGGGTGGTGAGGGTGGGGAGGGTGGGGTTAGAGGGGATGGGGGGGAGTACCCGCACGGGAGATAGGGGCGGGGGGAGGGGGTCCAGTGGGGCCCACGGGAAGTAGGGGGGCGGGAATCATGGGCAAGATTGACTGAAAAAGCAGCAGGACCAGGAAATCGCTGAATCAGGACCAACATCGGGACTTCGTCAGCTCAGATGAGCATCTGGCTGAAATGCATGAAATGGTAAATGCATGAAACGGTAAGTGCATGAAACGGTAAATGCATGAAACGGTAAGTGCATGAAACGGTAAGTGCATGAAACGGTAAGTGCATGAAAGTGCATGAAACGGTAAATGCATGAAACGGTAAGTGCATGAAACGGTAAGTGCATGAAACGGTAAGTGCATGAAACGGTAAGTGCATGAGACGGTAAATGCATGAAACGGTAAATGCATGAAACGGTAAATGCATGAAACGGTAAACGCATGAAACGGTAAGTGCATGAAACGGTAAATGCATGAAACGGTAAATGCATGAACTCGCACCTGCTGAAACGAGAACATGTATCGGACCCGACTAGTACTGCTCCGCCATAGTGATAATCATGAGGCATGGCTTTGCGGCGCCTATCGTACCGGCGTCGAGAATAGCGTATTTCCGTACCTGTTGAAATGAGAACATGTCTCGAACCGTGTACTGCTCGGCCTTGGTAGTACCGGGACCGACGACGCCCAGCAGTCGTCGCCTGGCGACAGCAGTCGCACGAATGTCCAGCATCGCTGCGACGAATGCCTCCACGTGGCAGATGTCGTAGAGCTCCTGCACCGCCTCGAGAGTACCGCCGGGAACCAACCTGGTCCGAACCGAACGAAGACATTGGCAGGGATCGATGAGATTCAATAATACTGTTGAAAATAAACGGCTGGGTGGGTGACTATGGGGAGGCGTAGACGAGTATGGACTTCGACGGTCCGGATACTGGCGGTTGTGTGATGAGAAGTCCGAACAACAAAGAAATCCAGCCTGAACAAGAGTAAGCGGTATTTCTAGCAGCTATCTTGACGCCAGAAGGGATAACGATATAATCCTAGCCACATGGAGCAACGAGAGAAAGGCTGTGAAGGTTGCTGCTCCTTGACCTGCATGAATCCGGAAGAAACTATCGGTGCAGAGCGCACTTTTGACGTCCATCCTCTCAGTAAATTCCTGACGCCGGAGAGTACGGTCACACGAAGAACGAGCCCGTCTCGGAATGTGTTATGGGTACTCACATGACGTCTAGAAACGCCTCTTTGTAGTCCATTTCTGGCGCGTCTTTTAAAGATATCGAGCTCTCCATCATGGCTGCTCTTGTCGTCGCCACCACCATTCTACTTTTGAACTTTACAGGCTAATGATGCTAAGAGCACGCGCTCGGTACGAGACAGGTCTTTGGTCGTTACTTGTTGAACTGGAATCCAGTGACTACCGTTTTCCTGTTCCACAATCACTTGTGCGCTGCTGCTATTTATTTCTTCCTCAACAACGACGTATTCTAATATTTGCGTCTCGGCGTGAGGAGAGCACAGCACAGATTGCCGCGTTCCAATCCAAATCTTACGAAGCCTTTCTGCACCAATTCCTTCGCAGATTGATCCGAATACCTCAGGCGCTCCAAGATTTTTCTAGAATGCGTCTGTGCATAATTCACAATGAAAAAAGAGCCGAGAAGCTGAGAGGGAAGAAAGTTTGGTGGGCGGTAATATGAGGCGGACAAACACCACCAAACCAAGCCAAACCCAGCCAAGCCAAGGTTGCCAAATTCCAAGTTCCAACCAAGAGCATGGTGTGTCCGATGACGCTGATTCAGCGACTCGGCTCGGCTCGCCCAGAGAACGATGCACACATGATAGAATCCGGGTGCAGACTCTGTACCGCTCTATTTGCCTAATTCGCCGTACTGTACCCTGAGTCGCATCAGAAAAGGTCACACCACTATGACAGTGCCCTGCCCAACAACACAATCCGTGCGTGACTGAGGGGAACACGGGCAGTCTCAAACCAAGTCGCGAGCGAACCAATCAAAGGCCTTGACTGACTGCAGTTCAGCAACCAGCAGACCGCCCTCCCTCACAGACGCTTTCTGGAAGACCTTTTCTTGCAGCTCGAAATGTTTTCCCGCCACAAATGTCTCCAAGGCCGAAGCGCTTCAGCTGTTTTACCTACGTCGCCGCTTTCGTTTGAGGCTCCGTGGCGAAATGGTCAATGATTTCGAAAGAATCACAATAATGTAATGATGATCTTGTGACAGCAAATCTTTAACTTGATTTTTTTTCTTACAAGCATTCTATGGCAAACAGCAGACACAAACAAATGGCCCTTGTGAGCTACGCCTTACTAGCATAGGCAAACTAACTGATGTAATTTGAAGTATTTCCCAGGTTCCATTATCTTCCATACCACTTTATCCCCTTGACCTTCCCATCTCAGCCATAAGAAGGGGGTCATTCTCGGAACGAGTGTTATCCTGCAGTGGTGAGAATAAAAAACAAAGAAACGGAGGGAGTTGAATGGAAACAGTGCAATGTGATAGGACAGCTAAGCAGTTACGAATAAAATATGTATGCGCAGCTAAGGCAGGACGCTTAGACTCACAGTTTCACGGTCACTGTCATTGGCCTTCTCAAAACTTAAGCCACCCGAGGGAGGAGCTGAAATCTATGTTCGGGGCAAATGAAACAGGCCAAAGAAACAAAGCAGGACACATGAGGTTCAGAACTGAAAACAAAAGCATTGACTTAACTTAAACATGATTTGATAACAACCTCAAACATCCGTAAAGCACAGATGTAGCATCCACTTAGGGCGCGTTTGTTCCGTTTCCAAGTTCGAAAAAAAATTCGAACTTTAGGTGGTTACCCTTTTCGCCAATCTCGTCAAGAGCGTATGACGAACATCGAGAATTTCAGGGCTTATGAAAGTTCGAACTTGAAACGTGAACATGACTCGAGTTGGCGTTGTGAACGTGCGTGAGCGCGTTCATGTGAGCGTGTGTGTTTTCGGCACGTACGACACCATGCGAAATTGACGACGCCATCGCGAAACATACAATGGCATTAATTTGACTTGGCGAGCATGTACCGGGTAACATAAAGTTCAAATTCTGGTGTTCGACCTTGCGTGTGTGATTGCATCTTTGCAGTGTTATTCCCGCAATTTTCGAACTTCGCTACAAGGAAAGTCGAATTCCATTCGACTTAGGTTCAAAAAAAATATTCGCCCCCAAAACATGAACTTTGTCCAATTTGACGGAACGAACGCGCCCTTAACAACCCAATCAGAACCAGCCAAACCTGAAATACAGGCACCAAACCCACCAAACCCACCTGAACCACCTGGGAGTGCACCTGAGCATCTCTGGACTTCGCCTCTTGGATCTGCACGTAGGAGTAGAGAACCATGCCGACCAGCGCAACGAGAATGCCGCCCGCATTGCGCCAGCTGAAGGGGTTGTTGAGCAAGAGGTAGCCCATACCCAGCACCAGACACGTCTTGAGGTGACCTAGCACCTGGGGGGGGAGAGGGGAGGGGATACATGGAAAAAGGACAAACACATGCATACATGATGAGTGGCTTCAAAGTGCCATGTAGTAGTGCGGGTTGTTCAACAACAATGCGAAGCATTGCCAATGAGACGACAATTTGAGTCTCACTCAAAACGAAGGTGCACTTTGGAAGTAAATCTTGGAACTCCTCACAGCCCACCCACTTGGGTTGGGTGTATTGAGGGGATTTTGGCAGCATTAAAAAATGAAAAAAAAAAATCAAAGCCACTCTAAAAGAGAGGTCCACTCTACAAGTGGGTCACTGCGACAGCGGACCTGAACGCTTCTTCGAGACCACTCACCTGGTATGTGACTGGCGAGGTCTTGCCAATGACAAGGAAAGAGCTGAAGTTGACTGCCACTGCAATGAAGCAGGACAGCAGGATGAACGACTGGATGATGTGGGATGGAGGGGTGGGAAGAAAAGGGGGAATGCAGCGTGGAAGGAGAAGGTAGGTGAGAAGGAGAATAAAGGGGATGAGGAGGGGGCCACATTCAAATCCTGACTGAAGACGCGTTGACGAAAGGCCCAATTTGTGACTGAAAAAGACTCGCTGACGAAGTGCCAAAAGCACTCACCAGCACACTCACACCACATAATCAGGTCGTAGCACGCGTGTATTGCACTCATGATGACGTTGAAGGAGTAGTTGTGGCTGGTGAGGTTGACGTCCAAACACCCACCAGCACCCTCTCACAAACCTAACAACTTGTAGCACTTGTGTTTCGCTCGCACTCACAATGACGTTAAAGGTGTAGTCGAAGGCGAATACGTTGTGGCCCGTGAGGTAGGCGTCCACGAAGGGCCCCGAGAGGATGAGAATGAGCGCCTGGAAGGGCGACGACTGGTACAGCAGCTGCGTGCTGCTCACCTTGTACCCCTTCTGAATCGTGTTGGTCATCTGCAGGAGGGGAGGGGGACGGGCGAAGGGAGGGCGAAGGGGTCGGGGCCAATTGAGGGATTTGAGGCGCTGTAGGGATCGACGACTGGTACAGCAGCTGCGTGCTGCTCATCTTGTACCCCTTCTAAATCGTGTTGTTCATCTGGGGACGAGGAGAGGGAAAGGGAAACGGGAACGGGATGGAGACAGGGACAGGGACGGGAAGGTGAAGGGGAAGGGTGGGGATTGGGACGAGGAAGGGGAAGAGGAGAAGAATAAAGAAGAAGCGGAAGGGAAGGGGAAAGGGACTTGAATAAGAAATACAACCCAAAGTGTGTCAACCAAATCAAGAAGGTGGAGCCAGCAAGTGGTGCTGATACTCACAATCTAAGCAACGCAAGTGCTGACGATGGCAAGAGCGGCCAGGACTGTGCCCTAAACCCTTAAGCGTCTGTGACTGTGGCGATGCCCACCCCCAGCAGCAGCAGGCTAGCAGCTCCTTGAGTCAACGAAAAAACCTTCCACTTACGATTTGAGCAACGCAGGTGCTGACAATGGCAAGAGCAGCCAGGACTGTGCCAACGAAATTGAGCCCTAAGTCCGTGACTGTGGCGATGCCCACACCCAGCAGCGTCGTCAACTAATGGCATTACCACACCACTTACGATTTGAGCAACGCAGGTGCTGACAATGGCAAGAGCAGCCAGGACCGTGCCAACGAAATTGAGCTCCAAGTCCGTGACTGTGGCGATGCCCACGCCCAGCAGCAGCACCAGTAGGGACGCCTGCACCTGCAGACTGAATGACAACGGCAGGGGGGGAAGGGGTGGTGGAAAGCTTATGTATGAGTTGCCTGATGCCCACGCCCAGCAGTAGCACCACTAGGGGCGCCTGCACCTGCAAGCTGACTCACAAAGGGAGAAAGGGGGGTGTGGGGGGGGGGGGGGGGGGGGGGAGGGAGGGAGGAGTGGTGGTGGGCCTGAGATAGGCTTAAGCCCAGGGCAGGAGCATCGGCAGGGACGAATGCACCTGAAGCCTGAATCACAAACGGGGGAAGACGGGCACGGAGGGGTGGTGGGCGGGGGGACGGACAGCTATATTCTAGGGGGCTCAGGTGACATGAGGCTTGCACGACGCGCAGAGGCTTGCATCGCAGCGGTGCCCTGAACATGTAACGCGAGAGCAATAAAATTTCGGAACACGGAATTCGGATGATGTATGACGCACCCACGCACCTGAATCTCATCTTCAGGAAGAGGATTTGCAGACAGACCGTGCACGGGATGATGGCGAGCTTGGCCATCTGCAATGGGAGCAATGGGAACGGTAACGGCAACGCACCGAAACCGAAACAGACACGTCAATATGTCAGGCGATGACGTGGTGCCTGGATGACTAAGCGAGTGCTAAGTGTGAAATGCTTTTATCGGGGGAAAGTCGTATAGCAAAACCGGAAGACATTCATGATTATACTCGGCAGAGGATTTCTCGCTGTAACACTTTGTTTCCCCCCACTTTTGAGAAAGCCGATAATTTGCTTGTTCATACGCATGTATTCGACTGTGAGCGTGTGTGATTGCAAATGAGAAGCGAGGTGAAGGTTTACTGGGGGAAGTGGACTGTAAGAAAATATATGCGAGGTAATAATCTATGCGGTAGAATCAGTAAAAAATGAAGCCCCTTATAGATCATCACTGAGGGAAAGACGTTACCTGGTTAGAAGCCCGCGGAATTGGATCGAAGCACGCAAAATGGTCAGGCACTTAGCAATGCCGAATACGACAAGCCCTTCGATATGATCACGGAAGGAAGAAAGACGTTACCTGGTAAAATCCAACGGAATTGAACCCTAGTGTCAGGTTCAGGAGGCCAATGGA